CCTCCCCCTCCCCTCTCTCTTCCCTCCCCCTCCCCTTTCTCCTCCCTCCCCCTCCCCTCTCTCCTCCCTCCACCTCCCCCTCTCTCCTCCCTCCACCTCCCCCTCTCTCCTCCCTCCCTCCCCTCCCCTCTCTCCTCCCTTCACCTCCCCCTCTCTCCTCCCTCCACCTCCCCCTCTCTCCTCCCTCCCTCCCTCCCTCCCCTCTCTCCTCCCTCCCTCCCCTCCCCTCTCTCCTCCCTCCCTCCCTCCCCTCCCCTCTCTCCTCCCTCCCTCCCCTCCCCTCTCTCCTCCCTCCCTCCCCATCTCTCCTAGATTACTTTAATATCACATGCATGTACAGTGAAACCTGTACATAAAGACCACTCAAGGGTTACGAGAAAAGAGGTATCTCACTGTAACGGTATTTCCATGTAAGTTGTAAATATTCTCTAAATGGCATGATATTGTAAGTTTGTTATCATGTTTTAGTTCATCCCTGTTGTAAATTTTCTTCTTAGATTAACTTTAAATTGAAATTGAACTTGAACTTAAACTGGAAACGTATCATCCAATAATAAACACATAACAATAGGTATAAACCGTTTTATACAATAATATAGAAGTATAAAAGGGAACCAGAAAGGAGCATCAATGCTAATCAAGCCTGGTACCTTTGAACCTAAAAAACATAGTTTGGGTACATAAAATAAACAAACTTATTTCAAATGTTATTGTAAAGCTAATAAACTGGATGAAAAAGTCAAATATCAAATAACTAGCAGTTTATTATTTTACTCTATTTTAGAAGGTATTCTATAAGTGCTTTCTTTTATGTGTACATGCAATTGTTTGTAAGCCGGGTGAATTATTAACGAACTTATTATTATTATTTGGTAGGAAATTTTCAAGGCCGACTATTCGAGCATTCATTGGCCATCCCAGCGAGATAACATCTCTAAGTTTGATCTTTACACACCACATAGTTGGTTGTACAACATTGCAATGGGTAAGTCAATATTGTTTATCATGCGCAACAAACCAACGTGTATGTTAATGTATTGCAATTTTAAATAATTTCTTTAGATTTGAAAAGGAAAATATGTTGAGAGTGAAATTTCTTCTTAAAGAGAAGTTATTACTGCCTATCAGAAGACCTATTGAAAATGTAATGCTGCTTTTTTGTGTTCTAGGGCAATATTACTAGCTGACTGACTAAATACATAATTAACAAACATGTGTAGTTTGTACATATATATAGGGATACCAGAATTAAACATAATTTATCACAATTGTTTGTATGTGTATGCCTCCGCTAACACTATGCATTAGTAAAAAAATGTTAAAACAAAAAACAAAAACTACTCAGTTAGCTGTTTCCAAATTGTTTAAAGTAGATATGTGCACTTCTCGAATGCCGGAGAATATTTGAATAATGCTGAATAGTAACTAAATAATAGGAGATGTAGAATTATATTGGATTGAAAATACTGTCATACATATAACTTACTTCATCAAAAAACAATCATGCCTTTTACACAAACTTGTGCCCCTTTAGGACTGACCCCACATCAGGCAATAGTCCTGAAAAAAAATTGAAGACTTATAATAATAATCTGAATGTACATAGTGTTAATACAAAATACTTTCTCTAAATTGCTTTACAAATATTACCCCGGTCATCAGATTCATTCATGCATATTGTGCACCATCTCCACTCCCTTGGGAGTATTCCTACCATATGGTCACCGTGAGGGAATATGGCAATTACTAAAGTGACAAAGGCTTTCGTCATCCTACCAGGTCTTCATTTCTTTCCTGGTTATAAAGTAGCAAGTGTAGATTAATGCCTTGCCAAAGGACATTAGTGCAGTGTCGGGGATCAAACCCACGACTTTTGTATTTCAAGTCAATTGCTTAAACCACGTCGTCCATGACACCTTTTTACATCTTGTATCTTTGTTGTGTTAAACAGCGATCTTGGATTTGTATGAGAAGTTTCATTCTACCTGGTTGAGAAAGAAGGCATTGGATCACTGCTATGAACACATCAAAGCTGATGATGAATTCACTAACGGAATCAGTGTTGGTCCAGTAAGTTTATCCTCGTTTGTATCAAGTAGAAATGTTATTAAGAGACTGGAATATACCGAGCATGGTTATATAAACATAAATTTTCATAGAAGTACCATTTTACTTGATATTTGGTTAGGTCTATGTACAGTACAGCCTGTAGGATATGAAATCATTTTACTAAACTGGGCACTATTATTATTTAGTTGTAAGATTTCAAGCGATGTAGATGTTGGAAAGATGGTTTATTATCATTTGGTTATTACTTATTAGATCTCTAAAGTGATTCAGATGTTGGCAAGATGGCATATTGATGGAGCTGACTCAGAAGCTTTCAAGATGCACAAGGATAGACTCCCAGACTACTTGTGGTGAGAAATTTATCATGAATATATCAAAATCTCTTTCAAACAGACTAAAGGCTTGTTAAGATGGTTTGGTTTAGAAATGTCAGAGGTAAAAATGTCAAGTGTAAAAATATCCAGTGTAAAAATGTCAAGAGTAAACATGTCAGAGTTAAAACATCAGAGGTGAAGATGTCAGAGCTTAAAATGTCAGAGGTTAAAATGTCAGGAAAAATTGTCACACACACACCATGGTTGACTACCTCATATCTGAGCAAGGCTTTTGGAAGGAAGGGAGTGAAAGAAGAAGAAAAAAACAGGTTCAGGGAAAAGTGAGTAAGAAGGGAGGCAATCGATGGGACGATAGAGATTGGGTTGCAGAAAATTGTAAGTTTTGAAGTGTGATTCAAATTTCAAACACTTTGAAAGTCTTTTACCACACATACACAAATGATATTGTCTGAAGTTGATCAAGAACTAAACATACTTTGTGGAAAATCTCAAACTCCTATGTATTATTAACGATGTTATTTCTGATCGTTTCTTTGTTTTTCTTTCCTTTTTAATAGGATTGGTCTAGATGGCATGAAAATGCAGGTAGGTGTTGCTTTATATTATCTCTTGTGATTTTATTTTAAAGTTTATTCTCTGTAGGTTAACTTTGCTTTTCATGGGATTTTGTGTTTAAAATGATAGCCTAGCTATGAAATAAGGTGTAGTGCTACAAACCCAAAATTACAGTTCAGACTCGTGATGGCTCAGTGGTAGAGCAGCGGTCTCTTAACCAGGAGGTCTCGGGTTCAAAACCCATTTGATGCATTAATGCCCTTTGGTAATGCGTTAATACTCATTACTAAGTCCCTCAGGGATGGCTTCAAGCCGTCAGTCCCCTGGTTGCTTTAAGCTGCAAGCTCTCTCTCTGTTTTTGTCCCTCCGCTTTTTGAAGATCAGCGAATTCATCGCAGTCAAAGTGGTCGGCTGTGTAGTAAATATACTTTATAGTCCTTAGTTAGAGGGTATGGAGAGAAGGCGAATTTTATCTAGATAATGAAGTGTCATCTTTAAAATAGCATACACACGCTGTCTTAGCAGTCTGGTAAGACAACCGAACCAACCAATTAACCTTATATGTTTATCTATTGACAGGGAACCAATGGCTCTCAGCTTTGGGATACAGCCTTTGTCATACAAGCTTTCTTAGAGGCTGGCGGCGAGGGAGAGTTCAAGGATACTTTAAGCAAGGCTCATGACTTCTTAAAGAACACGCAGATACCAGAGAACCCTCCGAACTATCAAAAGTACTACCGCCAGATGAGCAAGGTATGTTGGTAGATGTGATACACACTATTTTCTCTGCTATTCCCGTGTCTATACTTTACGATCTTCCTTTCTTGACTTGTGCCGCCATTCTCATTCGTCTGGGGGGGGGGGGGGGGGTGTTTCACAAAGACTAAGATCGACTTTAAGTTGGACTTTACTATGGCAGGCCATTCATGCGACTGGTTGCTCTCACCATTGGTCTCTCAATTATGATCTTTATGTAACAGGTCAGAATTGAACTGTTTTATAGTGAAAAATATATATCTATTTCTAATCAATATCTCCTCAGGAGGAAAGTAAGAAGTTTATATGTTAACAAATTGTGTACTCCAAAGAAGTATGACTCACACATATTCTGAGTAGAAGCTATCAATTTGGCCAAAACATGACATTCCACAGCTATGAGAGAGTTAATGATGTATGGTCACTTGGTCAAAGGTTGGAAACTCGACCCCCCCCCTTCCAGAACACTTGTAATAACTTTGCCAAACAAACCCCAGATTGTAAACATCGGATAAGAACCCCCAAAACAAAAGACTTCCTGTCTCCCTCCCAATAACCAGACCTAGCTTTCCCAGAACAGGTTATGTGTGGTAGCTATACCACCGTGAGAGTGTAGCTGTTATAAAAGAAGGCAGAGGTATTTGACAGATTCACTCCTGTACTGCACCCCATCCATGGGGCAGGCAGGGAGGTCGACTCTGCAAGCTTTTGGTGTAACATGTCATTATATAGGTGTTGACAAATTACAATCAACATGTAAGAAGCGGGAACGAGAGGAAACGGTCCTCTAGGCCAGATTGCCAGGGTGAGTGGGTTATATTCAATGTATAAACCACTATTTCAATGTAGTTTTAATTGGGAATTAAGTTTGATTGTTTGACAAAGTTCACTTGATGGTTGTATTCATTTATTGTTGGGAGAGTTATCCATTGCGATGGAAGAACTTTATTTGTGATTAGATGATGGTATTTTTATGCGATATTGATTAAGTTTTAATGAATGTAATACAAACAACCTGTTTATCATTTATTATCATGAGTCGGCTTGACGTCATATTGTTGGAATGCGTATCTTAGAGTCATTAACAAATATTATGTTTATCGCTATTATGTGTGTTTTTCAAACATGTCCTCATTTCTATTTAATTGTTTTAACTTTGTTTATTTGTCCAGGCTTTAGCTTACTTTAGCTTAGTTTACTTTGCACCTGAAATAAAAAGAACCGCAACACAACGAATGGTGTGATGAGTATTTCCTACCAGTTTCTGCGTGTGATCGGCGTGTTACATTTAGATAATATTTTTTCCTTCAATAATGAACTATCAAAAAAGCTAAATTCTGTAGATTTGTGACCATTATTTGTATGTCCCTTGAGAAACCAATTCCAGGAATGGTTAGAGGAACTAGTGGCATGAGCGGCCTGCCATAGTTAAGTCCGACTTGGAGTCGACCTTAGTCTTTGTGAAACACTCCCCTGTTCCCATAACTCTGTTCCTGACCTATTCATTGGTTCTCCTGTCTTTTCAGCTGACCCTGAGCTAAGAAGTCTCTCCCCATATCCACATTTCAAGGGCATTGATTCTCTTGATATTTAATCATGCCTTTAAAGTCCAACTTTCACAACAATAATAAGCAACAATACAAATAGAAAAGGCGATATATTTCACAAATATCCTTGAGTAGGCCGAAGGAAATATGTCAGGCAATGACAGCCATGGAACTATCTTGATTTGTAACACGGTGCCTGATTAAAAAAACTTGTTATCAATAAGAAATTCTAAAATTCTATGACAAATTTAATTTGCTCTCAGCCAATCAAATGCTACTATTTCAGTAGCTTATAACCATTATTGTAAGCATGCGTCCATATCGTAATAAACAAGTTCTTTTCAGTTTAATTTAGTATGCAGTTAGATTGTTTGATTCATATCTATTTGATATAGCATAGCCGGGTAATGTTGGAGTGCCTTGAGGACCTTGCTAGGTCGATACGTGCGCTATATAATAATCCAATATTATTATTATTATTATATTAAATACTTTATTTTCCAATTCTTAGGGTGGTTATCCCTTTTCAACCAAAGACTGTGGATGGATTGTTTCAGACTGTACTGCAGAAGGTCTTAAGTCCGCCATGCTGCTGGAGGAGAAGTGCCCTTTTATCTCTGATCATATAGGCAAAGAGAGACATTGCCAAGCCATTGATGTGGTGAGTATATTCTTCATTTTGAAATAATATTTGGTGTAGTTTACAGGAAAAAAATCTTGCCATTCTTTAATTAAACTGAAGAAAATACCTAGTTTTACTTCCAGTGCCCCAAAACTCAAAGATAACTTGGCTATTTATTGTTATATTTTTTATTAATGAAATCCTGTTTAGTGATTGGTCAACATATATGGTAACATGTGACCAAACTATACATTGCTATGATGTTCCGATAAGAAAAATGTGCTATACAGCAACGTCATCCATGGTATAGTGCACTATACCATGGTTGACGTCATAGATATGCGATCTATGGTAGCAGCAAAATGCAATAGCAATCATGAAGCCACAGAACAAAACAGAGAAGAAAATAAATGCATACAAATGCTTTGGTATCCTCCTAATAGATGTGGACTTTTTCTTCAAAATATTGTACTACTGATGATATGTAACTATCTTTTGTTTTAGTTGATTGATATGCATAACCCTGATGATATGTCACTATCTTTTTTAGTTGATTGATATGCGTAACCCGGATGGTGGGTTTGCTACATATGAGACCACGAGAGGAGGATATATCCTTGAGAAGCTAAATCCATCAGAAGTTTTCGGTAAGAATCTGTATTTACTGTGTCTTATGAACCACATATTCTAGACTTAGACTTAATACAAGAGAGAAATTTGTTGACGATCAGCCATTCATCAAGTCTTTTGTCTTCTTTGTGCATGGCTGATCGTCAACAAAACGGAGTTAAGTCTTTTGTCAACTCTATTTGTTGCTACGGCAGGCAGCCAGTGAAAACAAATTTGTTTTGTCAAATAATGGAAATGTAAGCATTACTTTAAACAGACAAAACTTTGTTATTCCTGGCTCATTTTTCCTGATTGAGATGTCATTTGAAAGGGCAAAAAATGGATTTTCTAGAAATGTAATTTTCTCTTTGAAATTCAGATACCGCCCGCCAAATGACTTTTTGGTTTCCTCTCTTCAAATTGTTTTTAATCACCCATGCGTGAAATATGCATCATATGAATTGCTTCAAATGAAAGAGGAGGATCTAAGATTTACAAATATGTGTCCTTTATTAATTATAATTGTGATTAAGTTATGATAAAACATTGACAATTTTCGGTTTCGTTTTTTCTTGGACGCACTGTATAGGTGATATCATGATAGACTACACATATGTGGAGTGTACAGTAGCCGTCCTGCTTGCCCTTCACCATTTCCATACTCAATATCCTGAGTACAGGACTGACGAGATAAGGTATGAAGCGTATTGTAGTTGCTATTTCTTGATTGTTATTGTTGAACTATTCTCAGGACCTCTGTTGGTATCATTTCCAAGCTATCAGTTAATAAGGTAGCAAGAATTCACCTCGTTTAAATTTAGAAAAAGAGAAGTATCCTGAGGAATAACATAGGATGAGCCTCCCCCTCGTATTTATAACAATTTAAAGGGAGGCTTTACTACTTCAGCAAGAAGGGATTAGACCACCCAGTGAGCCATCGAGGTCATTGTGACAGGTGGCTATCTCATTAACTCAGCTCTCATTTAACATAAGAAAAAGAGGATCATGGGGGACCAACAGGCACCAACAGGCACCGATTTGGGGAGCAAGTAGCTACAAGTAGGACAGTGTGCCTTTAAATCAATTTAAATGTCTAATTTTTGCTATGTTTCTCGCTCATAATAATCAAAGATCTGATGAGGAGAGCCATGTGAAATTGATATCATTCTCTTGCCATGAAATTCTAGAGATCTTTACCTATTTTCTTCTGCTAGGTGTTCATTAATCAGGGCGTTGCATTTACTTGATGGGTTGATTGAATGTATCATTGAGACATTGACCATGTTTATTTATCTCTAATTATAATCACAGACCAAGCTCTTGATTAAGTTGAAGTACAATTTATATGCATATATACAATACTAAATGTTAAAATGAAACATCTTCAATTGAAATCATTATGTGGTGGGGAAAACGGAGAACAATGGCCTATCAAGGTTATTCCCAAACATAATGAAATTTACATAAAATGTTTCTTAAATATACTAAAAACAAAATGGAAGTACTAAGATTAAAATGACACAAAACATCATGTATCATTAACCATTGTGTATTTATCTCTGATTGTAATCACAGATCAGTCATGGACCAAGCTCTTGATTACATCAAAGGAAAACAGCAACCAGATGGATCATGGGAAGGGTAAATACTGGCTATTCTATACACATCTTTATGTGATGCATCTTGGGTACTGCGTTGTGTGGTGCCATTTTGCATCCGTTAGAACCACTGGCTAAGTGATAACTGTCTTGAGAACAACTTGTTTAATGTATGATTTTTTTATAAATTTATTTATTAAAATGTTAATGATTATAGTAATAGTCAAAATTGTATGGTGCTTATCACTACGTTTCTAAAGGCTTTGCATAGTAATCATTAATAATCCAGCCTTTACCACACTTTACCACAATTGATAAGTGAACATGTGCAGCTCCCTGAGGAGTATTCCTGCCAGGTACCATTTCACAAGCGCATACCATAAGTACATGCCAATTCAACCACATTGATGTTTGTATCCTACCAGCTAGGTGCCCATTTAACCACATTGATGTTTGTATCCTACCAGCTAGGTGCCCATTCAACCACATTGATGTTTGTATCCTACCAGCTAGGTGCCCATTTAACCACATTGATGTTTGTATCCTACCAGCTAGGTGCCCATTTAACCACATTGATGTTTGTATCCTACCAGCTAGGTGCCCATTTAACCACATTGATGTTTGTATCCTACCAGCTAGGTGCCCATTCAACCACATTGATGTTTGTATCCTACCAGCTAGGTGCCCATTTAACCACATTGATGTTTGTATCCTACCAGCTAGGTGCCCATTCAACCACATTGATGTTTGTATCCTACCAGCTAGGTGCCCATTCAACCACATTGATGTTTGTATCCTACCGGCTAGGTGCCCATTCAACCACATTGATGTTTGTATCCTACCAGCTAGGTGCCCTTTCAACCACATTGATGTTTGTATCCTACCAGCTAGGTGCCCATTCAACCACATTGATGTGTGTATCCTACCAGCTAGGTGCCCATTCAACCACATTGATGTTTGTATCCTACCAGCTAGGTGCCCATTCAACCACATTGATGTTTGTATCCTACCAGCTAGGTGCCCATTCAACCACATTGATGTTTGTATCCTACCAGCTAGGTGCCCATTCAACCACATTGATGTTTGTATCCTACCAGCTAGGTGCCCATTCAACCACATTGATGTTTGTATCCTACCAGCTAGGTGCCCATTCAACCACATTGATGTTTGTATCCTACCAGCTAGGTGCCCATTCAACCACATTGATGTTTGTATCCTACCAGCTAGGTGCCCATTCAACCACATTGATGTTTATATCCTACCAACTAGGTGCCCATTCAACCACATTGATGTTTGTATCCTACCAGCTAGGTGCCCATTCAACCACATTGATGTTTGTATCCTACCAACTAGGTGCCCATTCAACCACATTGATGTTTGTATCCTACCAGCTAGGTGCCCATTCAACCACATTGATGTTTGTATCCTACCAGCTAGGTGCCCATTTAACCACATTGATGTTTGTATCCTACCAGCTAGGTGCCCATTCAACCACATTGATGTTTGTATCCTACCAGCTAGGTGCCCATTCAACCACATTGATGTTTGTATCCTACCAGCTAGGTGCCCATTTAACCACATTGATGTTTGTATCCTACCAGCTAGGTGCCCATTCAACCACATTGATGTTTGTATCCTACCAGCTAGGTGCCCATTTAACCACATTGATGTTTGTATCCTACCAGCTAGGTGCCCATTCAACCACATTGATGTTTGTATCCTACCAGCTAGGTGCCCATTTAACCACATTGATGTTTGTATCCTACCAGCTAGGTGCCCATTCAACCACATTGATGTTTGTATCCTACCAGCTAGGTGCCCATTTAACCACATTGATGTTTGTATCCTACCAGCTAGGTGCCCATTTAACCACATTGATGTTTGTATCCTACCAGCTAGGTGCCCATTTAACCCTATTTAGCCCGGGGGGGGGGCTTGAGAAGCCCCCCCCTCGACATTTTTCGCGATAATTTTTTAACGCAAAAAAATCTTGCACTGAAATTTTGTGACTTTTTTCTTTCGAGTCTTGCGCATCTTTTGAAAGAAATTTTTCGAAAATCGGACCTACCGTTACGAAGTCACGTGTCCTTTTGTCTTTGCATGTCAGCCCGAAAATCGCTCATTTTTGTGATTTGTGTACAAAACATATGTAAATCTCATTTTTCAAATAAAGAGATAAAACATTGGTTATTTGGTCTTGTTTATAGTTTAGGTGTTTATTTTTGGGTCAAAATAGTTGAATTATAGTTGGAAATGAAATAAAACAACAAAAACAATAAAATACATAACTTAAAAAAAAACAAAGAAATACATAAGAAATTATCAAAACAATAGATAACATAAGGAATAACCCTGGTTTTTCAATTTTTTGTGTTGTATTATTATTCCAAATGGTCTAACAAATATATGTAGTGAGAAAGAATGCTTAAATATGAATAATGTCTGATTTATGGGCAAAAATGTGAATTTTATGACCTTATTTGCATAAATTACCATAAATATGCAAATGAGTGAATTTTTCAAAAAATTGAAATTACCATAGTATTCTATACACTTCACTTGACATGTATGCAAATTTTCGCGGCGATCGGGCGTTTCACGGCCGAGATCATAGGGGGGGGCCTGAGAAGCCCCCCCCTGGGCTATGCAGTTTCAAAATAGCCCGGGCTAAATAGGGTTAACACCTGGGTAGAGAGAAGCACTCTAGATCAAATAAAAAGCTTCAGAACCATAAGTGTTGTGCTTTGCGGAGGCATAAAGATATTTGGCATACACATATTATTGTAGGTTGTTGTTTTGACATTCATTGACACAGGTCACTTGAGATACATGTTGCACACATACACCTGTACATTAACTGCTCATTTTTACATGGTTTTAGATTTAAAACCCTTGAAGTTTGTAAAATTTCTGTGAGTGCAATATTTTATCAAGCTTTGATATGATCGTAGTATTTTTGACATAAATTTCTTTCAGGTCGTGGGGAGTCTGTTTCACATACGCTGCCTGGTTTGGTCTGGAAGGATTTGGCTCCATGGGGCTTAGATATGACAAAGAGTAAGATCATATTACCTTCCTATCTTTACAAGAATCATTGCTGGATAGAGAAATAGGTTTATTGCCGGTTGGTCTACAACAAGTTTGTCTACTTCCCAATTGGTCTGTTCCCATATGTTCAACACCCAGAGCTCATCTACTATCCAAATGGTCCAATAATCATGTTATCTACTTTCATTTGGTCTAATGACCATTTAGTCTTATAGTCATGGTCTAATTTCCATTTGGTCTACCGTATTTGCCGGCGATAAAAAAAATTATAAAAAAATTTGTCGGAGGCGGGATATGAACCGTTGCGCACAAATGTATATAGCGACCTGAACCACCGCCTTAGACCGCTCGACCATCCCGGCCCTGATGCTTTCTCTGGCAGCTTACTCTTTTGTAGGCCTATTACGCCATATAGCTTTGCTCACGCGAGCTGAGACTGAGAGGATTGAGGTTGCTTTTAGCTATGGCAAAAACTTATCTAGATCTACCAGTAGAGTTTGGTTAGTAAGTTATGAATTTTATTTACGAGATTGACAGAACTTTGCCCTTCATTTAAAAAATATAACATAATTGTCGGTAAGACATGTGTTATTCTAGACGGTTATTCTAGAAATGTCCATCACCTTTCATTGTTGTCCCATATGTACAAATTCGTGCTGCTTTTCATGGTTTTGACTTGCAATTTTTTAATTTTTTTTTATTACTCTTTCGCCGCTAAGGCCGCAACCCAACTTTTTGATATTTTCTCTTCCAAAAATACTGCGGCCTTTATGCCGGCAAATACGGTATTGCTCATTTAGTCGAATTTCCAGATATGATTTTATTATAGACCTCAACATAACAGACCATTTGGGACCCTCTGTATAATACTCAATTATGTGCTTGTTTGAAATTCAAATACAACACAAACATTTGTAAATCTATCATATTGCCTTCCATTTCAAGCAATAAGTTCATCATCAAAGCGAGTTAAGAGAAGAGAAATTTAATTGCTTTTTTTCTTTTTTTCGCAGTCTTGCTAGCAGTGAAGTGAAGAAAGCTTGTCAGTTCTTGGTTTCTAAGCAGATGGAAGATGGAGGATGGGGAGAGAAATTTGAGTCGTGCGAGGAGCGATGCTACGTCCAGTGTGAGACATCACAAGTTATCAACACATGCTGGGCCTTGCTAGGTCTTATGGCAGTCAGGTACACACATGCTTGGTCTTACATGCTATGCCTTGCTGGGCACACCATAGTAGATCAACAGCCTTTAGAACGACAGCCCACAAGACACGACAGTGTTGTTCTTGTGAACCTTCATGAAAATTCCCACTACCGCAACTACAGTATTTGACCATAGAGGTATATGGGTATAGCGATGGGTATATTGTGCAAAGGCAAGGTTTCCATACAAATACAATGAGTTGAGAATTAATTAATATGAAAGTCTGTTAGAAATTATAGTTTCAGAACAAAAAAAACTATAAGTAAAAGATTATGATTGTGCCTACATAGATCACATCAAATCGTTGGGGGAGCTCATGAAACCTGAACAATAGTTTAGAAAAATATGGAAAAAGTTGACAAGTACTGCTAAACATTCTCTTTGGAAGCTGGAAGAAACCTTATCTCAATCGTCTTCCCCAGTATTGTATCTGCGCATGTGCTGACCTGCGCAGTGTGGGAGGAAGGTCCCCATCTATACTGTTGAATATTGTATTTGCAGTAGGGTCAATAGTTTTCAAGGCCCTCAAGACTGTCATGTGGTCTTGTGGGCTGTTGATCTAAATGGCTGTAGTCACCTTAGGTAGTTAATTCTCTCAAGCCTTGCTCACATATCGCGCTGTAAAAACTGCAGTAGTTTATGTGCCATGATATGTCCACCTTTTCTTCTTTGCTAGGCGTTTATGGGATGGGTCTGAAAATAATAATAATAATAATAATAATACATAACATTTATTAGGCGCTTAATACTGATGTTTCTAAGCGCACAGTGTTCTGATTAAGAGAAGACTATAACCCGTAGAATTAAATTAGAAGAAAAAGCAACAATACAAAAGTAACATAGATAAGGTCTGAAACTGTGTTGACCACACAATACTTCTACAGCGTATGGACAAGCTTTTTGGCATCTCAGGAATGGTGAGATCGTGGTTTGACTCGTACCTGTCAGACAGAAGCTTCAGGATGAAGGTTGTGAATGAGCTATCAGAACAAAAACCTCTGAGATTCGGAGTTGCACAAGGCTCAGTGGTTGGTCCTCAACTTTTCAGTTTATACACTCATCCTGTAGCTGATATCATCAAGCATCATGCAGGGATACAACACCACATCTATGCAGATGACGTGCAACTGTACATCTCTGTCGATCCAAAGGACAGGCATGCAATGACAGCTGCTCTTGAGTCATTATCTGCGTGTATCATCAATCTGCAACAATGGATGAAGAGCAACATGTTGAAACTGAACTCTGAAAAAACGGATTTCCTTATTGTTGCTAGTCCACGCTATCGACATCTCATATCAGGGATTGTTCTGACCATTGGTGGTACAGTTATCGAGCCTTCAACCTCTATCCGAAGTTTGGGTGTTGAGATTGACGTTAATCTGAAGTTGAATCGCCACGTGTCATCTCTATCCAGTTCGCTTCACTTTCATTTGTCCAACATAGCACGCATCAGGCCCTTCCTGGACCAGTCTGCATGTGAGCATGCTGTGAGAGCGCTCGTCTCGTCTAGGATCGACTACGCAAACTCCCTTCTCTGTGGCACTTCTGCATTAAATGTGAAGCGTCTGCAGCGAGCTCAGAACCGTGCTGCAAAGTTGGTTTTTCGGGCCAAGAAGTACGACCATGTAACACCTTTCCTACAACAACTTCATTGGCTCCCCGTTGAAAAGCGCATAACATACAAAATTCTGACTATTACATACAAATGTCTTAATAATTCTGCTCCCAACTACCTCACGAAACTCTTACGTAAGCATCAAACAGCAAGACCAGGGCTCCGATCAAGCAATGACCCAGCACTACTCGCAGTTCCAAGGACCAATACATGTACAGGTGACAAATCCTTCTCTTCTGCTGCACCACGCCTATGGAACAACCTCCCCCAGAACGTACGGACGTCGTCTACCCTTTCTCAGTTCCAGAAGTCCCTTAAGACATTTCTATTTAATACTTAATCTGTACCTGTAATATTACATGTAGTTTATAAGTTATTTTGTAAGACAATTTTTTTTTTTTTATTTTTTTTTATGCGTAATCAGGAAATGTAATCAGTTCATAAGTTATTTTGTTATTGATATTCTTATATATGTATATGATATGTAAAGCGCTGTGATACATTTACTGTAATGAGCGCTATATAAATGCAAATATTATTATTATTATTATAAGGTAAGAAAAACAGTGGCAATCAACTAAATAAAGACAAATATGGTGCGCACCTCTATTGACCGACGCACAACTGCAATTTACAATTTGAAAAGATAGGTTTTGAGTAGAGATTTGAATTGAGATACAGAGGGGGCGCAGTGAATAAAGGCGGGCAGTTTGTTCCAGAGAGCGGGGGCAATAACTGAAAAGGCGCGGTCACCATACCGGGTGTTAGTGCGGGGTCCAGGTGTTAACAGTAATGTGGAAGATGAACGAAGTGTTCGTGACGACGTACGGGAACGTAAGGATATGAGATCGGAAAGGTAAGAGGGGGCTAAGCCATTGATAGCTTTGTAGCACAGGAGAAGAATTTTGAAGGATATGCGGTGGTGAATTTTAAGCCAATGTAGTGAGTTCAATATTGGAGTTATGTGCTCTGATTTACGCGAGAGAGTCACAAGCCGAGCAGCGCTATTCTGTACCCTTTGAAGTGGGACTAGATGTGACTGAGGGAGGCCAGAAAGAGAAGAATTACAGTAATCGATATGGGTCGAGACAAAAGCATGGACTAATTTTGAAGTTGTGGGTCGGTCAAGTAGCCTCCTGATTCTACTGATCTTATATATACCAAAGGAAGCAGACTTACAAATATTACTAATGTGTTGTTTGAAAGTAAGATTGCTGTCAATATTTAAACCAAGGTCACGCACAGAAGCACAACAACTGAGAGAGCCATCACTCATAACAAGATCAGGAAAGGGGTCTGAGTTCCGAAATTTAGAAGTAATATGAATCATTTCAGATTTTGAATCATTAAGGCAGAGACAGTTTTGAAAAGACCAGGTTTTGATTTCATTGAGGCAACTGGTGAGTTTGTTCGCGGCTACTGTCCTGCTGTTTGGGTGAAGAGTTACATAAATCTGGGTGTCGTCTGCATACATAGTGTGTTGAATATTCTGATGAAGGTTAATAACATTTGAGAGAGGGCTGGTGTAAAGAATAAACAGGAGGGGGCCGACCACGGAACCCTGAGGAACGCCGCAGATGAGGGGAAATGATTCCGAGTTGGTGTCATTGATGATCACCTTCTGAGTTCGGTGCATGAGATAGGAGCGAATCCACTGAAGTACGGTGCCGGTGATGGAGAAGTCGTTCTCTAAGCGATGGAGTAACAGGTCGTGGTTGATAGTGTCAAATGCGGCAGTGTAATCAAGCAAGATGAGGACAGCTTCATTACCCTTATCTACAGCTAGAAGTAGGTCATTTAGGACCTTGACAGTTGCAGTCTCAGTAGAATGATGATTCCGATAGGCAGATTGGTGGATTGGAAACAAACCGAGATTGTCAATGTGGGCTTTCAGCTGTAGTGACACAATACGTTCCAAAACCTTCCCAAGGAATGGCAAGTTTGCGATGGGCCTGTAGTTCTTAAGTCCATTCGTGTCGAGACTCGGCTTCTTTAGGAGGGGAAGAAGCAGAGAAGTCTTAAAAGACTCTGGAACTATTCCGGATGATAACGAGAGATTGAACAGTTTGGTTATGTGAGGAAGGAGTTCATCGAGGACTTCCTTTAGGAGCCAGGTAGGAATCGGATCTAGCTTACAGTGTTTAGAAGGAAGTGAAGTGATGAGCTTCCTGACTTGTGAGAGGGATACAAGGCAGAAATCAGAGAGTTCATGACGAGGGCCTGGAGCAAAAGATCTTGAAGCTGGTGCTGGTACTACATTAGGGAAAGAGGATACAACTTTGGCGACTTTTTCCCTGAAGAATGTAGCAAATCTGTTGGCGAGTTCACTATCAGAAGAATGATCTGGAAGAGGTGAAGATTGAGTGGGCGTTGAGAGTGTCTTCACAAGACGAAACAGTTCTTTAGTGTCAGCATTCTTGATGAGATCTTTGAGATACGCTGACTTCGCATTGAAGATGCACTCATAATATGAATCGCATTCACGGCGGTACAGCTCTCTATCAACAAAAAGTCCAGACTTGATCGAACGACGTTCCGCACGACGCCTTCGCCTCTTGGCTTCCTGGATATCATCGGTAAACCATGGCGCATCAGGTCTGATTGATACAGTCTTGACCTGGATTGGAGCGTGCTCATCAATCAACGTCCGCAAAGATGAGTTGTAATGCTCCGCGGAAGCACATGGACAAGATAGATCAGGAAGTGAATGGAACATTGTGTCAATAGAGTTGCGTAGAGAGTCCTTGTCAATGCTGCGATATTTCCTGAAGGAAACCTCTTTCTTGGGATTCTTCGGCCTTGCGATATTGACAGTGGTGACAAGTGCACAATGGTCGGAAGGCATGGAAGATAGCGAGTTCACGTTGCAGACATCATCCGAATTCCTTGTGAAAATCAAATCTAGAGTGTGACCTGCGCGATGGGTTGGTTCACGAACATGTTGCTTGAACCCTAACGAATCAACACATGTCATAACAGATTTTGCAAAATTATCATTGGGATCATCAACATGTATGTTGAAATCACCCAATAATAGAGGAAAATGATCATCTACAACAGCACCTTCAAGGAGAGTTGGAAATTCATCCAAGAATGTGCCGTTGGAGAGATTATTATTGGCAGACGGGGGTGGTCGATAAATACAGTACAACCTTACAGCAGATGAAGGTGTCAGATTGAGTGTGACATCCAGTAATTCAAAAGATGCAAAATCATTGTTGTTGTTCAAGGTACAGCGAGCCGTGGATCTATAGAGAAGCAAAATCCCACCGCCCTTGGAAGATAACCGGGGTCGATGGGTGAAATCATAATTAGGCAAACCAGATCTTAGATCAGCTAATATGAGACCATCCCTTTTACTGTCTCCAGAGAGCCACGACTCGGTGATGACTAGAACATCTAGATCATGTTCAACAATCAAATCAGTAATTGCGTGTGTTTTATTGGTCATGGAACGTGCATTCCAAAGGCCAAGTTTGAGGCTATTGGATGATACCGACATTGGTGGAGGGAAATCCGGCCTTGGCATCGTACGCCGCCCACGTCCGCGATGAGTTCGACGTCGGCGACCGATGCCAAGATCACAGATCCTGCTCCAAACATTCATGGGTAGTAAATTAAGCGGCTGGTTATTAATCTGATGGAGATCATTCAAGTTGTATGAAATATGTAAAGCTGTACAATCAGCTGAATAAGGAGGTGAGTTGGTATGGCCAATATTGGAAACATTCTCAGTGCGATTCACTGGACCAGGATTGGGCTGGATATCTCCAGAATTAAGGAGACATCGAAATGTAGCTGTCGAATTACAGTAGTATAGTATAGGTTGACTACAATATTTGAGATGTTTACAGTGCAGGCTCTTCATGTGTGAGCCAGTATAAGTGAAACATTCCTTGGTTATATAGGGCTGATTCAAAGTGTACAGAATAGAAATAACAAGCCCTATAGAAAACAACACTTTCAATGGCTTTCCATCCATTGTACAAGCAGGAATAGCTTACACAAAAGGAGCATACAAAAGAGACTATTGTGAATGTCAGTACATTCAAATGGTATACAAGCAAAGTACCAGTAAAGCTTAATGCACATGCCTGTACAGTAAAATTGAACAAGAACATCAAACATTAAACTTAACAGAAATACTGCAAATTCACACCAAAATACACCTTACAAATTGATTACCTCTGTTCCTTGACCAATATCAAACACAATGTTGAAAATACAAATACTAAATCCAACCAAAATTGGTGAAAAATGAAACAAATTACAGAGCTCAAAATGAGAGAGGCTACCTATAGAGGTGCACACCAAAAGAAAAAAATCTCCTGCTTCATCATCGGATCAGAGCCAGAAGGACGTTAACTCTGTTTTTAATGATTTAATGTCCTTCTAGCCCCGAACAGACAATTCATTGTAAAAGATTAAGTTGTATAACATAAGATTACTTAGGTACACAGATGGCTCCGATAGGAAAATGGTGTTCACCTTTTTACAAAAAATGCAGATTCTGAAGTAAATACTAATAATTATGCCACTGACTGATTTTTTAAAATTGGCGCCCAAAGTGCTCAAGTTTTATGTTTTAGGTGCCCAGTGGCGGCCCACCAGTGTTTTGATATACTGTACTCGGATGTACAGTTAGCATTTAGACTTATATTGCGTACCTAACTAGATTGCTTTGAACTCTGTAAAGCAATGTGACACCTTGTACTATATATAAGGACACTACATACACATACATGAAAATCAATTGATTGTATTCCGTATATATCCTTATATCCCTGTAGGTACCCTGACCGTAGAGTGATGGATCGTGGCATACAGCTCATCATGTCAAGACAAAGTGAGAATGGAGACTGGCCCCAGGTAGGAACCTAGGAGTTTATCTCTCTCAAGATTTATTCATGTCATTACTACATGTTAAGTTAGTCATTTTAGTAGTTATAAGATTAGTTTATTTCTCTGTGTTGATTCCTTTTGTGTGATTATACTTCTCGTCATTCATGCTTGTACAGCGCATGGAGAAACTTTTGTTTATTATGCGCTTTGTATGTATTATTATTATTATTATTATTACAGCAAAAGAGATTATTACAACATTGTAGGTTTCCTATTATGGGACAGAATTAGTGTTTAAAAGGGAGAAGGTCATCAGTTTCCATGTGCAGAAGGTCATAAATTGCTGACACCAGACTTGGTGTAAATACCATTAATAGGTGTACAAGTCTACACACAGCAAACTTGTAGGCCAACCAAGAAATGCTGTCTAGTCTCTTAGAGACTTTTTTTGGAATTGTTCTGTTTTTTTCTCAAAATTACAGTCGTACGTTTTTTCTTGAAAACATTTTGTTTTCAATTTTTTTTCTTTCGCACATACTTGTTTCTGCTATCAAGATTGGGTAAACCTTTTCTGCCTGCTTTCTTTATAGGAGAACATCAATGGTGTATTCAACAAGTCGTGCGCTATCAGCTACACCAGCTATCGCAATATCTTCCCCATCTGGACTCTAGGACGCTACGCCAAACTATATCCAAACGATGCATCTCCCTTAGAAGACAAGTCGGACAGTAACAGCTCAGACTGGGAAAAACTCTAGTCTTCTCGGTTGATGAAAAAGTCAAACCTGCTATAGCCACCACCTGTATAGAAAGATTACCTGTCTATAAAGACCACCTGTCTGTAAAGACCACATTCTTTGTGTCCCTCATATATGGTTTCTCCTTGAAACATGTACTAAAGGAACCTTCACATAAAGACCACCTGCCTATAAAGATCACTTTTCATGTTTCCCTGGAGCGGTCTTTATAGACAGGTTTCACTGTACAACCCTGATTAGACAGACCCTTTCCATACATAGGCTAATCCTGAGGACCTTGCTCTTCACCAATCAATGATAAATGTTTTGATGAGGGATATCAATTGTTCTTTCCTTCAAAGGGAATTTTTTTAATTGTAGATTTTGAAAGGTAACGCTGTAATGAAAGGAATGAAAGAAAAACAAAACTCTTTGAAGACTATGACCCTTCAATTTTGTTATTTGAATAAATTAGTGATAATTTTGGTCCCTTATAGTTCCAAAAAGAATATATAGTTAAAAGTAGTAGTGGTAATAGTAGTTATGGCAGCAGTAGTAATAGTAGTAATTGTAGTATTAGTAGTAATAGTAGTATTATTAGTGGTACTATTAGTAATGATTTATTGGAAAATACATTTGCAGTCAACTGATGGAATTGCAGAATTTTATGTAGAGTAGAAAAAATGCAGATGGCAGCTTATCATACATAGCGAATGATGTCTTTCTTATGAGTTAAAGTATCAAATTAGAGTGGTAATGCATTTTGTTTCAATTGAACAAATCAGTTACGTATATGTAGGCTCATATAAATATAGTTCACAAAACAGTGAGGAGCAATTTGTATGAAAACATTACGCCATAGATGATTATCCCCATCATGAAATACTGTGTATATATTTATGTTAAAGATATTGAGATCAAAGTGCAAAGTACACCAGTATTACCAGTTTATGTTGAGTTCAATTCAATGAAGTATGGTTGTGGGCTGTTGAGAAATAATGCGGTTCTTTATTTCATCTGATCCCTAACATAATGTCTTTTGGCAAGACATTAATTTACATTTTCCACACTCCACCCAGGTGAGATAAATTGGTACCTGTTGTGAATTAATTCCTTGAAATGCTTAGTAGCGCTTAATAGCGCTTAGAAACTTTGGTGGAAAGCACTTTATGACCACCGTTTTATTATTATTATTTATATCCCTCATGTACAGTTGTTTGCATTGCGATTGTACAGAGCACGAAAAAGGTATAGATAAGTACTATCTACCTGAGATAGGTCTTTTTGTAAAGTAATTTTTTGCTGCTGCCCCACTTGCGCGACTTGCGCATTGAATAAGCATAGCAAAGTAGGTTACGCGAAATGTCAAAGTCGACGTCAATGTCAAATGAGTGCGCATCGACTGTATTACATGTATGCCTGTTGTGCTTTGTAAAATCTAGCTGAAGCTAAACTGTCTGCAAAATTGTTTTAATTATGTAAAATTCACTTTAAATAGACCTTATTGCCGATGTGGGATATAAAACAAATATTGATATTTGCTTAATATGCTAGAGCGCCATCATGGCAGCCATGCTAAAGCCAGTGAATATGTACTCCCTAAAAAAGGGATTTTAGACTGCTCTAGACTAGAAGGAGAGGTGTCATAGTTGAGTGGTTTAAGCTCTTGACGTGAAATGCAAAGGTCGTGGGTTCAATCCCAGACATGGCACTAATGTCTTTTGGCACTCCATACCTAGGAGAGAAATGGGGACCTGGTAGGATGATGAAAACCTTTGTTAGTAATTGCCATATGCCCTCACGGTGACCATATGGTAGGAATACTCCCCAGGGAGTGGAGATGGTGCACATTGTGCGTGAATGAATCCGAGGACCTGGTTAATAATATCTGTAAAGCGCTTAGAGAGGGTATTTTGTATTAAGCGCTATATAAATCCAGATTATTATTATGTGATATTGCTAACATATTTCTCAAATACAGATATTTCGTTTTGGGGCAAATATTAAAAGTTTGTATGAAATGAAATTGCTACCATCTCAAATTGGTAATTTGGTCAGTGGATTGTTACGTAATAATAATAAACCACTCTTATATAGCCATATCTTGAAATTTTCTACTGTATGAACCTGCTTAAGATGACTAGGTAATTTATTTCATAACTCTGCAGCTACCAGTTGATTTATTAATGTTTTGCAAAATGTATTATACTTTAAATTTGCATGAAATGTGATAAAAGCGACCAATCAACCAACATCGCTCGTCTCGTAGTCTTGTGTTGTTACTATTGGCTGTCACTGACTCCCTTGTATGATTTCACGATTCCTTTGCAAAACAAAGCCTGTTAATTTAATTTTCTCTTTTAATTTTAATTTGTATTGAAAAGAATCTACATGCTCAATAGACATACTGGTAGCAATAAAAGGGAATTTACAAGCTTGGTATGTTTTTTTTTTACTAGATTACTAGATTACCCCATATTTCACCACAAATATAGGTGTCTAATTTTGGTTTAAATACCAACTCCCAGCCCCTGTGGTCTTCTGTACCCTATACCATATTTTATTGTGTTGTTCAGTGTGTTTTCTACACCAAACTAACATTTCAGCCAAAATTTAGGTTCTGATAACATGCATAAAAACACTGGTGGGCCCTTAAAACATAAAACTTGTGCCCTGATATTCAAAAATCAGTCAGTGGCATAATTTTTAGCATTATATTTTACTTAAAAATAAAAACATAAAATTTGGGCACAGATTTAAAAGGTGAACACCATTTCCCTGTTCTAAGAATCGATTTTCAACCCTATCCCTCGATAGAGGGAAGTATGTTCCCCTTTATTTGAAGAATAAAAGTTTAAAAATGAAATGTAAATTTGCCTATTTAAAAAGCAATTCTTTTTCCAGACCTGCAGTTGGGCTATCATAAATAAAATGTGAGAATTAAATAAAATAAAACTAAACAAAAACAGAAACAAAACAAAATCACATCTGTAGACAGAAGGGCGTTTCTAACTTGAATAATTTATTTCCAATGTTTCGGAAACAACAGAAAAAAAAATGTGTAAATGAACAAATGGCAAACGGGCGGTAAATGAATGTTTACTAGATAACCATTTTTTTCCTTATGATTATACAACATTTAAATCTGTTAACCGGACATGTAACAGAATAAAAACCCAGAATTTGTTTATGTCTCAATGTACTCCTAAGGTTTCAACAAGAAATGAGTTTCTTATCCTTACAGGTCCAGGTTTACAGTGGATAGAACTCGATCTAGCTTACCAGGAAACAATAACTGTCGTTGTATGTACCATACTCCAAAGCGATGGTTTGTTGCTTTCATACATGTATGTCAACTATACCTGCAACAACCACCTCTGTGAATGAAACACACAGATCATAACCAGTTTAAAATTTACAAGAAAAATGATTTCAAAACGTTTTTTTGCAGTGGTATTCTGAATCTTGTTATAAACGATAACTTTACATCCTCTTACGCTGGTAGATGTGAGCTAACACAACAAACGTATGAATGGCTTCAGCCTTTAAAGGCATTCCAACTATATCACGGCTTCCCTCCAAATGTTCTTCTTCACGGATAACAGAACGCAATGGAATAATTCGACAGCAGCAGTTGGTTTTAGAAAATTAAATACACACTAAAACATACAGCCTTTGTGTTTTTGAATGATGGAATGTAGACCAGCCATTCAGTCGTGTATCAAAGACATTTACCCCATGCTACCCACAAAACTAGAATTTTGTAAGACACATTCCAGATTCAATCAATGAACATAATGGGTTATTGGCATATGACGACGATATCAATGTTTTCTGAGTAAAGAATTCTTCTGCTTACAAGCTTCAAAGCAAATATTCCACTGACCCGCACCAATGAAAGAGTGAATGGCTTTGAGCACTGACTGCGCGTGCCACATGGAAATATATATATATCTAACACCCGTGTTATTCACCATGCAGCAGTCAGTCGCTGATACTGCAATGTCATACGTCCTTCCATTGACGTGGGTCAGTCGGTGACCTGCTGACTTACTGTAGAGGTAGTGTGTATCTGTGTCGTTAAAGGGAAATCCAACCGCGCTAGCAAACTACTCTAGGAGCCAAGGAAAGCAGAAAAATAAGACGAGCAGACTGGCAAAAGTTTGAACGAAATCGGACAAAAACTAAGAAAGTTATGAATTTTTGACAGATGTAATCACTATAGAGGTATGGGCTCTTCAAATTGGCTGTATCAGTAATTCAAACTCTCACTGTTCTGCTTATCTTGTTTTCATGCTTTCATACAATTGAAGGGTTGGATTGCCCTTTAACTCAACATTCATAAGATGTAATTAAGGCATTATTTCACATCAACCAAATGCTCGTATACCATGTTATCATTTGGAATTCACAATCACTTAAAACAAAAAAACATGCTAGATCGATTCTATGAATGATGCGTGAAATAAATCAATTTCACGACGGCAATACACAAGAAGTCACAAGTGGAGGTTGCCCGACTGCATAAGAATGAAAAATTGTAAAATGGTGCAAATGTCAATTCTAAATCTACAAAAATGTACATTTGATTGGAGAGAGATAACAAAAATCCAAAATATTCCATTCGAAAAATTCCTCTTCCAAAATTTTCAATAACAAGTATATAGTAATTCCTTAAAGAGTATTTGAAAACTACTGTACAAGAATCTGGATGCATCAGCACAGCTGCATGCAGTCCACAAATGATTATGAATCCATTCCCCGAAAGAAAATCTTCATGAAAACTTTGAAATGCTCAAAAAAATATGCTATATAAGTATAATTTGACTTCTATTTGTACCGGCAATGAGGGTATGCAAAATGTTAAGACCATTGTGACGAGTGTTAAGGTGCAAAAGACAAACAGTACTACACAAATAAATTGCATGCATTGACTATTTTTTCTAGATTTACCCTACAGCTGATTGGTTGCCTATTTGAAGTTTCACTGTATATAAGCATATCATTCTGGGCATCGCTACATATTGATCCAGCCCAATTCCCTATAAGAATAGAAAGAGGCTCTTAAAATCACAACCTCACTCACAATCTACAGAGATATCTGGTTGGGAGAAGTCGTAAAAAGCACTAAAATAAACACTACGGAAAAAAACTTTATAGGTACGGTATATATTTCTACAGATAATGCAACCTTATGAACCATTCATACATATTGTGATTCTTAATATCTACCATGCATTTTAAACTACAGAGTACAGACTTATGTGATGTTTGATGTCTGTGTGAGTATAACATACAAGAAAGTCTGCTTTAACTCAACTCACAAACTCAATCAAGACTTCTTTAATACATTACATTGTGTTGGTTGTTAGTTAAGACTAAACATACGTGAGCACGACATGCCAATGTAACTGGTTCGCGCTACATCCCATTAAGCATGTCTGTAACATGTCTCATTCTGCTCTCTACTAATTACAAGTAAATACAACATTATTCAATCATTGACTAGGAAACATGACAAAAAGGAAAGAAAATAAATCACATAATATATAGATACTCCACTTGTGACTACTTGCGCAAGAAATTAATATCCATCCTACATCGTCTCGTCTGCGAGGTACAGCCGACTACTTGGGGGTCGGAGACCCGATCCTCAAATGAAATAAGGTCAAACAGAAATGTTCTGCTAATGTCCCCTGACTCTGTTGTCCGTTTGTAGGACTCGACTGCACAGACACAGAAACGATGTACACATGGCTTAGGAAGATGCAGCCAGATTGAATGCTGACATCACGTTTCTTTCGTATAGATCTACCCAAGAGTTGTGTATGACCGATGGGTGAAGAAATCAAGCCGGCAGACACTAAACACTGCCGATGTTGTTTTATACGATGGGCACTCTTGCCCTGACATAACCTTTTTTTTTTGCTTTTTCCATTTTTCTGTTGATTTTTTTTCTCTTCTTTTTTTAATAACTTTTGTGTTTCCCTTAGATGTTGAAAGGTTGTGGAAACAGTTTTAACTTGACTTATGGTGGCAGCGTACCTGGACAAAAATCACCATGACCTTTGACCCCTTCTGTACTGCCTTTACACGGTAACACTTTCTTATTCTGCTATTTATTAACAAAAACTTGGAGGGTAGAACAGACCCCACTCGTATCATCAAACAATTAGATACCAGCAAAGCAAAAACATTTGGCACCAAAAATATCATTATTTCCCTGCTTTTTAAATACTACATGGGTTGATTAAATTTCTTTTCTTTTTTAATAAAGGAGTTGTGCAGATCCTGATCAAACCCAACCCATGTGTCCATGAAAAGTGGGTAGGAGTTGACACGTCTATATTGGCTTTTTCAATTGGACCGTTTCATTCATATTTTTTTTCTATTTTTTTATATCAAAAGTAAAAAATAAAGTAAGAAATATAAACTCTTCTTTCTCTTTCTTTCTTTCTTTCTTATAACTTTGACTGGCCATAAAATATACAGTCATCTCAGAATTTCATCAATACATCTGAGAAACTCTGCAAGAATTTAGAAAAGTCAAGGAAAAAGGGAAAAAAATAAATAAACACACAATAAATCCCAACCCATGTTTGTATGTCTCTCAGCATCATTATCCTCGCTGAAAACAAAATGAAAATCCTTCTCTAACATTTAAAAAAACTAATTGGTTGCCGGAATGTTGTTTGCTTGTCGTCAATCAATATCTAGCAGATTGTTCTGAGTTCCCCCATCATCGGGAGGTCAAACTATTCGCCTTCTTTAGTTACAATTGTGTGTTTTGCTGCACAAGTCAAGGTTTGTTACATTAATGATTAAACTTGAAGACTATTTCTTGTTTCATGCAGAAGAGCCATCTCAATACCTCGCCCTACATTCAAGAAAACCCCTAATTACACTTTGAGGTACGGTTGTACAATAAGGCAATCATCTTTAGACACACCCAAGCAGCAAATTTGGAGTAAAAAAAAAATGTTCCACAACTCTTTTCATTTCACAGTCACTTCTCGATTGAAATTTTCCATATAAATGTAGGTTTTAACCCCTTTAAACTCTTCTGCATGAAATGTTTCTGGTCTACTGCCTAGAGGGATGTTTGGAAGAGAAAACTGAGGTAGGTCCAATATCAAATTCAGAAACAAGAAATGGCCTTCAAGAATCCACCCTTTTCTATTCATGTTTATAGACAAATATGAATGGGATTACAATTTCCATGATGCTTTCAAAAAACAATCTCATTACTCTTCATCAATCAAACTCAAAACCGACCACTTTAAATGGCCCCAAGTTGTAATGGTGAAAGCATCGTGGAAACTATGGTATCTTATCTTCTCGCGGAAAGGGTGGCAAAATTGAGAAGTAGACTTCAACTTACTATAATCCTGCCAAGACATTAACCAAAAAAAAATCCCAATCCCAAACCCAACCCCACCCATCCTACTAGGACAACGTTACATCTCTTTTACATTGTCCATGTTTCTTTTGGCAAATACTTCATAAGCTTTCAAAGTTCAAGATTGTGTGCTCTTGCACATGATCACAGTTAAATTGTCACAAACTGTGGTCATTTACTTTCACACACAAACTAACAAACACACATACACGCACACACACACTCTCTCTCTCTCTCTCTCTCTTTCTCATCGACACACTCTCACATATATATATACTCCTTCACACACTTGCCAAGATTTAACAATTCATCTTTTTTTTCTCTTTAATTCTATTTCTTTTGAAGTGTTTGTAAAATGGTTTAATTTCACTTCTTCTTTATCTTCTTTGCACTTTTTTTTTCTTCAAACAAATTCATTAACAATGCTTGGCAGTGCTTGAAATCTCTTTTTTTATGCTTCCCCTTACTACGTTAAAATTTCCGTTACTTAATTTTTAATTCCCTTGGTGATGTCATTCCAGTGGCTGCAACAGGATGTTGTTACTGTTGCTGCTGTTGTTGCTGCTGCTGTTGTGGCTGTTGCTGTTGGTTTGGTCCACCATGTTGGTTGTTTGGTCCACCACGATAGAAACGTCTGCCACCTGGTCTACCCTGGAAGTTTTGGCGTTGGACGTACTCTTGATGGGCTTGACGGATGCGTCTTTGAGCGGCCTACAGAACAATAAAACAATGTATAGCAATTAGAAACCAAGGCCTCTCTTGGTGCACGTTGAAATGGAGGAAAAGAAGAGGCATCATCAATTTTGATGAAAATTTATCATTTTATTTAGTGTTATAAAAACTGTTAGGAAAACGGAAAAAAATGAAATTTTGATTTCCAATCATAAATATCTTGATAATCAGATTGGCCATGGGCTAGTTTAAGTCATGGGATTCCTGGCTGACCTAAAGGTTTAAAATTATAATTGCAGCATTAGCTAAATCCAGAATCTGAGGCAATGTTACAGTCACTTCAAGAAATTATTTTTTTGCGATGGCATACCTGGTTAGCATAGAAGTGTCCCTCCAGCTTGACGACTACATCTCCACTGTTGTTTCCATTTTGGTTATTGCTTTCTGTTGGTGGTTCAGGGGTGCCGCTGCCCTCATCTCCAGCTCCGTCCCCCCTGCGACGTGGGACCTCAACACGAGCTCCGGTAACACGCTGTAGCTCCCTCACCTACAAAGAACATGGTCATAAGAATAAGATTAAGTTTGTTTATAGCGCATGCAACACTTTGAACATATAGCATCATCCAGGGAGGGACCCATTTCACAAAGCCTTTTTTTTCAATGACAAATGACAAAAATCAGTGACAAATCTGCAGATAACCAATCAGAAACAAGGATTCTACTAACTTGTAACAAAAACTGTAATTTGTCACTGATGACATGTTTTGTAAAAGGGTCCCTGATTTACAATAAACTTTAATACAAGGTAGGAACTAAAACTATTCTTTGAAGCATGGGTCCAGCCTGACCAACATTTGATAATTAAACAAAATGTGAGGAAGTTGTGAATTTGTGAAAGTTGTAATCACTATAGGTATGGGCTCTTCAAATTGGCTGAATTGGTAATGTCTCTGTGATGTAGTGGTGGACAAGAATATTGCTATCCATGATATATTTTGGGTAGTGTCCCAAGGGTGAAGGTGCCAAGGAGAAAAACAGAAATTAATGATATTTTTCTACATGACACATGGGAGAGTTATCCATGACTATGTCACAATCCACCGACCAAACTGCCAATGTAAGATTCGCATAGGCCTAATTATTTCATATTTCATATTTCAAACATTCATAACTTTCTTATTATTGCTCTGATTCATTTCAAACCTTCTACATTCTGTTATTCTTATTTTTTTGCTTCCATACAAATGAACATATTACAAGCAAAAGGTCATCCAAGGAAATAGCTAGGCTACTGGTACTGCAAATATACATGAACTTATTTTTATCATACCATGTATTCTATAAATGAGTTTTTACATACAATTGTGCATTTTTAATATACATTCTATTTGTATTAGAAAAAGAAATCGAACGTACCCTTTGTCCCCTCTTGCCGATGATGCGCCCAACAAGTTGAGATGGTACAGCAATCTCTGACCTTAGATGAACCTCTCCACTGCCAAGGATTCCCTCAGAGCGGATTCTATCGTAGATGTAAAACTGAGCACGCCACTGAGATTCTGGAGTTCCAATGATCTTCACACAACGCTCATTGCTATCTTCATTGCCAGCTGGTGCAATCTAGTTGGACAAATAGTCAATAAAATGTTATTGATCAAAAACAAAATAGACAAAAGTCCCAACAACAGCAAAAAAGCAGTGGATGGGAATGTCATTTGAACAGCTGACTAGAACGACAGAAGACAGGAAGATATGGAGAACCTGTGTCTCAAGGTCCATTTCTTGGTCAACAGCCTCCAAACTATGGGACATATGGGGGTGTTGCAAGAAAGTTGCACTCAATTGCAAATCCCCCAATTCAAGCGAAGTCTTACGATTAATTGCAAATTTACAATTGATCGCAACTCAACTTTCTTGCAACACCCCATCAGTGTGAGAGAGAGAGAGAGAGAGAGAGAGAGAGAGAGAGAGAGAGGGGGGGGGGGGAGAATAAAAGCTAGATCTTATTTATTTGTGAAAACTTTAATCTTAACAAAATCCTAGAAAATTTAGGGGCTAGTGAGGCATTGGAAGAAAGTTGAGTTGCAAATCTTGTATCTTGCAATCAATTGCAACTTTCTTGCAACGCCCCCAACAGAATGCAAGATACCCAGCTTGATGGAATGATCTACGAATGAATGGTATTATCGTAAGATTGTTGCATTAGGTGTGTACACAACAAGAAAAAGAATAGTTTGACTGTAAAAGACGTTTCCTGCCGACTAGATCGAAATAGTTCATTTTTATTGATGACGTCACACGCATAGTACCGTTTTTTCCCTAGGGAAAAAGGGTACTATGCGTGACGTCACAATAAAAAAATGCATATTCTTGAACTTTGCGTTTTCCCAGCGAGCGCGTACATGATTTCAAATGCCTCTGCGCGGTCAACCCCCGCGGTGTCACGGCGCTAGCTCAAGCCATATGCAATTTACGCTGTGCGATAACTGCACTACACTATCGGCAGCTAAACATTTTTACATCTTTCAATGTTTCATTTGAGCCGTGCAATTTTCTTTATTTCTTTTCGATCTGAATGTAGATGTGAATGTGAGTATAAGGGTCATGTTATTACAGAAGTGTACAAGGAATAATACAGATGGAAGGGATATAAAACAAATATAAAATGACTCATTCTCAGAACAAGCTAAAACTATTCGCACTCAGGAACATCAGTACTTTTCTCCCTCGGGCCGATGGCCCTCGGGAGAATAGTACTAGTTGATGTTCCTTCGATGCGAATAGTTTCAGCTAGATCAGCTCGAGTGTCATTGTATATTTGTATAATAGCTCACCCTGATGGTAGCGTTTGAGGCACGAGCAGTGTTCCTGATGTTCTTTCCTCCTACTCCGATGAGGGCACCTACAGCTTCCCTGGGCACAAACAGGTACGTCGTCTCACTAGGCTCTTGGTTCTGAACACAACAACAAATTAATGTCACATTTATTTCACAAACTTTGTAGTTCATATAACATGTTGTCTTCAAGCAAATATACCAGAGATTTCTACTATTTAAAAAGTTTTTTGGAGGAATGATTTCTATTTTGGGGTCTTCAAGCTATTGTTTTCAATATAGTGGAATATACATGTACTACCACCTAGCTTTGACGTTCATGTCTAAAATGGTTAAGATATGAAGATAATGACAAAATCAAGATGAATGCAAGTAAAAAAAAAAAAAAAATCAGCAATAATGGGACTGGTCAAGCATCATAATTCTTTACAGACACAGACCATACAGATGCCTGGGCATGCATACACTTTTTATTACCGGTACCCATGTGGACTGGGTGCCAACCAAAATTAACCCAATCGTAGAATCCATGTAGAAAACATGTAAGTAAGCACTGTAAGCAGACACCCTTGCCACATCATATTGATAGTTCGCTTTCTGGCCACTTGACTCTTTCCCTTCAAATGCATATACAGTCAAATCTGCTTTGGTGACCACCTGTCTACAAAGACCACATTTTGAAATGGTTTCTCATTGAAACAGGTAATGAAGGAACCTGTACATAAATACCAGCTGCCTATGAAGACCACTTTTCTTGTCTGCCTTTGGTGGTTTATAGACAGGTTTCACTGTACCACTATTAATTCTTTAAGGACTATATCTATCTAGGGGTCCTGATACTCACCATGCCGCCGCCGCCGCCGCCGCCTTGCTGGGGTCCACCATGTGGCATATTCATTGGGGGCTGGTTAGGATAGTGGGGCTGTGTGAAGAAAATAGACATTGAATTAAATATAATCTAAAAATGCCTAGTTTTTATTCATTTCAAACATCATGTACATCACAGTATGTCATAATTGCATTTAAAACAACCTGTCCATCACTCATCACCTAATTTTCCTTCTTCATTTCAAATATAATGTACTTCATAACTAATGATATGAAAATGACTGTTCCTAGTTTCAATGCACTTTCTCCTGTCTAATATGATCTCACACAAAGTCTAGGACTAAATGAAAAACATGGTTCGTTGTACTTTCAATGATCTCAAATATTTCATGTTTTCAAACTGCCTCACTTTCCTCCTTTTGGGGACCTGATTGACCTAAAATTTGAGATTCGGTGCTGTGAGATCACACTCAACACGTACAGTAAATTTCATCAAAATAAAAAAATGGTTTCAGATTTTGGGGGTGATTTGACATGGACAAGGACTTTGGAGATACTTACACCACCATCGAATGGTCCTCCAGGTCCACCGTGTCCTCCATAGTGTGGTCCTGGTGGGCCTTGCTGTCCAGGATGATGCATACCACCTGACATGAGAGACATGTGATTCAGGCCAGGGAACAGGTCGTGCTGCTGGGGCTGGAGGTTCTGGATGTAGCTCTCGTAGGCTTTACGCAGCTTCTTGCTGATCAACGCCTCGGCGGCGATGCACTGCTCGGGGGTGCCGTAGATGGTCACGGTACGCTCGGGGTTGAACACCGTCAGGTCTTGGATCCTGAACCAAAAAAATAGCACGTCTTTCTTTAATTATATTTTCTACCATTAACTCCAAAGACCCCAAGTATGAGATGGGCAGTTCCATGTACATTGTAGAGGACATTCAGACAGTGTTGATGAAGAAAACATTTATAGAGCACCATTTCCATGTTGCAAAATACTTGAAGCACTGGGAGAGAACATGAACAATTGAAAGGGGGGGGGGGGAGGACACAAAATATGGATGAAATAGTTGTACAGAACATCATTCAGAGAATGACCCAGAGAAGACAGAATTGTTTGTTGCTTGCCACTCCTATATTAAATCTGACTTTCTTTTGACTTGGCTCATTCAAGATGTGATGTCATTTCTTCACTATCCCCATCTGTGTTGAATATTTTATCCTGACTAGATGCATCTTCTCTATGCTACAATATACTGTTGTACTGCTCTCAAGTAGCCATCTTATAATCTTCCCCTCCCCTTTATTAGCATCACACTATCAAGTATTTTCACCAGAAAAAAAGCTCCTAGAGAAATGGTAGGAGCAACCACACAGACATTATAGGAGAAAGGGAACTTACAGAGAAACGGTGACCTTGGCCTTGGAATCTTCCATAATGCTGTTAATTGATGATCCGCTCTTTCCAATTAGACGACCGACAAGGGCATTGTGGGCCAGCACTTTCAGAGGCATATCACTGCATGTGAAAAAAGAGGGGGAAAACATTTAGAACTCCGGTCCAATGTTGTATCAAACAGAAAACTTAAAAGTATTCATGGTATCAAAATAAATATATGAAATATATCCTTACAAATGAATAAGTCCTTGTACTTAAAACAAGACCAGGATAAGAGGAGTTCAAGTCTTCATGTGATTTAAACAAAAAAAATATACATATTTTGAGTAGTGCCCAAAGGGAGAAGGCACTTAGGAGGGAAACAGAAATTAATTATATTTTAGTAAAAGACAAAGGGAAGAGCTATCTGCGACTAAATCAAAATCAACTGACCAAACTGAAAGTTGAGATTCGAATAGACTTATAGACGTATTTCAAACATTCATAACTTTTTTAGATATTCGTCAATTTATTTCAAACTGTCGCCAATCTCCTATCTTATTTTTTCTGCTTTCATACGAAAGTACTTGTTAGTTATTTCAAGGGTTGCATAGCCCTTTACGGTAAGTTGGGTTTGATATGGTATACTTCAATAATATGGGAGACTTCACTTAACTTGTGATAAGTCAGGATTGGTTTAGGTACACATTTATTAAAGTAGGATTGCTGGGATATGCTTACGTGTGAGATTCCTCGCTGCTTTCCTTGATCATGACTTCAACGATCTTCTTGATGGTCTCTGTCACCTGCTGGGGCTCTCCACAGATTGTTACAGCCTGTAAGAATAAAGAATTCAGTCATACCACCACTCAAACATAACATTGACTGTCTATGCCTGCAGCACATACAACATTCAATGTCAATGCCTGTAGCACATACACATTTGTCATAGAATTCAATGCCATTTTGCAAGATACTAAAGAAAAGAAAAGAAAGAAGAAAGAAAAAAAAACACCAGCTGCACATGGTATCTTGCCAGTTATCATATACAGTGCAATTATGTACTCAATCAGTTAGTAACCGTATCTACAAATTCATATTATCACATGATTATTATTATTTAATTGATTTTTTGGTAACAGAGATGTACTTAATCAATTGCTGTATCTGCAAATTCAAATTATCACACGATTATTATTATTTTATTGATTTTTTGGTAACAGCGGGAGGCAAATTGCACCTTTATTGGCTTTTACTTCACACAAGACAGTGATAGCACAAGCTAGCTGTCTAGCTCATCTGAGTCAGTGTCTAGACTTTCCTTCCTGCCTTTAGCTACATGTATGTGTAATGTTAAGTCATTAATAAGATGGAATGCTAGATAAGAAAGCAAATGAGACTAAAGGCAACATTGAAAGGTAGTACACATTCTTAAACAAGGTCATGAATTGAGAATTTTTTTTGTTTCTATCAAAACAAAATTATAATGTGAATTTTATTGATCCAAATGATGATATACATTGAAATGAATTGAAAATGTTACTAACAATGCATCACACTAATGACAGTATATGAACAAGAATACAATGTTAAGAATAATAATGTACAAGATAGACACATAAGTATGTGAATATACTAGTATTGAGGTGAAGTTGTTTATGGGAACTACAAGTTAGCACAAGTGCTCGTAGAGCCTAGTTCCACTCTTTGACAAGATTTTCTTTTAAATATCTTCATCTTAAAGATAAAGTTGAGTTCTGGTCATGCGATTGCATTGTGAAAGAAACATTGTGGAATCGATCAGAAAAGGTTGATCATCTAGCATATAAGTATTGGTGTGTACCTCAGAAAAAAATTAAGAATTTTCGCTTATCGATTTGATTTCTACAAAAAAGAAAAGAAAGGTTTCACTTATTGACCTGTACCTTCTCTGATGATCCAATGTTGTCCTTTCGGTGGATGTCAACCCTGTAGGGTGAGAAAGAAAAAAAAAGACCAAGACATAAATCTTCAGGCAAATACAACAATGGCATGAATGTATTGTAATTGTCTTCAATCACACTCATATAATATACATATATATAATTTTTTAAATAGAAAGACGTTAGTGATTTAAAGTCAGTCCTTGACCAATTGTCATTATAACAAATAACAACTATAAAGACCACCCAAGGGAAACAAAAAGTGGTCTTTATAGGCAGGTGGTCTTTGTAGACAGGTGAATATAGTACATGTTTATATGAGAAACCATTTTCAAGAGAAACAAAAATGTGACCTTTGTAGACAGGTGGTCACTAAAGCAGGTTTGACTGTATATATATATATATATATATGAAGGACATGAAGAAGATAACTCGGAGTCAGGGAATTGCTCTGAAAAAGCAAAGATTGAATTAGAATGATCACTTGTGTGGGTGGAGGCATGATAATAATATGAATGATTTTTTATTTTGTCTGAACCATTGAGCCACAATCAGTGATGTTCATACAATCTACAAGAAAAGACTGAATGAAATGACATAATACATGCCTGAAAGGCTAAATAGCACTTTGGGGGCTTCAGAGAATTACAGAATGAACATCAGTTTGTTCGCAGTAAAAGCAGTGTCCCAAGTCTGGTGCCAGACAACGTATAAGACATTTGTCTGAGGATATAGACCAGGAGTTTGATTTCTGAGGCTGTAAGCACCATGCACACTATTGATAAGCAGAACAGGCGACTCTAGTCTGAAAGCCTCAGTGTGTGTCGTTTGTTCATTAACTCAACTGCTGTTCAGTCAAGCGATCGGCTGGTTGCACCCGTTCACGCTAGATCTTGCCTAGTTTCATTCTCTATACCACTCCATAAACAGCAGCCTTTCATAACATGTCCAAACATATATATATATATATACTAAATGTACAGAAACCAAGACAGCAATCAACAACATACTACTAGTACTTGTCGATAGTATATCCATACAGCATGTTAATCAACACCATGACAATGAACAACACCATGACATACACACAGCCATGAACACACAAAATGCGCTTATAAATGGAAGAGGTACATGATGTGTTGTGTGTGTGTGAACAGCCTGTTTTTACAAGATTTACAAGCAATCAATTCCTTTATTAATTATTGACAAGGTTTGTTTGATTTATGTCGAAGACCCGGGTCCTCTCTTGCATGGAAAGTGGCTTTCATCCTTAACTCAAAATCAAAATCAGCTGTATGTTCAACCCAATCAGGATAATGTACTTCATTCAATCTTGAGGGTTGCGTTTCAACTCAACTTATTTTAATGCAGAGTTGAATATTAAAGGCTTGATCTTATTGTAGGTGGAGAAAGCTGTTAATATATGTGCTTTTTTTCTCATCAACAGTTTTAAATGCCCCTCTCTCTTCCCATCCCATCATAAGTAGTTTATCTCAACGAACGGTCTTGCATCAGATGATGTGAATGACGTACACATGACAATTACCAGAGATTAACCTGCCAATGAGTACGTCAGCACAATTCTCTCCAAAGATATCCTCTTTATCTTTATTCTATCGCCATAGAAACAAGTCAGAACATCTTGCATGGTAAGCCCTTCTAATCCTTACAAATATCACTAATGTAGTTTATAGAAGCTGCGTAATAAGTATCAGAATTCATGTCTTCAACATCACAAATTTGAAAGTGAAAGACAGCTGAATATATAATCTGCTTTTTTCAAAGACATTTAAGAACAAATAGGCAATTAAATATGCTGATAATTCTGAATATAACATGAGCTCTTCCTCAATCTGCGGGCTTTCATCATTATACACATTACTTTTCTGGAAAAAAATAAAGCCCTACATTTTAGCATTCACTACAGATTTTGTGCAATTCATTAACAGATTTGAACCAGTGCTCTATAAACGTAAGCTGGTGGCTAAGAATAAGAGATGTACCTGAATACAAATTAAATGAGTGTGCAAATGTTGAAATAAGATATCAAAAATCATCTTATATATAACTGGTACAATGTCAAATTAATGGTTAGTTTTGATATAAAATATTGTCTTTGACTACCGTATTCAAAATAATTGAAAATGGTAATACGCATGCTCCAATGCAAGAATAACTCATAATCAATAGAACAGATTTAAAGAGTATATATATCAATGATTATACAAACAAATGCAAAATGTTCTCCTTTATAAGTTAACGAAAGAAAGTAAGATACGGATGAGATTACTAAATAAATATTATTGATTGGGATGAACGAGGAAAGTGGAGGACTGAAATTCTAATTCAAAGCAGACGATGTATGTACACCTATCACAAAGCAAGGTTGAACTCTGGGTTAATGATTACACCATGCATGCATGCATGTATTCACTGTACATTCCAATAAATCATCTCCTTTCATTTCAGAAGGACAGTTTAACAGCTGGTTCACCTATCATCAAGTTCAAAGCCTGAAACTAAAACTCCGGCTCCATTGCCAAGTTACATGTAGCGACAAGCCTTTCTCTGATTATTTTTTTTTAGTGTTTGCTAAAATCAGCCAATAATGCTGAAGTTACTTTTTAAAAGGCAAGTCCGGCCCATTTGCAAATTGAATTGAATAAATAGGGAAAAATTAACTAAACAAAAATGAAATTTTCATGAAAACCACATGAAATGTAAGAAATTATGGAATTTTTAAGTTTCACATAATTTCATGAAACAGTGAGATGTATCACATAGGCTGTTAGCAAATTTGGTAGTTGATGATTTCCTCCCCCCCTTTTTTTTGGAGCCCTTTTGTACATACATTTTTGAAAAAAATGTCACTTTTCTGCACTGGGAATATAAACAAGGGAAATGCTCTCGGCGGTCTCGCCTGCATTACACAATTCGATATGATGAAAAATTGAGGTTGGAAGTTGGAACATTATTTATAGGCAGGGTGGCCCATTAGCAGGCCCCCAAAAATGAAATCCTCTGAATATAATCAGCATTTTGAAGTGAATATTGATTAAGAATCATAAACAAAAAAGAAAAATTGATTCATTTATTCTCATATTAAGTTGTGAAAACATAATCCAAGTCTACTGACCTAAAATGACCTTTGACCTTGTGACCTGGACTTGTGATACTTGATAACCCTATAGTCAAAGTTTCATTGACTAAGAACTTATACTTTCAAAATTATATCAAAAATTCAAAAACTTAACCTTAGGTTAAGTTTTCGATAATGATGCCACAACATAGTCTAAGTCTGTTGACCTGAAATGACCTTTAAAGATGAAGTTGAGTTCTGGTCATGCGATTGCATTGTGAAAGGAACGGTGTGGAACCGACCAGAAAAGGTTGATCATCTAGCATATAAGAATTTGTGTGTATTGCAAGGTTCTGGAATCATCAAAATGATAAGAAATTTGGCCAAGTCTTGGTAAAGTTACATACACTTGCACAGAAAGATGTATATGGGACTACACGAACACGTGGCGTAAAAAGCCGCCCCCCCCCCCCCCCCGATTTTTACGATGTTACATGCATATTTAGAATATGAAGGCATTTGAAGAGCCATGCTTTTCAGGGAACATGTCTTAACTGATGTTCTTCCACACTTGCATAATAAGAATGAGTAACTTAACCTTAGGTTAAGTTTTTGATGTTCACGCCGCCGCCGCCGCCGCCACCGGAAAAGCGGCGCCTACGTCTCGCTTTTTTGCTACGCAGACGAGACAAAAACTGGCTTGAATCTTTGGGCAGGGTGAAAAATGCAGTTACAATGCGTTTTAAGTGGGGATCCATTGTGAAATTGTACTATATCAATGATTTTGGTATTCAGGTGATGTGAGCCATTTGAAACGTCACTTAATGTGAAAGAAAGGAAACAATTATTACAATATGACGCTGATAAGAAAGCACTGCCACGAAGGTCAAGACTCGTACCACAAACTAAACCTGTCAGTCAGTTTTGTTTGTTTTTCTAACCCAAACCATGATACAAAAGCTATATACGCAGTGTATTTCTCATCTTTGACTTTATTTTTCAAGCTAGAAGAAAATGAGATCAAAGATTGACTTACTTGCATCCTGTTTCCTTGGTGATTGCTCGGATGTTGTTGCCACCCTTTCCAATGATTGCTCCTACAAATTCACTTCGGACAAGAATTCTGAAAATGAAATAAGATAGAATATTGATAATAAATCCAAAACAATTCCGGCTCTTGTTTATTCTCCTTATCAGAATACAAAAACACAATGAATTCACCTGCTAAATCCTATTTACCGGTACTGTACATTGTGCATGTAGTAAGATTCTTGATTAAATTGCTTTTCACATTTTGAAGTTGCATGCCAAATGTATCTTTCTCGTATTAATAACTTAAAAACAATCATTTGTAAAATATACCAGTCTACTAACATATTCAAATTTGAAGCATGCTGTTTGAAAAAAAAAGGTTGTTCTTGACAACCTGAAAGCTTGCCCGGCATAGCAACAAGTAATGTACATGTATGCAGACTGGATTCCAAGTATTGTAGTTCATTCAATCATAACAGCTTAATGGAAAACCTCGTCACTAGGTCCCCAGAAAAAAAAACATCCACAAATTTAAATATGTTGGTAATGACATGAGAGTTGGGGCATTTCATGGTCGCCAACTTCTCGGGACATGGCACGTAAAGAAGAAGAGTGACATGAGACAGCAAGGTGTTGAGATGGGATGTTGTATTAATATATGTACCTGACAGGGAAATTGGATGTATCTGGTACATTCTGTTGCTGGTGGTACATGCCTCCAGGGCCTCCTTGGTTCCTGTTATTAAAGCGACCTCCTGGTCCACCACGTCCACCATTCTTGAATTTGACCTATTAAAACAATAAAAAACAGGGTCAAAAATATTCTTCGTAGGCGCGATAGCTCAGTTGATAGAGCAATGGTCTCGTAATCCGGCGACCCGGGTTCGAAACCAAGTTGACGTGCTAGTGCCCTTTGGTAAGGCATTAATCCACATTACCAGGTCCCTCGGAGAGGACCTAAAGCCAACGGTCCTCTGGTTGCTTACTAACAAGCATTTATGCTTTCTTAGCAGTCAGGTAAAATAATCACTACCATTATTAAAGACTGCATGAAATTCAATTGTTGGGTATTTGATTAGCATCGGCTGTAATAATGTCATCCCCAGAAATAGCATTTTGGATCACCTTCAACGGTTTCCAAAATGGCAAGGGAAGGGTCCTTTTGCTTGGTAAATTGCCATTTAAACTTTCATTTATCATTTCTGAAGCTTACATCAATATCAACGTCAACAAGTATTGTAAAACGTTGTTTGAGGATGATTGTAATACATTTAAAGGAGCTTTCAGGTGGACACCTTACATTACAGGCACAGATTTCTACTTTTTCATTTCATTTATGTTGCACATCCAATCTTCCTGATTTATGCTACACCAATGATAGTGGATTGGTGGAACTTGCACCATTTGGAAAAACTATTTTCTCAGTGTGAAATAGAGTAAACATAAATATTGTATGTGAGTATACTAGACAACCCTCCCATATTTGTATGTATACAGGCAAAGCTCACATTGTCTACCACTTAGTCACACCACCATTCTGTATCGGTATGCGTAATGGCTGAGCCAACAAGGATTTCCTCTTTGGCTTAAAGGTAAAGACCAGTTTTGGAAATGCCCCAATTTCAAAAAATGAAATGGAAGCTCTCATTACCAATCATGTGAAAGAATATATTTTGACTAATACATGATGATAAAAAATTTGCCGGGAAACCGCCTACTAATTCATATATTTGGTAAATTTGTTTCTCTCATGGTCTGTGAGAGATATAGGGTAGTCCCATATACATCTTTCTGTGTATAGTGCTTGTAACTTTACGAAGAATGGGCCAAATTTCTTATCATTTTGATGATTCCAGAACCTTGCAGATGCTAGATACTAGATGATCAACCTTTTCTGATCGATTCCACAACGTTTCTTTCACAATGCAATCGCATGACCATGACTGGTCTTTACCTTTAAACCTAAATACAATACACCCCCATTACTCTATCATTCTACTGTATTTGCATACTACATACAGGTTTAACTTCATTTCAAGTATTCAAAGATAGGCCTCGCTGCTTTACATGTTTATTCAACAAAACAACTTATATGACTACATTTTATGAGAACTGATTAACAAGCTTGAAAACAGTCGGCAAACAATTCACAGAAATTCACTAATGAAAAAAAATAAATTAAAATACAGGGATTTCCATACAATGGATTCTTGTGGTTTTTTTCAACCACCAACACCACTAGAAAACAAAAAATTAATATGACTGTCTCCAACAGACCTGCACATTATTCAGCTAATCACCCGTTCTATTTTGTTGAGGCAGATTTCATTTTCAGTAAATCATTATAACAACTGTAATTTGATGCTGACTTTTGACAATTCAAGAACATACTTCAAAACTGTTAGTGATTCACATTAAAGGGCACTCCAACACTTGTAATAATTTCATTTGTATGAAGGCAGAAAGTTTGAAATAATCTGACCAATAATAAGAAAAGTTTTGAATGTTTGAAATATGAGATCACAAAGTCGATGCGAATCTCAAATTGGCAGTTTGGTCAGTGGATTGTTGTCTGCCACTGCATCACATAGACATCACCAATTCAGCAAACTTGAAGAGCTCATAACCATAGTGATTAAAACGCTGAAATTTCAGACCTTTAACACTTTTTATAATAATAATAATAATAATAATAATAATAACCTAATAAGTCCACTCCAAATTTTATTAAACTGAAACAGAAATTCTTTTTGCCCAATTCAAACTTTCAAGAGTCTACTTTTCTGACTTTCCTTCTCTAGAGGTAGGATTTCCCTTTAATGTATGTGCTGCTTTCCTAGCATGACATTTATTAATAATGTACCTTATTTGAAAAAAAAGGAAATATTAAAGACTAACCCTGAGTTTGGACTCCTGGTATTCAAAATTATTGAGTTGTCTGATGGCTTGTTCTGCTTGCTCTGGTAGTTCATAGGTCACTACCACAGCATATGTACCACTATCATTCTTGGACGGGGCTACAAAGAAAAGAAAAGAAAACATTTCAGTCTATAACTTTTTGGGAAAAAAAATTGAAAGAAAAACTACATGCATATTGAAAAAATTCAATTCATTCGGAGTACATGATTTCAATGCAGGCACATTAATGATGTAGGCCCGTGTTGTGTTCATGCATAAAACATACATGTACATGATCGTTTTCATGTATTCACATACCAGCATTTTTTTAATCAATTTGTTTCCTTTTTTTCAGATTATCTTGATAAAGCTTGGACCAAAATACCACATGGACTGACTAAGCACTATGACAGTCACATTTGAATGAGAGCTCCTTCATACAATGTTTTCACCCATCAAATTTCTAATCTTTTATATTAAGCAATTGTTTGTTTACTTAAATGTTCATTATTCCAATAAAGCAATTACAGCTCAATAAAGGTGTATTTGGTCAGGTTGATCTAATTTGAGCTAATAGCATTTCCTGAAATAGTATACTTTCTTTTATCTAATTTCAAAAATTTGAAAACAGCAGACAATCTAGAAGGTTTTTTGTTAGTGTTTACTAGGCCTATGCAGAGATGCCAACCTCTTGACACAAAAAAAACAGACTGAGTACCCTAAAAAATAAGATTTTGGAGAGAAAAGATCAGATTTCCACGAATAATCGGCACCACCACTGGCCCGGTGTATGAGCATCGCCCAGACCTTTAAAAACAAATAAACATTAATCAGATTTATTACTATGTCAGGACAAAAAAAATAGATCTCAGTAACTAAAAACTAAAATAGTTTCCGGGACACTATCTGTATCACGCCAATTAATCTTACAGAAAGTTAAATATGATGAATTGACTTACAGGCTTCAAAAAGTGTGACAGTTCCAAAGGTTGTAGCAAGCTTTTCAATCTCTTTGTGTTCAACTTTTGTTGGTACATTCATGATGATGATCTTCAACCTGTTACTTTTCAAAGAAAAAGAGAGAAAAAAAACGACAAAAAATGAGTCACATGAGCCATGAAGACAGACGATGATTATTATACACGAAACATTTTTTTCTTCTTTTTTCTTTGTATATTTTATTAACAACAAATCATGAGACAATTTATCTTTATAAATGGCTCTATAACATAGTGAGGAGTAAGTAACAAGTACTGGTACTTATGGAAGAACTGTTTTAAATAACCGGGAAGTTATTTTAAATAATAAGAGCTCTAATTTCTATTATTTTCTTAAAGTAGACAATCTGAAGTTACAATGACAGTATCGAGGTTAAAGGTAAAGACCAGTTATGGTCATGCGATTGCATTGTGAAAGAAACGTTGTGGAATCGATCAGAAAAGGTTGATCATCTAGCATCTAGCATCTGCAAGGTTCTGGAATCATCAAAATGATAAGAAATTTGGCCCATTCTTCGTAAAGTTACAAGCACTATACACAGAAAGATGTATATGGGACTACCCTATATCTCTCACAGACCATGAGAGAAACAAATTTACCAAATATATGAATTAGTAGGCGGTTTCCCGGCAAATTTTTTATCATGTATTAGTCAAAACAATCACATGATTGGTAATGAGAGCTTCCATTTCATTTTTTGAAATTGGGGCGTTTCCAATACTGGTCTTTACCTTTAAAAAAATAATTATTGACATCATGACTTGTCAAACAAGGGAAATCAATGGTGACAGCAGCCCCACTCGACATCAGTTTCTAAATAAACATACATTTTACGCACTCAAGCATGTCACTCTCAAGGGTCTTAAAATGGTATTGTTTTAGGTATTATATGCAAAATCTGGAAACAAAAACTTCATTCCTGACTGCAGTTATTTTTAGTATCTCTTATACATTGTACATGTAGGGTCCATGTTGGTAAAATTACATTCACCTGGGCAGGAGCCAAAGGATGTGCAACATTTCATTAAACAGAGCCCAAACCTCATTAGTATTGTGAAATACACAGGACCTAAGATTTTTTCTCGGTAATGCAGACTTCCTTGACAGGAAAGAAATCTAGACCTTGTGTGATTACCAACAAAATTAAAACACCCACAATCCAATACAAACAATAACACAAATTAATGCATAAATTCTACATTCAAGGACTCAACATGAACAAGCATCATTGGCAAATTGACTCCAAAGTTTTACCAACTGTTACAACAATAGGATATACATGTGCATTGAGCAGGATTATGACCAATTTGTGGCAGTTTTATGAGTAAAAAGCATATTTGTGAGAACATGAGTACATGACCGAACTTATCATACATGTCAAAAACAATCATTTATTTGAGAATGAATTGCGGCATGAAATTTCATCTACATGTACTCATGTAGTGTAAAATTATGAAATTCTAGTCATCTTTCTGATTCCACAAGCCAAGTTTTGTAAAGTAATTGCAAAAGAAATCTATACTATTGTCCCACATTAAATTTATTGGGACATGAGAGCCTGATAGATTTTGGCAGTCTGGCCCCAGTTTATATCAGTAAGGAAAGACACTATGACAAGGGCCTTATTAGTTTGAAAAGATTAATCGTTTACTCAAGTCAAGTTTATAATGTGCAAACTTCAGCTTCAAGATATTAGTTTTCATTATCACAAGAGAAAAACATTTTTTCTCATAGAGTACAAAGCTACACGAGGGGTCAGTATACCTGAACATAAACATGCAGTTGTTTCTTACATACTAGATTTCTACATTGCCGCAACTATTTTGATTTAGAAAATAGTACAAAGCAACTAAATGCATGAAATACCTTGACCATCCTAAATATCTCTTTCGACTGGCTCATTTTCAAAGCCTAGTATTACTTATCAAAGATAGTCGAATTTCTGTCACAATTCTTGACAAGTTGACACACAAGTCATAAAAAAATTTGCCTCATTATCTGTCTCTTCTATCTATTTGTTGTTCTAAAACTCATTTTTAATCCAATTGTGTTGAGCATTTATTACTTGAGTGTGTCTCTGAACGTCTGTGATAAAATCGATTTCTACTGGCCATGGAATCGGATAGATGCATTTCTAGAGCAATGAAATTTCCTTCACTTAATTACCTTTTTCCGTCATGACATAAAATCCAGGTAAGACTTTAAATGAATTTTAACTGTCTTTAACACATTAAATTTGGTGCGAGTCAAATCATCATTTGCAAACTTAGGTGCAAGTGTGCTGATCGGGGTACCTAGGGAAGTGAGTTAGCTAGGCCCCTAGTGTGCCAGCTTCGACATTTTGAGGGAAAGGGGTAGGTGTAGAAGCAGTAGGCCTTACATACACTAGACTACCGGTATTAGCAATTTGAGGAACCAGGACAGTAAAAATTTTGAAGTGACTAAAAAGACATTAAAAAATACTAAGTTAGAAAACACAAGATCCTACTCAACAAATCTGAAATTTTACTCAGGATTTTTTTTCAAACATAATGTACCATCACCGACTTCTACCGCCTTTGGACCTGAAATCTCGTCAATATCTAGCTTTGATAATCACTACGATTTTCAAGAAATTGAGATAAAAATACTTTTGAAAATGATGGTGATTTAAATATATAGCTGTTATCATTGCTGACAGTCAGTGCCTAAAGTATGTTATGAAATCTTAGTCTGCATTTCTGACTCCAACCAAGCAAGAAAAAATCAAACAGATCAATTTTCAAAGGTTGTGTCAAGTATCAAGTTTAGTCTAGATCTACTACATTTCTGTAGCTCTCTTCTCCCGTAATTTTTTTAAATTACAAAAAACAAATAAAGACTGAATCAAAAGTTGTATTATGAATAAGGCCTTCTTTAGTATCAAATTGAACGACGAAAATATCAATTAGCTATTAAATCTGAATTTTTCATTTACGACAGCACCAACTTCTACTAATGAAGTGATTATGGCAACTGGTGATTTCGTTATTGTTTGCTGGTAGAATAAATTAGGAGAAATGGGAAGGGGAATAAAAATATCACAAAGGAAACAATCAGGTATAAGCACGATTAAACAATGTCTGTGTGCTGCAAGGTTTCACAGTATTACTATTAGCCAAGGGTGATAAAGAGCACTAAAAAAAAAAATAATAAAAAAAAATTCTTTTCCCCTCAACCACGCCCCCTTAATAATTAAGGGAAAAAAACAGGATAAAATCGGGAGGAATTTTTTTTTTTTTTTTTTTTTTTTTTTTTTTTTTTTTTAAATTGGGGAAGTAAAACAAATTAGGAAGAAAGAAACAAATGAGGAAAAAAATCAGGAAAAAAAGAATCTGGAAACTGATTTAAAATGGGTAATTATCAGGCCTGTATTAGCAATCAACAACACAACCAACAACAGGGAAGGAGAGGAAGGTTAAGGTATCAAACAACAAACCCACCACAAACAACAATAATAAATAGAAAGTTCAAAAGCTAGAAAACAGCAAGCGTTTCTCAACTACTATTATAAAGAAAGCAAGATGGTGAGGAGTAATCATTGATCAACGTACCCCTGGTTTCCTGTGGATCCATTCTCCATTTGACTGTTGGGGAAAGCACATGACAATTCACACAGTTTTAGATGGGGTAAAAAGTACAACAAAATTATAATGGTAACTGTTACATGTACCATGATAAAATGGTAAAATAGTTATCAACTAGAGAAATACAAATAGTTTCAGCCTATTTTATTCCATAAAAAACAAATTGTGAGATTATTGAGATAACATACCGGTATTCGAGGGAGTCATGTATTTGAAATACACCTGAATAGGCTGAATTTGACCCGAGGCTGCACCATGACAAGAAAATAACATGTACATTTTACACTTACAGGCTTAAGTTCACAGCAAGATAGCTTAAGGTAGTTATTGATTTGGTCATAAACATTTTTGTTTTAAACGCATGAATTTCATGTAAATTGACATTTGACCTTCTTTTATCCCAAATCTAATCAATGTCTAACTACAAAGATGCATGCTGATACAAAACTTGAAGTTTATGGCTCAATCAGTTTTTGAGTCACTGCAAAATCTAGATGGATCACCTTCCTACGATGATCACAAAGTATGAACTTCACATCTTAATTTGTTCTTGAGACAGGCCTTAAATTAATCGACGGCCATCGACGGCCAGGCCGTCGATGCCCCTATGACTGGCCGCGGTGCCCTCCCAAAAAAAGATAAATTCACGGCCAAAAAGGCCGTGCCCTTTTTTATCAAACTGGCCGACGTGCCTTTTTTTCCAACTGGACGTGCCCTTTTTTTTTTTAATTTGCGCACATAAAACCACCAATTGCGCCCATAATCATCTAAAACTAGACGGCAAGGCGCAAGTGTTTTCCGTGAAAATGTTCCATAAATTATTAGAACAGTAAAAATACACGAATCACGAACAGGTTGCCGCCCACGAGCTCTCTTCTAGCTTCGTATTTAGTGCAAGTGCCGTGAAAATGCGCCCTTTGTTATTATATAGGCAATGCGCTAGCGCTTGCGCACGTGCGATCGGATGATATGCATATGGTGCATGCTGTTGACGCACGCACGTACAAATTGAAGGCCAGGATCAAGAAAACAAATCGTCAAATGGAGAAATAAACAAGCATTTAAATAGTTATTAGAGATCTGTCGAGGTTTGTTTGTAGGTCTAGTTTATTATTTTATCTCAAATAGAATTTAGAATTATCTTATTAATAAGTTAAGAACACCTACGATGTTCTCGATCGCAGTTACTCTCATTTTGCCACCAGCCGACCTCGCTTCAAAAAGCTACCCCGCCAGCTTCCCAAGACGAACGTTTCGAGTCCCGGTAAAATTCCGAGGGTGCATCGGTTTCGCTGGCAAACTTCCAGCCCGACAGCTTCCCACCAAAAGTGGCGAGAGTGTGTGTGCGAGGAACGATTTTGGTTTCGTGAATGCACGTTACGCAACTGAGCTGAGCGTGTCACTTTCAGCTGTCGAATGTCTATAAGGACATTTTTACATCTTATTTCATTAGTTAGGCCTATCTAGACCTTTCTATACAACGGTTAAAAAGATAATTTCTTCAAATTTGCTCCTACTACTAGTAGTAGTACCGAGAGAGTGGCGGAAGGTTTGTGTGTGAGGTGCGATTTTGATTTGGGATACCCGGCCCGGTAAACTTGCCAAGTCCTTCTGACTTTCGATGTTTGTGAAATTGACAATTTATTTATTCATTTGCTCATCAATATTTTTAGTTACTTTAAAATACTGTTTAATGTGCAAGTTTGATGTTCTTAATCAATCTTTCCTGTTCATATTGTTAAGATTAAAAAGTTATTAAATTGATCGTTCGATCTATTCACATTATGAAATTAACATTTTGTAGACTCTCTTTGAACTTATGATTAGATAAGGGGCCTATCTGTTTTTGGAAAATTGCCCCTTGCTCTGGTAAATTCCCGTGGCAAAGGGCAACTTAAAAAAAAAATTGCCCCTTGCTCCTGGCTGCTAAATCTAAGGCTTGCGGGCCGCTGCCTTGTTTGTATGTACCGTAGACCTCTATACATTCTGTGAAGAAGCTGGTGCTAAAAGTCATGGGAAATTGATCCCGCACAAGTTTCATAAAATACACATGACATCTAACAAAAATAGAATCAATTTTTTTGGCCTCGTACTCGATGCCCTTTTTGTAAAATATTTTGGCCTCGATGCCCTTTTTGTAAAAATATTTTGGCCTTGGTGCCCTTAAAAATATGAGGTACTCAAGGCCAAACTGGCCTTGCCCTAAAAATGACGAAATTTAAGGCCTGTTGAGATGTTGCGATAACAAGAAAGCGGGACGAACGGACAATACATAAAATAATTCCTTTGGCACAACCTTCATGGGGCAGAGGCATACAAATATTGAAGAACGGTGTGAATGAATGATCATAATCTGAATTCATGAAAACCAAGATACTGTAAGCCAGATTCTATTGAAGATGACTCAGGGTGGCAGTTGTTGTGAAGTGCTATGATTTTTTTTCAGGTTTTGGGGGTCTTCACAAATTCAACTTCCAACCCGAATTGGCCCGGAATTGGACCAGAAGCCAAGACCAGGAGGTTTCCGGGACCCAGCCTGGCCTGACTCCTGTGGTCCCATTACTATTATGTTGGATCCAGTTACTGGCAATGGAAAGACAGGTGAAATTTAATCACGCCCATGTTTTGGGCAGCTCAAACCACGTGTGTTGAACGTACAAGACAGAAAATCGCCAATTAAGTTTGAATTTTCACAAAATTGTCACCTACAGAGTACAGAGTGATCAAAATCTCTCTAGTTTAGAGTGGATCTACATTTTTTTTCCCCTTCTATTGTACTTTAGAATAATGTGGAGGCCATTTTGCAACGACTATTGTGGCTGGGCCTAATTGTGCATACTTCCTGTGTCCCTGCTGTTCCATATGGTTCCTTCACACCCTACCCCGGCTACATAACCATTCATTCATTGTGCCTACCTCGGGCTCATGCACAATCAATCCAAAAGCAAACAAGGAAAACTGCTATGAATAAAACATTTTTCATTGAAAAAATGAATGAATAAAATACAATGCACATTTGTTTCACCCCTGTGCATTTGCAAACAGAATATTTTTTATACATAAGAAAATGTAGGAATCAACTCACCACATGTAATAAGTGCACTAATAATTACTTTACTAGATTGAAACATAAATGAAACATACTGTACATTCATAATTACACTTCTCAACAATATAACCATGATGTAAAGGTTTAACATTAAACCAAGGTTTAAAATAGACCAGTTTTGACTACATGTGTACTCATACTTGCGTAGATGACCGATAAGTTTATTACACAGGTAGTAAAATGTCCACAAGTTACACGAAAAGAACAGTGACTTGTGAATCAAGCAAGAAACACTACGCAAGCTAGAGTGCTACGCTACGGGATGGAGCGGTTGACGTACAATTATTTCCAGGGCAAAATCATTAGACTGTATACAAGGGTACTCCCCCGCAAAAAAGACTGTGTACACACATGGATCTACTGCGAGTAGTAGTAGTACATGTGGGTCCATGGTACACATGTACTGTATCTAAATTGGGCCTAGTTTAGCATTTTAGAGCTTGCCTTTTCTGCCATTTTGGGGTCTTTGGGGAGACTGGATCTAAATGTGGCCTCAGACATATTTTTAGGTGCAACAGAATTCTTACACACTGTACATGCTGTAAGTCCAAAGACAGCTTGATCCTTTGTGGTCTTGTGGATTTATCAACCTTACAAAAGAAGTAACAAATTTTAGCTGGTGCTACCAGGCCTACATCAATGTGCAGACTGAATGTACAGTTAGAATATACTTTAAACAGGGTAGATTAACTTGACAATAGAGGATGGGGACTTTGTTAGTTTTTCTATGAATGGATGAACAGAACTGCACACTAATGGCAGGACAAAGAAGTCAGCTTTCATTCAAGAGTACGGTCTGATAGACATTTATGTGTCTGTCTGGTTAATGGCAAATATCCATATGTATTTAGATGCCAATAAATAAAGAATTATGTTGAGTACTCGTTATGTGATGGTACAGTGAAAGAAAAGGTCTAAAAGTTAATGGAAAGGTTTAATGTAGGCCTACATGTATTGTAAGTTCATAATAATATTTTGGAATTGTAATATTTTTGAGTCGTCAAAATGATATCCAGCTTACTCAGTCATACTGTAAAAAAAAATTGGTGAAAAGAACTGCATGCTGCCGATATTATGAGGACATGGCCTTAAAACTGGCCTAATGCTCTGACCTCTTTCTTGTTATTAACATTTCCAAAAGCAATCATTTTAATGTCTTACTGCTACTGCTCTGCATGGGATTTTAAAAAAAGGAGAATTAAAAGCTCGCAAATTATTTCTCACCTTTACCTGAACTCAATTATCTCTTTAAAAGGAAATGAACCTTCAAGGGAACTTGCGAATGTTCCAGTAAAAACATAGAATCAGGAAGTTAAAAACTTTGAACATACTCAATGTGGAGAACCTCCCAATTTAGATCACAATGTGCAATGATGGACTACATCAACATGCACTTCTCAAGTTGTTACATTTGTATGATATATAGTAAATGTCACTTTTCTCAATTACGAGAAGACAAATCACGGTACTGTCAATTAGAAAGGTCAGGTTAAAAGTTCATACTCATAGCTTCCTTATTCCAGGGAGTTTCTCAATATTAAATGTCACATCTCCCCACTTATTCTTTGATCAAATTTCTGATAACTTGTTTCTTAGCGTTTCTGCTCTCACTAAGTCCAAAGGCTACTTTAGAATAATGGTACACAATAAAAAAAAATATATATAAAAAAAAATCATGTTTGCACTTTGCAAGTGCTTTAGTGGATATGCACTACACGTGGGTCGAGTCATCATCAAACAATGAACGAAACTTGTCAAGTTCATTATCAGGCCCATTGTGACCAACCATGTGCGGTGCATACATGTACATCAATAATGCATGAGCTTCAAAAACAACAATTATTTGTTTCACACAACCAGTCTACAATATGAATATTAATAGTAACTTAAGAAATGAGCAACAAACCCGATCAAAATACCCAGAATCGCTGCCATTTCTTTCAATGGCACACAGTATACATACCTGCCAACCTGAGACAAGAGAAATTAGGAGTAAATTTTTCTGGATGGACTACGAGGTCGCGAACCACCGAAGGATTGGGGTAGTAGCCCGTAGATTGGGGGGGGGGGGGGGGGCAGAGATGCCAACCCTATAGGATGGCTGTCAGTAACATTTACCATATTTGTCCGTAACAAATGGGGGTCTTTCCGTAACGCAAGACACCGCAGCATAATTTTCGCGCAAAACGTACACAAACACCCAATCACTCTTACTGCATTTCGAACCTACCATATTAAGTCCAAAATAAAGATGTGCATAAAAACGTTTTTAAAAATCTGTTTCCAGTCAAAGGATCTCCTTCTCGGGTACTCGCTCTTTTGAGTGAATCCATGATAATATTCAGGAAGAAAACACCTCGTTCAAGCGTCGAATGGCAAATTCGAATCCACAGTCAAATGGCAGAGCTCGTATTCTACAAACGCACACGTACACTCACCAGTACCACAGACACACCATACAGCCCAGGCCGCTAGGCCCGGCGTTCATGAACAACAACACACCGTATACCGCACTGCACTTGCAATGCGCCCGCTGAATCACCGAAGTCTTCGCTACTATATTGCGGGCGCCATGCGCACGATCATCTACCCCCATGCTCCCCTCAAAAGGCACGAACGCACGTAGCATACGTAGCGGCCGTGTTGTTTTGGAATTAAACAAGATGGCGGCGGACGGACCATGTGCGCGAAAGTGTCTATCCAGTGTAGTCAAATTCAGTGAACCTATGAGTGAATGCGTGCGACATGCAGCGCTGTGTGCGGAGGCTATGTGATAAGGCGGCATTCGCTATATAAAGTACTTATGTTTATCGTTTCCCCGTAAGGCGTGATCTGGTTATCAGTGCTGTGTTATGCTTTAGTCTTATGCAACAGTCGTTTGTTTTAAAAATATTTTAAAATTACAAAAAATCGGAGTTTTGAGGCATGCAATCGGAATTCGGAGTGGGTATGAAAAAAGCGGAGTAACTCCGCCTAAATCGGAGTGGTTGGCAGGTATGAGTATATTATGCATGTCTCAGTGTACTGCACATTAATGTTTTTGCCATTTTCAACTCCATGCACTTAACCCCGCCTTTAAGGGACTTTGTAACATTGTTCAGATGAGAGATAGTGGTGCTAAGGCAGTGACTTCAATGCTAAATGTACAATTAAAGATAATCTGAAAATTTGAGCGAAAACGGACCATTATTCATGGTACAAATTGGGAAAAACTGATCCTATCGATTCCTTAATTCTCCCAAATATATTATTACAATTTAATTACATTTTAGGTGAATGGAAATCTCACAAAGCAATAAAATGGCTCTACATTCCATTCCAGACATTAAGTGTTGACAGATTTTTTATAGCCTGTTTTTCCGTCTTTTTTTCGTGGAAAAACGGTTGGGAAAATTCAAAAAATGGTTGGGAGAATTTAGATTCAGAAGCGCCGCACATCGACGCCCGTTCGAAAACCCGTTGAACTTTGTTAAAAATCTTCATATTGCGTGAATTAATTTCGGATTTGGGGTATCGTAGTTGGATAATCCATACATACAAACATAATTTTACGTGTTTTGCATCCTGATTCAACAAATTTGTGAAATCAGCCATCACAATGTTACTAAGTACCTTTAGCTTTATCGCACCTCACTTTGTACAAGCTAATGTTACACGCATCTTTGCTGAGCATTTTCACTTTTAGCAGCTGGTTATCATTTTGTAATAGGAATTTTTTTGCATGGTAGAAAAGAATCATGCACGATCGGATGGTGTCAATTGACCAATTTAATGCCTACATTCTACCATTTCTAGAACCCATTTTATAATTTTGATTCAATTCTCCAATTTCATGAAAGGTTTGATAGATCAAATCGGTAGACCTACATGATTCACAGAGAGCTAATTCTGTGTACTACCCGTAAACTCCCACTTCCCTACTACCACGTGTACAAGAGGTTCCATACAAATGAAACCCGTAAACGCATGCAGTAAGCTTACTACGCTGAATCAAAGGCAGGCTTGCATGGTAGTCGCTCTAGACAGAGCTAGCACATAGCAAATCACTATGGAATGCTGACATGTAGAATCTACAAGGTCATACGGAGGTTATGTGTGGGCAATAGCTTCGCCTGGCTGCCCTTTCTACCTTTCAATGCTGTGTACTGTATGCATGTGTTTGGTTGCATAGCCTATGGGGGTGTGTGTGTGTGTGTGAGACTGAGTGTGTAGACCTGACTGTTTGGAGCCTATGTACTGTACATGATGTATAGAACACATTGTACGGGGAAAGGAAATCAGCATGCCAGCACCAGCCAGCCAGCGCAGACTGGAAGCGCAGTAGTACATGCATGCAGTTGACTGTCTTCATTTTGCAACATATGTTAAGCAGAAATCTAGTCACAGCAGGATATAATAACAGTTCATGACTTTCTTACCCAAACAAATGCACCCTTTCCATCTCGAAAGAATTGTTTCTTACCCCTCCAATATTTTTCATTTCCAAAACAAAGAGACAAAGGAGAATTTACTTAGGCTTTTACTAGAGGGAAACCAATCTTAAACTAATAGTTTATGTTATGTTAAAAGACAAACCCGTATTAAAATCACTTGCTGATATGATTAATTTTTTTCTGCGCTTTAGTATGCAAGTTGTGCGCAATAGTATGCAACTGCAAGCTCCGTGCCGCAGTCTTGATCAAAGTTTCTGGCGTGATGTCATGGACGGGATTTCATATGGCAAGGACAGGATGTTGTGCACACCGAGACTCGAATTGTACATTTACTACCGTTTGACTGCACGCATTACATGATGTGACATCAATAATAATAATAATAATATGGATATTCATATAGCGCCGGTATCCGCCAGGCTCTGACGCTCATGGCGCTGTACATACATGTATTACTATCACAAAAATATAACTGGCAAATGGCAGCCGCCATGATTGTGCGACCAACTCTTGACTTTTTGATTGGGTTTGCAGTCAGTTTCTCGGCTTTTTACTCATATTTATAGACCCATCTTATTAAACAAATAATTCATGTTTTGAAACACGTGCATGAGTGATATACACTGAACTTGGTTAAGTCACAATGAGACGGACAATGAACTCACCAGGTCCCGTTCATTGTCCTATTTATCTTCACCTGCGTGAGTAAATATTCACTCATGCACTCGCAAAATTCACTTATTTGTATACTAACAACTCGCTCCTAAATCCTAATCCAAGTGAGCTGTCCGACATAGTCACACATATGATTCATTCACTAAGACTATCTCACATGTTTCATTAAAAAGTGTGCAATAGTTTCATTTTCTAGGATTTTTTAACATTTTCATGACCCTGTGATCTCTAAATTAATAAAGATTGGTCTAAAAGAAGAGCCGAAAACATGCCATTTTGGATTATAATGACAATGAAATACAAATTGGTGGCTTGCATGTTTTGCCTCTTCTAATCTTTATTAATTTCAAAGTCATGGAAAGGCACCTAATATCATGGTCTACAACAACTCCAGATAACAAAATAATCCCAGCTAGGCATGTTTTTTTTAGTATTTGATAGCCCAAAACTTCCCTTTTTTTTTCTTTCTCTTTCAATTATTTTTTTATTGATCAGCGATTAGAATTAATCATCCGATTCATGTATATTGGCCAGCGATCGGCCCCCTGATCCGATTATTGGCTGTGCACAACAGTGTAATGAGGTACCCGAGTACACTCCCAGGCTCACAGGCGAATACTCGAGTATTCGGACGCCATGTTTTTTTATAATTTTTTTGAATTTTTTTGAATTTTTTTGATTTTTTTTGAATTTTTTTGATTTTTTTTTAATTTTTGGATTTTTGGATTTTTTCCCTTTTTTTTCATTTTTTGCCACTACCATACCACTCGGCAGTTTCTCAGGTCCCTCGCGCAGCTCGCTGAAAACGCATGCAACTTTACTTTGAGTTGCAGTTGAAGGCGCCGATTTAATAAGAATAATAACAGTAAACAATGCTGTTTTAAAAACCAAAGATGGCAGAATAATCCATTTTCCTCCAAGTCCAAACAGAAATCTGGACATTTGGTCCCAGTTTCTGAAAGGTGAGTTTGACAGTGCTTGAGTTTGGAAACATTTTTACCGACGGTACCATGCCAGCGGATGCTGCTCTCCCTGGCACGGGTAAGCGTGGGCCTGGACATTTTTTTTTTTTTGCGGCCGAATATTCGGGTACAAGAAATCGTACCCGAGTAGTTGTCAACCGTGCGGGTACTCGAGCATTCGACTACCCGTCGCAGCCTACAGGGTTATCTACAGGTAACTTTCACGGTCACCTCTACCTCTATTTAGATTGGCATTACTGCCCATCATGAAACCTAAAACAGATAGTGATGTGAATCATTTTAAACCATTTCATAACTTCCAAATAACAAACAAATAACTTCCATTCTATCTATGGAAAAAAAAGAATGTTACAAGATACCTATCATAAATTACAAGCAAGGATAGAACATCAGAATGAGAATTGAATCATGAAAAAAGGCAGTTTGTTGGTAGTACCTTCTTGCTTTCCTTGGAACTGATGGCTCGACTTTGATGTGCCCTCCTTGTAGATGATAACCTGCAAATACACAAACAAAAGCCAAACATGAGCATCATTTTTCAATGAAAATTGGAGGATTGGTCATAACAACAAACATCAAAATAATGGCCAAATAACAAAAATAACATGTTTCTCATCCAGACTTTTAAAAAAAGGGCAATACTATTTACTATTTTGCACCTTTTTTTCTTCTAAGATGGCTTCCATGCTAATTATAGCTGGCCAAGCCTACATGTATTTATTCACAGATATTGTGCTATTTGAGTATACTGATTCAATGTATGACAAAACAAATGGTTTGTGTCACTATTCAAAATGTATATCACAGGGTGTCTTTATTTTATTTTTATTTTTATTTTTTTTTGGGGGGGGGGACTTTACAAAAAAATTGTAAAAAGTTTTAAAAAGGAGGTGGCGGCTAAAATGGAGGTGGCTGCCAAAAAGGAGGCAGGCGGGGACGAGAAACTCTTCATTTTTGTTATTTGGCCAGTCTGAACAAAATCTGGCTTCATACAATTCCAAGCAAAACTATCACTTCCAAGTTTAAGTTTGGATAGTCTGGGGTTAAAAATAATTTGTGATCCATCTCATCTATTTTTTTCTTCCTCTTCTACCATCAGGCCTGTTGTCCACCATAGAAACAATCCATGTTACATACAAACTACTGTTCTTTATACACCTTTTATTCCTGGAACTTTGTAACAAATTTTCATGCCACCTGTGTGACTCATGCCATATACCATAGACGTACCACCGTCTATGCATATACCTTGTGCTGGGACGTAGCAGGAAAAGCCTGTACTCGGGACTTATTACCTGGAACCAGACCTGAAAACTTGCAATATTATTTCAGATATTCCAAAATAAACAAAGGCTATAAAAAGATTAAAAAATCAATATCCACATTAAATGATAGAGGTCCGGTGGTTTTGTTCTATCATCTCAAATTTGATGTGTGTTAACTTATGGCTAAAGCAGTGTAGGCTCCAGTAAAGGCAGCAATTCCCTTTGGTTTGGGTTTATTTGTCTCAATGTCATGCATTCTTTTGACATTTGCTTGTTTACATAACTAATTCTGTTCCAACATTTTGTTTATTTGTTTCACCATATTGCTTTGTTGCTTGTGTGAAGGTCAGTAGATTTTTTTTGTTGTTTTTGTTTCGCTTCCTTGTAGTATGTACATCCCTGACAGGTAGCTGAATGTTCTTCATTACATCAAAAATATTTATGTTTACCTTTTGTTGTGCATTCATTCAAATCATGAGTTCCATTGCATCTTAAAGGTACCGGTGATGCAAAGTTTTGGGAAATTTTGAAAATTGAATGGATAGTACTAATTCTTTAAAATTTTGATATATTTCGATGCCCCTGTGGATGTATTATAAGGACTAGAAAATTTAGCCTCTAAAACACTGCTGCTTTCGAGAAATCAAAAATTTACCAATGCTCCCGGTAAATTTCAAATATTTCGAAGAGCCCCTAAGGCCATGCCATGGTAGCTGCGACTATGAGAATATGGAGCTCTGATATAATTTCTAAACGGAAATAGCAAATCGGTCTAGGCCTGAGTCATGTTGGGATTTTCATAAACCGGGTCCCGACGGCCTTGTACCAATCGGGACCCGGTGTCCCGAAATCAGCTCGCAGGATTTGTCCCTTGCCTCTATAAAAAGCGCATATCATGATTATCATCAGTACAGTATGTCCCTTAAAAGTGACCTTTTTTATCAATCAAATAAATCAACACATGCATACCTCAGCTCAGATCGGTATATTCTTCAATTTGACATTATTTTCATCCATGATTGGTGATGTTTAGTGCCATTATCATGCCTTTAAAAGTAAAACAAGGGAAACGCTCTCGGCGGTCTCGCCTGCATAACGCAATTCAATATGATAAACCAGAACGTCAATGACGTAGCGCTCATCCGCATTTCGCAACAACAAATATCGTAAATTTTATGTGGTACACTTTTGAACTGGTCAAAAAATAAAAATTTGATGCCCTGGAAGGGACATAATTTCATTTCATTTGCATAAAGTACCATAAATAATCAATGGAGCAAAATCTCACAAATCTGTGTAGAAGTTTAGTGTTCCAAATTTAGCTCTACCAGATAAGGCAAACCAAATCAAAATCGGTCAAGAAAAGAGGGAAAAGAAGCAATTTTTGTTATTTTTGGAATAAATTTGCATAGATTACCATAATTAATTAATGGAGAACAATTTCGAATTATGTGTTTAAGTTTAGTGTACCAAAGTTAGCTCTACGATATGAAGCAAACCAAGTCAAAATCGGTCGAGAAATAAAGGAGACGAAGCCTTTTTTGTGATTTCAAATAAATTTGCATAAATTAGCATAGATAATGAGTTTCACTATTCTGTGAAGAAATTTTAAATCCCCCTCCTAGCCCTATCATATGAAACAATCAGAATCAAAATCAGAATCAAAATGGGTTGAAAAATAACGAAGAAGAAGCATTTTGAAAATCTTGATGTTGATGCCACAACAAAGTCTAAGTTTGTTGACCTTAAATGACCTTTGACCTTAACTTAGTGACCTGAAATTCTACTTACATCATTGGAGAGACTTGATTACCCTATAGTCAAAGTTTCATTGACTAAGAACTTATACTTTAAAAATTATATCAAAAATTCAAAAACTTAACCTTAGGTTAAGTTTTCGATGATGATGCTACAACATAGTCCAAGTCTTTTGACCTGAAATGACCTTTGACCCTGACTTTGTGATCTGAAATTCTACTCACATGATTGGGAATACTTGATTACCCTATAGTCAAAGTTTCATTGACTAAGAACTTATACTTTAAAAATTATATAAAAAATTCAGAAACTTAACCTTAGGTTAAGTTTTTGATGTTGACGCCGCCGCCGTCACCGGAAAAGCCGCGCCTATGTCTCGCTTTTTGCTACGCAGGCGAGACAAAAACTGGGGCAAAAATAGAGATACAACATTCGAGCCGCCATTTTGATTTATGCAGGTTGAATAAATCTGGTCAAAAAATATGAATGTTAGAATAATAATACGACTTTCTAAAAAATTCTTCTTTACAATATATCTATCATATAATTTTTTAAAGACAAAATTTATCTCTTATTTTAAACATCGCATGCTTTTTTTTAAAAGCTGAAAATTACTTGGTAATCACAAGAAATTTCGATACGGATAGCTGTTGCAAGGCAAGTTCAGACTAGTTGTAATGCGTGCCAGAACGAACCCAAACAAAGACGTGATCGTAACGAGAAAAAAATCATTAAAACTACGAGAGCACAATTGGAAAGACAACTACTGCTCAAAATTACCATAATCAGATACATAACTTGGACAAAGAATTTAATAATCGCCCAAGAAATGCCACATAAATTGTGATAATCGAGGAGTAACTGTAACTGGGTACATTTTTATCGCAAGGGGCCTGCTGCAAATACTCGAACCCTTTGTTATACTGCTTTTTACCGTAGAGGGTGGTATTTGGTTTCTAGTCTGAATGGCATTTTTCCGAGACTAGTCTGAACTTGCCTTGCAACAACTATCCGTATCGAAACTTCTTGTGATTACCAAGTAATTTTCAGCTTTTAAAAGAAGCATGCGTTGTTCAAAATCGAAGAAAAAATATCTATTTTATCTTTTAAAAATTATTCAATCGGTATATTGTAAAGAAGTACTTTTTAGAAAAGCCGTTTTATTATTCAAACATTAATGTTTCTTTCAACCTGATTTATTAATCCTGCCGAGAGACTGTCGGTTCTCAAAAAACGAAACCGGGACCAGACGGCAACGGTCGGGTCCCGGTGTGATCGACCGTACCGACTCCAGCCTAAATCGGTCGATTGTAGTCAAGAAACAAGAAAACAAGAAAACAAGAAGGATGCTTCCTTCCCAGGGTTTGTGGTGTTGAAGCATTTCATTCACCTGCTATTATCCTTTGTACTTCAATTGCCAGAACACAAATTGCATAAATAAGGTGGTGCTGTTCCGAGGTGAAGATTTTGCATAAATAAAATAAATTTTTCATCCGCTATATTTTAGGATTTTGAAATAAACAAGTTACAACTGTTACCCTATTTTATAAGGCTGTGCACAACAGTGTAATGAGGTAACCGAGTACACTCCCAGGCTTACAAGCAAATACTTGAATATTCGGACGCCATGTTTTTTTAATAATTTTTTTGAATTTTTTCTTTTTCTTTTTTTCCTTTTTTTGCCACCACCACCATACCACTGGTGCAGTATACCAGTATCGCCGAAAACGCATGCAATTTTACTTCGAGTTGCAGTTGAAGGCGCCGATTTAATATTAATAATAATAACAGTAAACAATGCTGTTCTAAAAACCAAAGATGGCAGAATAATCCATTGTCCTCCGAGTCCAAACAGAAATCCGGACATTTGGTCCCAGTTTTTGAGTGGTGAGTTTGACAGTGCTTGAGTTGGGAAACATTTTTACCGACAGTACCATGCCAGCGGCCGCCGCTCTCCCTGGCACGGGTAAGCATGGGCCTGGACATTTTTTTTTTTTTTTTTTTTTTTTGTGGCTGAATATTCGGGTACGAGAAATCGTACCCGAGTAGTTGTCAACCGTGCGGGTACTCGAGCATTCGACTACCCGTCGCAGCCTTACTATTTTATATTTTTCACCAAATGTAATTTTACCTTCTCGGGCTCTCGGCTATAATTTTCCCTCATTGAAAAATAAAGGCTTTGTAATAGAATTAAAAGATCTTTCCAATTAAAGCTTGGTGCATGATTATGATACATTACATGTACGACTCCAAACAGTACGTCACATTTTTTTTTAGAAATGGCTGCACCCAATGTCATGCTAAAACTAAGGGCATAACATCAAGCCAAGAAATAAGTTCATGTATATCTCTTGTACACTTTTCTAAGATTTATTGTACATCAAAAGGCATGAATTAATCTTGTTTTACAGAATATCTACACTTAATATTTGGGGTTAGTTCCCCTTTAAATCATGGTTAGGTGCAGCTGGTGAGCTGGCTGTCCAATTTACGAATCTCATGAGCATTAAATTGAGTACCACTGTACCACCCAGCTTGGAACTTTTTTGTTATCACTTTCATTTACAGACAATCTAAACATTAAATTTCCTCATATCTTGATTAATTAAAATATCACATTGTCTCTTTTTCTGACCTGGGGGGTGTTTCACAAAGATCCTAAGTAGAACTTAACTCTAAGTTGGACTTAAATATTATGGACAGCCATTAGCGTCTTTGAAAATATTTGGTAAAAATATTTTTGAAAGGCATAAAATGTTTATTCAAATCATTCATATTTTCTATCATTAAGGGGATTTCATATTCTTGTTGTGGAATTTATAAAAAATTCTAAAATACTTGAATTTCTTCTTTTGAATATATTTCATTTTAAGGCTCCAATGGCTGTCCATAATTTTTAAGTCCAACTTAGTGTTAAGTTGTACTTAGGATCTTTGTGAAACACCCCCCAGGACTCTGTTCCTTATGGACCGCTTTGCAGTTTTTGAGTTAACATCACATTGTGAGCAGCAGGATTCATACTTTATTTTGTATCTTTAGTATATTTTCCCCATGTTTTACCATTTTTTTTTAGTGGGTGTGAAGGGTCACAGATTACTCAGCACTATGGCTAACTGAGCATTGGTGGAAATTGTTAGTCAAAAAGGAATGAATTGATCACAATAAGTTGGGTCAATTTTCGCATTAAAGTCTGGAGTATGTAGTCTACGTCTTTTGGAACACCAAAATCCAAGATGATGGGGATAACTCAACTGTCATGTTCAGGTTCTGTTCAATGGTTCGGTTGCTGTTTGGCAAATTCACATGTACAAAAAAAATATATATCTTCGCACGTAGGTAGTATGGTGACATAGTTCAATTCATGCACTTTTTTAAAATTAAAATCATAGACGTAGAAATTCAAAGGTACCAGAGGCGAGTCAATATTCTTAATGAAACACAACATTTTTGTCGCCCATCGTAACTTGACTAAGTTCAGGCCGTCTTGAATGATTTTTTAACACAAATGAATTTGAGTTGAGCCGATATTCATGATGGAACAGTGTTGCAGATATGCATGTAGAGGTGTTGTGGTCGAGTGGATACGTCGCCGGACTGTCGATCACAAGGTCCGCGGTTTGAGTCCCGCCGCTGCACTAATGTCCTTTGACAAGACATTGATCTACATTTGCCACACTCAACCCAGGTGAAGTCAATGGAAGTCAATGGAAGTCAATTCCTGGTAGGAATTTATTCCTTGAAATGCAGCTCGCTTGACTGCTGCACTGCTAAAGCCAGGGTAATTATGCTGCATTTTTGTAGAGCGCATAGGGACTTCTGATAGTGTAAGGTGCTATATAGATCTAAGCAAACATAATTATTATTATTAATGATGCATGATCAGTAGATCTATGACCAATCACTTCTTTATTTAATGACAATGAAATGTATGTTAAATGTAGTCTTACTCTTAGACTGCTGGACTACAAGTACAAACTATTATTTGGGGATCAAAGGTCATGACACCATGCACCAGGAACAAAGACAACATGACAAAGGCAGAGTTATATATAAAAGGTACACAAAGTCATTGTGCTAGACTAAATCTACATGGCCTGGAATGTGTAAGTTATTGAACGGGCACTTGAGCTGGAACTGGAACTTAGCTGAAGGGAAAACAAAATGTGGTCAGATTTGTTATATGGATTTTCTTTTTTCTGGGGCAGGACTGGAGAGTGGAGATTTTTGGTGCCCAATGTGAAATAGACTTCTAGGTTCATAACTGTACTTGTGTCAGTTGTGACACAAAACAGATCATGGACCACGCCAATATGGGCAAGGTTCAGGACGCGAATAGAAGCTTTCACTTCCAATTCCACTCACTTCCTGTCGAACATGAATCCAGAAAAATCAGGCACACATGGCAGAAAAGGCTCATCAATTATCAATATCATCCTCGCAAACTCAAGCAACATACAAATCGAAAACAAATTAACAGGTATTCACACTTCATATAGATTGATGACTAAAACTTTCTGAGTTTTACACAGAAAGGAAAACAACACAATATGTTACTAAAATGTTATAATTTACCGTTCAGTTTTTCGGTGGCCTTTTCGACCAACTCTTCGTTGGAAACGTCCACAAATGCAAATCCATTTTTCTTCATCAGGATTTCTTGGACTGGGATGTCGTTGTCCTCAAAGAGTTTTCGAAGCTCGTCTTCAGTTACATCACGGCTAAGTTTTCCTACATACAGCTTGTTCATTTTGCTGATTATTTGAATTGGGAATGAACGGAAATTTATGAAATTTAGATGTGTCTCCGGTGTGAGGGAAGAGAAGTGTGTGGGTAGTTGTGTGTGTGATAAATGGGCTGAGCCGGTGCGCGCGCAGCGTGCGAATGTTCGATTTTACAAGTAAAGTACACGTTATATTGGACGCGCGCACATGTACGTACGTTCGCATGTACTGTACGTACAAAGTACTTTTTTCTCTTTTTTTTTTCTCACGGCTTTTTAGCCATACAACATGCGCATGCTTCGCATAGTTCCTGTACCGGGGCCACGTGGTCACGACCTCCATCGTCATAATTGACACCGTAAACGACGCCCACGCACATTTTCTAGTATTTTGATTGGCTGAATATCCATCGAGCCTCCACCTATGTCCTAGTCAGAGATATCATTGGCTAGGTTCATTTCCTCAGAAAATTGAAAATAGATCCATATGACTTATATTTTTTAAATCCAGAATTGATTATTAGTTAACAAGTCTAGTGTGATTCTGTTTTGATTCAGTTTAGTTCAGTTCAGTTTATAAAAAAACACCAGACATAGCAATCATGACGAACAAACATGATCCAAATTGGGACCCAAAAAAGTTATGCTTGTGAGTGGGGCTCCTGGGAATTTATAACATGTACCAAAAATACAATGTAACTTTTTACTTGGAATTGATTTTGGTAGCAAAAATGACAAATGTTTCAACTTCTTATTCTTATGTTTAAACATTTATGTTGGTAGGTTCCAACAGTCCAATTCACGTCCTTTGTAAAGTTGAAGAAAATGTAGAAAACAGGATATAGAGAAGAGCAACAACCTTGCATTACATTTTAATAAACGGACACTGTGGTTCGATGTTTCTTTTTTCTTTTTTGCATTAAAGTGAACCGATAAACATTGTTAAAGGTTGATGACAAAAACTGCCTAATTTTTGTATGAAAAGTTTGTTATTATATTCCTTCTATTGTACTATAGAAGGAATATAGTAACTTTAACAACGTTTATCGGTTCACTTTACTGATGCAAAAAAGAAAAAAAAGAAACATCAAGCCACAGTGTCCATTTATTGAAATGTAATGCAATTGTTGTTCTTCTCTACCAAAATCAATTCCAAGTAAAAAGTTAAATTGTATTTTTGGTATGCCAAATTCCCAATTAGGGCCCCACTCATAAGCATAGCTTTTTGGGGTCCCAATTTGAAATAGTGCCTAAACAAAATATATAGCAAATACTGACTAAAGACTGCAACACACTTTTAGGCTCTGGAGGGCCCAAGCATGCGGCGTTTAGACTTAACAACAACAACAAAAACAAAATTAAATAATTATTCGACAAGCTTCCAACATACAACAATATACAAGAATAACAGATCAAATTAAGTCAGCTTGAACAGGATAACCCACGATAGCTCGCCGAGAGTTTGAGTCTAGTGAAAATCGCATTAGTCCCCCACCCGGTCATGAAAAGAAATCGCTGCCCCTGTTTACAGTACAATAAAATAATCAAATAATGATGATAATAATAACACTAAAATAAGAAGAATTAATTCTCATACAAAGTACATTGATCATGACATACCACTGCATAACTCTTAGTGGGCAACCCGGGGTGGGCAATAACATTCGAAGAAATCCATAAATATTTATATCTTTGTGGATTGAGAAAAAAAAATCAAGATTTTTTGCATGTTAGTGGGTTAGTACCAAAGACGTTTAAATATAATCCGTCTAGTAATTATATTTGTGTTGTTTTTGTATATTGTTGTAATTGTATGTTGGAAGCTTGTCGAATAAAACAAATATAAAAACAGTCTTTAGTCAGTATTTGCTATACACTTTGTTTTGGTACTATTCACTGTATGTTGGAAGCTTGTCGAATAAAACAAATATAAAAACAGTCTTTAGTCAGTATTTGCTATACACTTTGTTTTGGCACTATTTCAGGGGGAACCGTATGCCCCCCCTAACAAAATTGAGAGGGGACGTGTCCCCCGTCCCCCAGGGACCAGGGTCGCCCCCTATGACTGTAAATATGTTATGACATGTTATTAGCATTCGAAATTGTTGATGTTTTACAAAGGTTTGGATGATAAATACATAAAAACTAAACAAAAAAGAAATATATATATATATATGCTGTGGTATAAATGGCGAATCAACTATCAGTCCATCTTGAAGGTTCTTAACATTCATTGTTAAAACTTAAGAGCGTCTGGGGGCTTCGCTCCCTTGACTCCTTGCAGGGGCTCTATAGGGCGGGGCCCTGAACCCACATTCGTGAAGATAGAAGTGGTTCCCATAACAACCATTTACTCTGTAAAATTGTCCTTAGGAGAGAGGATTGATTTCCAATGAGATAGAGCAAATTAAGTACAAATTTCAAGGAGATATTTTCTATCACTTAAGAAGGCTATCTTGAAGGTTCTAAATTACTAAAACTCGAAAGGGGAGAGCGTCCATGCAGGGACTCCATCCGTTGTTTTTGTTGTTGTTTGGTTATGTTTTAAGGCAATTCAGTCATAATTGACTATGTATGCCTGGACCCCGGTAGGTCTCTTATAAAGGCCGAATATGGCCCCTAAGATGGGGCCACTGGACCTTACCCTTAAGGATAGAACTGGTTCCCAAGACAACCCTTTAGCTTTGTTCTATAAAAAAAAGGGTATTTCAACTTTAAGAGAGGGTATGATTGTGTGCATGTGAGAGATAATTGATTTCCAACGGAATAAAAAAAAGAAGAATACTAATAGGGCGAGTGATGGATTAAAATATCTATCGCTCAAGAAGGCTATCTTGAAGGTTCTGAATTGCTAAAAACTCGAGATCGTCCTAGCGCTTCGCCCCCTGGAACCCCTGGCCCCCTCCTATAGACGCCACCCATGCAGTACGCTTTACTCGCACGTGGGCTTCGCCCCCTCCCCGCCCCTACCTTAGAAAATACTTGATCCGCCGCTGCTATTGTAAGCTGTGATGTTTCCTGATCATTTATGGGGCAATGGGCACCATTAGATGAAGTGCGGAGAAGCAAAGAGTCTCAGCCGGAGGGGGGGGGGGGGGGGGGGCGGCAATCATATTTAATTTTTTTTTTTCCAGTTCCTTTGGGCCCCTCTCTCTTTCTTCTTTCTTACTCTTGTGATTCAGTAGTTCCAAATCTTGCACACTTTATGGGCCATTCGATCACAAGGACAAACTGTGCTCACTGCAGGAATGTCTGGGTGTTGAGCCCAAGGTCGTATCGAGGGGGATGTTGGGTGTTCAAACACACCCCCCCCCCCCCCTCCCCGGCCTCCCCGGCAAACAAGGGATATTTTAGTTGGCAACAGGGGATTTTTAGGATTTTAAAGACACTATTATGCCCCACCTTTTTGTTCAAGGGGAGGGGGTGGATGTTGAGGAAAAAAAGGAGTGTTCACTCCCCCTATTAAGGCCAAAAGAAAGTGCTCACCCCCCCCCCCCTCCAGCTTATTCACCGTTTGGCTGTTTCGCCGATAAATATTATTTCACGAATTGGGAGAAGAAGAAAAAGTGTTCCTTATACCTAGAAAAAGACACATAAGACACAATTTGTATTGGCAGTGTCATTGAGCAGTTTAGGAAAAGCAGTAAATGCATGTACATGTATTTTCGTTCAATTTTGGCCCGACACGTGACTATGAAATGTTACACGACCTCGCAACAGATATAATAGTTCAACTTTTGCATACCGTTTGGTCTCAAAAGTTGCTAGACACTTGCAAGGAAAAAAGTCGCGAAAAGGCAAAGTATCTTTTGAAATTTAAACTTATTTGCTTTCATCAGAGGGCGTCCTTGTGATATGTTCCTCAGTCATCGATATCATTCTAAATTCATAGTTTGGACAACTTGGTTCAAGTTGGGCACAATAATGACGCACGTTGCTTTGTTAGGCAAGTACACAACAACATAATTTGTTCGACTGGAACTGAGGTCGAAAATCTATGTGTATGTTAATAATCATTTGATTATTGTTCTTATTTATGATTAAATTATTATTAGACCATATGGATAGTAGGCAAAATGGGCATTAGACAAACTGGGAATCAGGCCTACTGGAAATTGGACTAAATGAGCAATAGACCAAATGGGTAGTAGACTTATTGGAGATTAAAACAATGGAAATGAGACCAAATGACTATTAGTCTAAATAATAACACCAAATAATGAGTAGACGAAATTATTATTAGACCATGTGGAAAATATAAAAAGGCTGCATGGGTGTAGACCATAATTATTGGGATAGAACAACATTGGTGAGTAGACGAACTGATTGTAGACCAAACGACAATTCATCGTACTTACATGCCTCTGCTCGTACTTACGCATGCATGATGACAGAAAATAATAATCAATCACAACTTTTGATTTTTTTTTTCTTCTTTTCTTTCCACAACTCAGATTTCGTAGGATTATCATTTATATAATGTTTTCAATATTCATGATGGTAGACAAAAATTGAAACACTTCCAAAGTGGGGGGGGGGGGGCACCAAGAAAAAAGGACACTTTCTTGAGAAAAAAAGGCAACCTACAAAGGGAAATCTCAAAGCGAAAAATAATATAATCTTTTAGACATTGGTATAATACCCTACGTTGTAATTACATTACCAGGGATGATTTCAATGTTTGTTTCGCTTTATATTATACACCATACAAGATTTTGCTTAAGCATGATGCTTTGCAGTTGGGCGTGATGGTCTGAAAAATCATTTGCGAGCGAGCGAAGCGAGCAAGGAAAACTTTGAATATTTGTGAGATCGCAGTGTGAAAAATTACTTCTTATAAAGAGGAAAATACCCAATCCTGATGGGGTTATAAGCACATTCTCATAACGGAAGACTGAAAAGGCCTATGATAAGTAACATTAATATATCATTCTATAGATGCGTGGGAGCGTAGCGAGCGAGCGAGCTTTGGGAGAAATTGCTCTTAGTCGCTTGAAATGTGGGGCGCGTTTAACGATGAGAGGAAAAGGGGACACTTAATTATCAGAAAAGAAAAGGAGCATGTGTCTAAGTACAAAGAGTAATTATCAGAGGTGAAAATGGGGCACTTCTTACACCCTCAAAAAGATGCACTCACCAGGGATGAAAAAGTTAGTCATGAGAATAGGAAATGGGCATTTGTTGACGGAAAAGGGGCCCTCATCAGATTTTGATAGGGGCATTTATAGGAGGTGAAAAGGGGCATGTATGAAAAGAGGATAGGTCCCTGATTAGAAAGGAAAAGGGGCACGTATCATTGTTAAAAGGGAAATTATCAGAGGTGAAAAGAGGCACTTATCGCACCTGAAAAGGGGCAATGACCAGATATGAAAAGGGGTACTTAATAAAGGAAAATGTGCATTAGTTGAAAGATAATGGGCACCGATCAGATTTTAAAGAGGCCTTTATCGGAGGTTAAGGGGGCACTTATCTGAAGTAATGAGTAACTACTATCTGAAAAGGGTCATTTACCAGAGAAGGGGCACTTATGAGAAGGGGCACTTATGAGAAGGGGAAGGGGCTCTTATTTTTAATGGGGCACTTATCATTAGGAAAAGGGGCACTTGTCAAAGTAAAAGAGACACCTCTCAGATTTGAATAGGGCGATTATCAGAGGTGAAGGGGCTCTAATCAACTTTTGAAAAGAGGAACTTCTCGTACCTGAAAAGGGGCAGTTACTAGAGATTAAAAAGGGCACTTATGAGAATGGAAAATAGACACTAATTGCAAAGGAAAAAAGGAACTTGTCGAAGGAAAAGGGGCACGTGTCCAAATAAAAGGGGCACTTATCAGAGTTGAAAAGGGAAGAGGCACTTTTACAAATTTATAGGGGCACTTTGTCAAGTAAAAGGGGCACTATTCCTATGTAAAAAGGGGCACTTTCCCTATGTAAAAAGGGGCACTTTTCGGGTGCTTGAAAAAGTGCCCCTTTTCCTAATGATAAGTGCCCCATTAAAATTGTTGTTGTGTCTACACCAAAGACGTTTAAATATAATTACATTTTGTATATAGGCCTACGCTCTTTGTTAAAATTATACATTTCAGGGAGTGCAGCAACCGAGTAGAAAAATCAGTAATTTATACTTTATGGAGATTTTAAATTTTGGAGGGGACGGAAACGACTACTTTTTCAGATTTTTGGATTTCACACAATCCAAGTCTGCGCTATTTGATCACATACTAGAATCACGACTACAAATGATTTATTTATTTATTTATTTATTTATTGTTGTATCAAAAATGGATTATACGATATCAAAGTGGGCTGCCTGTTTTAAAAAAAAATCATTATGATCTTTGTGCAAAAAATCATAAAGAGCCCTCCTCGTCCAAAAAGAGACAGTCCGTTTATACTGAACGTGAATTGCACATTTTTGTGCTGAACATTTTTGCTCGTTTTTAGGGAAACCAAATAAACTCCAAAATGGTAAGTAGTGTTGTGAGCATTTTAAGATGAAATAATTATTTTAGATGATTTTGATTAGAGAAAGTTGGACACGGATACTGTAAATAATAGGAGTGAAGTTGATGCGATGATGGAATTGAGTGTGGCCTAGCCTCGGTCAGCGTTACCTGATTGTGAGGCGGCGCGGCCGTGTATACCGCGCCGTACCTGCTGGTGGAGCAAAACCAGCCGTATTGCCTAGATTGGGCCCACACATACATGACATAGCAGCATTACAATCCTGGCTGTGTATTAAAAAAGGCAACACTGTACTGCAGCACATTAACGCAAGCTTTTGTAAAGCCTGCTGTATGATACTTTCAAAGGGGTTTATAAAAATTAAATGAATCAATGATGATAGATCTAATTCATATTGATAACAACTGAGTGACAGTGACAGGTTTCATTGATGAAAATTTCCTTGATTTTGCAGATGTTTTAGCCTAGAATCTACTTTTACCAATTGGGCCAACCGTCAGTTATGTTCCGTCATTTTCTAATTTTATGCAGTTTTTTAAAAATGAAGGGAGACCTCAAACGCCCGATTGCATCGCATTTGTTTATCTTTGCGATCAGTCGTTAACACAGGTCAGCAGCAGGAGACACAAAAGAACGAACGAACGAGTGGCAGCCTATCTGCGCATGCGAGATAGACAGCCACCCATCAGATATTGCGCAATTGCTTTAAAGTAGATTGTCCGCAACGCACATTTTTTGATTTTTTCGATATCAGGAGGAGGGAACTTAATAGTCTCTCGAAAAGAAGGGGAAAAAAGGGTTTTAAAAGTAAGTTTACAAGTTTACAATCCCGATTTACGGTTAGACCTTTATGCATTGTAGGAGTGATTGGGCCTGGGTGCGAGCATGAAATGATAAAATATGCTATTGTCTATTGAAAATGCTGCTGCACATGAGCCTTGAATACGCCGGGGAGCAACTTTAGAATACCATATGAACGTTAACCAGTCCTGGGTTGTGACCCTTTTTAAATTGTTTAAGAACTTAAAGGTACTATGTCCCATTTGCAGGCCAAAAAAATGAAAAGGCATTTGAAAGAAAATACTAATTTAGAACTTCCCTAAAAAAAGGGCGGCTTGCGCTTGAAAACGTCTTTAAGGGGGAAAATAACGACTATTAGTTGTCGAATCGACTTAGGAGCTATAGAGCCAGTAAGTAATAGTGTGATTTTTCAGACCATTGTACCGAATGGTCGTACGTTTTATGCTGCGCAAAGATTCAATCAGTTTAATTTTGGCCATTACAAGAAGTGGGTTATTGATGTAGACAAATGCTCATGTACCCTTTACAGCTCATTTTATGTATGTTATTACCAAAGATGAAAAAAAAAGCCAGTCAGTCACTTAATAGTGTCTGACAATGAGGTCTAGCAAGTAAACGGGTTTCCTTGCATAATTTGAATATTAGGAAACTGCTCAAGTTTAAATTTCACAGATAGGACATACATAACATATTCATAATTCCTGCAAAGTTCTACAGAATGTGATGTTGGCTGCAAAAGGGACATAGTATCTTTAAATAAAGTATTTTCATACTTTTGTGCTGTGTGCAGGGTATGGCTGTGAAACTGTACTTCTAATATTCAATAATTAAAAAGTGTGGTAATTGGTACTTGGAGGTGGAGTAATCCCTTTCTTTGGCAGCTCACTCAGCTCAGGAGGCTTTATACTGGGCTGGATTGCAGATGGTAGGTGAGGCAAGTAAATGCAAGGAGTGCCATGAAGTACTGAAATAGTGTGTTTGTGTTTGCACCTTTCTGCCAGCCAAAGCTTTTTTGTTATTCAGCTCTCATTGATAACATAATACATATATGTCCTTCTTTCATTACAGTCTATTATGTCATATAACGGCTCGGCCGTTGTGGCCATGATAGGTAAAGACTGTGTTGGGATAGCGTCAGATAGGCGGTTTGGTGTCCAAGCTCAGACTGTCTCAATGAACGCACAGAAGATCTTTACGATGGGACCAAGGCTCTATCTGGGTCTCTCTGGGCTGGCTACCGATATAACAACAGTGTAAGTAAACCAAGTTCATTCACTTCATAATTATTTCACTTGCCAGCAAAGGCAACAATTCTTACAGTAATTCTGTAAAACCAGAAACTCTTGTAAGCATGAAACTTACATGAATTGAAAATTAGTTCAGATCTATATTGCAAAATACTAAATTAACACAACACTGAAAGATTTGCAATTCACGAACTGCATACATGTACATGTATATAACTATATTAGTGGCTGTCTTTTACAATTTGTGAAAGTTCCTTTGTCGTATACAGTACTACCTCGTTACAACATTACTTTTACTTGCAAGCCCACATTGATTATACTCAAACAAGAAATATATGAAGTTACGATATATCTAGAGAGTTGTCTACAGATATAGAGACCGAAGTTGAAAGAGGAAGTTGGGAAGGCAACATAAGATGATTACACACCATCACCCACTCTATGAATTTTTTCTTTCACATTTAATGTTACCTAGTTAATGGTGTGCCATTCTTAGACTTTATAGGTAGCATGAGTAAACTATGTGTGTACTGTATATAAAGGTATTATTGAGTATTGTAATCAAGCTAGTTATAACCTTAAGCCTTTTGTTTACTGTTCTTTTTACAGATCCAACAGATTAAAGTTCCGACTGAATCTCTACACATTGCGAGAAAATAGGGACGTGAAACCAGAGACGTTCATGAGTATGGTATCAAACCTACTGTACGAAAGAAGGTAATTCCTTTCATATTCATATACTTTGTACACTGTCGCTTGCAATTTTCTAACCCTCTGTTGTGACACTAATATGGTTTATTCTAAATAGGTAAAGTTTATATTTTCTCAGAACTTCAATCAATCAATCTCTATAATTCCTTAGATAGATCTATTAAGTTCTGAGAAGATGTACACTTTATATATCAGGATTAAATCATAATATCACAACCATTTCACAAGAAGAGGTCAGAAAATTTCATTCCAACTTTATGGGCAACAGGATGGTATTTTGAAATCTTTGTTATATTTTATGTTGGTAAAACAATGATTATTGTCATAAAAAATAAAGATTCTATGAGGCAATTCATTGATTATTGTCCACGCAATTTGAATTTGTAATGACAATTAACTTCATTTTCTGTATCATTAGTGAATAACATTGCTTTCAGAATATGGCCCCTGGTGATTCATTACTTAGGATTGTCTTTTATTTACTCTAATGATAATAGGTAATCTTCACTGAAATGTATTACTTATCTAGTACTGTAACTGTATGATTGTCTTTGAGGTCTACTATTTATTGCACATGTGAAAAAGTAATCTTCTTGGACATTTCCTTTTGCTGGTACACTATTTCAGTGAAAACAAAACTGTGAAAAGACCACTTCAGTAAGAATTTTCATAATGTAAGATGTACAGTATTTGCTGGATTTTTCATGATGTAAGGTGTATTAATTTTGTTGGATTTTTCATGTCCGATGTATCTGTTAGAATTTTCATACTGTAAGATGTATTTTTTGGAATTTGCATTGTGAAATGTGTAGTTGTTGGTACATTTGTACTGCTGATTTATTAAATGACTTGAGTTGACCTATGACCTTTATTATTATATCAGGTTTGGGCCATACTTTATTGAGCCTGTGATTGCTGGTCTGGATCCCAAGACCTACAAGCCTTTCATCTGTAATCTGGATCTTATTGGATGTCCCATGTTCACTGATGACTTTGTAGTAGCAGGAACATGTACAGAGCAGCTCTACGGCATGTGTGAATCCGTCTGGGTTCCAGACCTTGTAAGTATGAACACCATGCCCTTTGGTTAGGCATTCATCCTCATTACCAAGTCCCTCAGAGAGAACTTACAGCTGCCTGTCCCCTGGTTGTTCACTTACAGGCTTACACATGCTTTCTTATTTTCGTTCAATTCAATGTATTTATTGGTCCAATGTCATTCAACATGGATGGTTTTCTCACATGTAAAATTAAGGCTCAGACAAAGTTTACAAAGAACAGAAATATGATACAAAACATGGATACCTTTTTCATCAGTCAGGTAAAACAGACATTGCATTCTTCATTTACAGGAACTCAACGTTACATTATAGGGCATGTGGCTGTCTGGCATATAAAGTTATAATTAATTGCAACCTTAAAAAAATATAATGCAAGTCACCAATACCATTATTTGCTAAAAGCAAGGCACTTAAAAAAAAAAATTGTTATGCCTCCGCCCACCAAAGGTGGTGACAGAGGTATTATGTTTTCGGGTTGTCCCTCCCGCTTTCTCGATATCTCAAGAACCACTAGAGATATTTTGCTTCTTACACCCAAATCTAATCAGTTCATCCTTAGATTCTCATGTATACTTGTTCCAAGTTTGGTTAAAATCAATTTAATGGTTCTCAAATTGGGGATGGACAACACAAAATCAAAATGCCTCTGACACCACCTTTGGTGGGGAAGGCATAAGAAGCATCTTTGGTAACATAGCAGGCCGTATGTTGAATCAATATTCTCTTACAACAATGATGATCAGAATAGAAATGGTATTCCAGGGGTGTTTCACAAATATCCTAAGTTGAACTTATCTCTAAGTTGGACTTAACAATTATGGAAAGCCGTTAGCATCTTTGAAAATATTTTGTAAAAGTTATTTTATAAGGCATAAAATGTTGATTCAAATCATTCATATTTTCTATTATCAAGGAGATTTCATGTTCTTGATGTGGAATTTATTAGAAGTCTAAAATACTTCAATTTTTGCTTTTGAATATATTTTGTTTAAAGGCTACAAATGGCCCTCCATAATGTTCAAGTCCAACTTAGAGTTAAGTTTGACATAGGATCTTTGTGAAACACCCCCTGGAGTCCTTATGATCGGTTGTGATTGGTTAAAGCTGACTTTGAACTGTTTCTTGCAGGCACCTGATGATTTATTTGAGACCCTGTCACAAGGTCTTCTGAATGCTGTAGACAGGGATGCACTAGCAGGATGGGGAGTTGTAGTACACATTATGTAAGTATAGTATACATCAATCTTGTCAAGGTCCACGCCGAAACAGAAGTCATTTTATGACTCGCCGACGACTGAACACATTACAATATCAAAACGCTGATGAGGCTATTAAAATCATAATGTATATCCACAATATTATGGCTTACCCAAAGTTATGGTGATGAAGGAAAATGAAATTAATTAAATATCTTTTGTGTTCTCATTCAAAAACTACACTGTATGTATACTGTATGACAGGATAACCAAGCATAATAAACATGAAGTGAAAAACATTCCTCAAACAAATTGTATTCATCTTGCTTTGTAATTTCTCTTTGTTCAAGGGTATTTTGGTAGCTATAAACTAAGGGTGTACCAATGTATTAACAAGTATAAAGTAGAGATCAGTTGACAGACAACACAGCCATTTTTCAAAGTACAGGTACAGTCAAACGTGCTTTAGCGACCACCTGAATAAAAAGGCCACCTGTCTATAAAGACCTTATTTTTTGTTTCCCTTGAACCTGTACTAAATGAACCTATACATAAAGACCACCTGCTTATAAAGACCAATTTTCATGTTTCCCTGGAGCGGTCTTTATGTCCAGGTTTCACTGGCACATGTATTTCATGTTAAGACATGTTTGATTTTTAATTATTTAAACATATTTGTGGCTTACAAATCTGTAATTGAAAAAAAAATGTCAGAAAAAAATCTTGGAACCAGCAGGACTTGAACCTGCATCTACTGCTTGCCGGGCAGCGGCTCTACCACCAGGCCTTCACTGGTCCATGGCACAGTCACAATGAACTAGAAACAAATACCCAAGGGGTATCAATCGATCTTATTTACTGGGTGTAAACCACAAATATGTTTAAATAATTGAAATTTCTCCCAGGAAGCATTACATTTATAAAATGTTTGATTTTTTATATTTTTATTTTCTTTGCAGAGAGAAAGACAAAGTGACAACACGAGAGGTTAAAGCCAGGATGGACTAGCATTCCTATCATCTTATTGTTTCTTACATATACATGTACATATATTTGTTCTTGTTTTTGTTTATTCATTGATGAAATCAGTCCATGACCCGTTTGTTGCTTTTCTTTAAAGTGTACCAATCGCCAAAATTATTTAAAGCCCCACCGCACTAGTTTGGCTAGGAGGGATTAGACATCCCTGCATGGTCACTGACAGGTGGTTATCTCATCAAATCAGCTCTCAATTAACATAAGAAAAAGGGGATCATGGGGATCAAAGGGTACCCGTTTAGGCATTGTTTGCTATATAGAGGGCCCAAGTAGCTATAAGTAGTGCAGTGGGGCTTTAAGATATATGTTAGTATTATCATGTTCCTATTCTGTATTTAAAGTATGTGGTTCAGATATACCTTCTGTCTCAGATATCGCAAGTTTGAATACATTCTCAAATCGACTTCTGAGTAGACTCATCTATGATCCTGTACATGCTCACATGGATATGGCCCTCGTGGAATCCAAGTTGGATTTCCCTGCACGAGGTTTATGTTATTCTTTATTTTCTTTATTCTCCCAAACCTTTAACCCTTAGAATGCTGGGCAAGTCTTCTTAGGTTGATTAAAACATTATAGCTGTACACCAATTGTGTTTTTAGGCGCTTGGTACCCTTTCACATATCCATATGACAATGGACTATGACACGAAACATTCAACAGAGAGGTGAAATTTGGTGTAGTATAGGAAAGGGTTGAGGAGGTGAAGAAAGGTATTACCTGTATCCATTTTGTAGTGTGTGCCTGCCTGCCTGATTTTACAATTGAGCAACTGTTCCATTGCGTAAAACATAGTCTGTAGTCTTTTGAACTTGCACAAAGTCCTTGTACACATTTCATACAAGTATATATTAATGATAGCAACAGATTTGTGGTGCATCTCTGAAGAATTGGTTGCTTCATTAGCTTATGCGCAGTTCACACCGACGCCGAATGTCGCGCTTTAAATCGGCGATCAATTCGGCGTCATTTTTGTTTACTTTTCAAAAAATCTCACGATCTCCTCAGATATGTTATGCTCTGACATCTTAACAAAGCGTGTCAATTGGTGACAGAGCGTACAAAGTGGGGTGACCGCTTTGAACCAAGCTCTGTTAAATTCTGTTAAGCTTTCCTATGCTTTGAGCAAAACTTTGATAAGCTTTGTGACACTTTGATAAGCTTTAATACGCTCTCCCCGCTTTACCCAATTTGTGACAGATCGCCTCAAATTTTTAAACAGTTTAAAAAATTTGGGCGCTCTTGCTGAATGTCCCGAATTGCTCAAAGCTTTCTCACGCTCTATTACGGTCTTTACACTTTAATTAAGCTTTGTTACGCTTTGCCGCCGCTTTGCTCGCCGATTTAATTCGCCATCAATTCGGCGTCGGTGTGAACTTAGCATTAGATAAGGAAACTCTTCATTTTTATACCTCCGCCAACTGAAGGTTAATATTGGTACACTTTGATTTAAATTAAATGGTCTATTATTAAACCAGTCCTTAAAATCCTTATTACATTCTTTGAGACTTAAGTTTGAATCGTATCATTTAAAGTTTCATACATACGAACTGAAGATCCTCATTGCATCAGGGCTCTTAAGAATACTGATTGACGTTTCTTAGTAGAATTTTTTGAAATGTGGAATGTATAATAAATGACTTACAAGTGATTTCTAAAGAGTGTAAGTTTACATTCCTTTCATTGAGCCTAATATTTACAATGCAACTGATAAATAAGAAAGACGTTAAAATCAAAATACATTCACAAAGAGAGAGTGAGAGAGAGTCGAAGGTTTATCCCTTAAATGAAAAAGGAAAAGAAGCAAGGATGAGAGCGAATAGGTAAACATGAAGTTGACCAGACCATTTCTGTAATGGACTTTATTTAAATAAAGGACTTTTTTCACCCAGCTACTCTAAAACTTTTGAATCTCTTTTGTAACTCAAAATGTTGTTTATTAGCTCATGCTATGACCCCCCCCCCCCAGCCTAGAGGTTCTAAAAAGGCCATTTTTGTAATGTAATCAAATTTGATGCACATTTTTTGTTCTACCTAGCAACAAGTAAGGTATGCAATTCACATTCTGACTACCGTATTGAAATACAATTATTTGTAGCGGGTGAATGAAATGATTTGTTAACATGGCACTTGACAAAGATTTATGCACTGAATTTGATTTCATTGTAAAAATGGAAGGCCTGTTTTGGAGGGAACTGATAAAGTAGGAGATTGAGAAGGCACAATTGTACAAAGGAAGGTAGAACAAAATGGTATAAAAAGAGGATGAGAGAAAAGAGAGGGGCAAGGAGAGACAGGGAGAGGGGAGAAAAGTGGGAGGGAGAGAGAGAGAGAGAGGGGAATGGTTTTATCATGTCATCGTTAAAACAGAAACCCAATTTTGACATCGAGTACTCTTAGAGGAAAGCAGAAAACTCAAGGCGAAAGTTTGAATGAAATCGGACAATAAATTAGAAAGTTATGAATTAAAAAAAAGTTGTAATCACTATTGGTATCGGCTCTTCAAATTGGCTGAAATGGTAATTTCTCTGTGATGTAGAGGCAGACAACTTTCTCATTTAATCCAATGTACAAAATGACTAAAATTTCAATGTTTCAACAATGTATGACCCAGAAGCATTTATGCTCTTTAAGAGGACCTATAATAATAATATCCATTCCATATTTTAAAGTAGATATTCATTGATTTTAAAAACTAACTTTATTTTCATTATTGCAAAGTTGAAACTTTGATTCAACAAGGTTATCAAAATTCAAAGCTTGGAAACAGTCGAAGTAATGATTATTATAAATCACAAAACGCTTAAATACAGCCCCGGCATAGCACCCGAAGAGCTCTTCGAACGCTGCTGAGATGTGTGAGATCACAGTATAGACATGATTTGCACAAGCAGACGATGTCCTATGACATCTCACACATTTTCAGTGCCTGTTTTTTCATCTTTTCTTGAGTTCTTTCTCTTTCTTCACTACCGTCAGGCTAAATGTATAATCTATTGCCTCGCTCTTAACCCAGCGCATGTTTTTATTTTGATGACAAATGCAGCGATACAAAAATAAAGGAATTTGTCGCAAGTTAACAAAAAAAGATGCCATTGTATATTCAGCTGCACACATCGCGGTGTGTTCGGCGGTTCAAGAGGGAACTGATGTCATTATCAATATCATTCTGGGGGCTTTTCAATTTGAAAGTATGGTTTCTTTAATTGTTAATTAACCCCTATCCTGTATATTTACAAGCAAAAGATTTTAGTTTTCAGAATCGGGTCATATCCCCTTTTGAATGGCTTTAAATTTATATACACTAAACTCATTATAATTTGACAAATAAAAGCTTTGCAATTATGTTCATTCTGTATGGGATGTCGTCTGCTTGGGCAGTATTGGTCCATATAGTGACGTCATTAAAACATCGTTATTTTTCTGGCGAACCTCTCGTATATTCCAGCTGCTATGGTGGTGGTTGTATTTGTGTTTTTATAAATCACCCGATATGTAGTTGACCTCAAACTTGTACGATGGACATCTGTTAGCTTACCAGTTTCTAGTGATACACTATTTGACATATTTGTGATTTTCTTTGAATTTCACCAAAGTAGTGCCACAATGGAGAAGGCACTTGGGAGAAATACAGAAAATAATCATACTTTTGTACAAGACAAATGGGAGAGTTAACTGCGACGTCACAATCCACCGACCAAGCTGCCAACTTGCATAGACTTGGTGATCTCATATTTCAAACATCCATAACTTTCTTATTATTGATCCGATTCATTTCAAACTTTCGCCATTCTGTTTCTCTTATTTTGTTCCTTTCATCCAAATGACTTATTACAAGGGTTGGATTGCCCTTTTATAATGACAGCTTCTATGTAATAGTATAGTATTAATGACTGCTTTGAGAGAAATAGTTGTTTTATTACGCTCAAGGGAAGGTTAGAATTGTGCTATTCCCCGAGGCTTGCCGAGGGGAATAGCCCAATTGTAACCTTCCCGAGAGCGTAATAAAACAACTATTTCTCGAATATTAAAGCAGTCATTAATACTTTTATATGCCGAAAAAAAATAGACTAAAAAATAAAAAATAAAAAATATTTTACATTTTTGTCGAAGACGGGATTCGAACTCTTGCGTACAACAAGAGGTGTATCAAAAACCAACGCTTAGACCACTCGGCTATCGCGGCGCCGTTAACATGCTTGGCAGTTTTCTCCAATATATACATTAAAATGGATTGAAAACGGCTCCGCGTGAGGGATGCTTCGCAAAAGCTCCATGAAACGGACCCTTCTTTTTACTTTTGCAATGCATATTGGCACGAACTTAGATCAAGATCTATCGGCAGATGTTGTTTTTTTGTTTTTGAGAGTTAATTTTCGTCTTCATGTCAACAATGCAAGATAAAAGTGTCGGTAAGATCGATCGAGATTCAATTGTATTGAAATTGCCGACCAATTTTTCGCACACGTATGGTATCCTCCATCGCTCAAACCATTTTTTAACATGTAAACCTATGGGGTAACCATGGAGACTGACCTATTTTTTTAATAACCATGGTTATTAAAAATATTGAAATGTTTTATGCATGGTTACCGGGAATTTTACAGGAACAGTTGAAGTTTATGAATGCAATTCGACCAATCAGATGGCTGGATTTCTTAAGTGAGGTATATAATAAATCATATAATTCAGACTATGGAATACTGCTTTGAAAGTTCTTATATCACATCCTTTGGGCCAGGAGGACTTGGGAAGCTATGTGGATCAAACGCACGCCTAACAACATGAGCAGGGACGGGGGCGCATACCGGCTGTCATATAGGATGCAGTTATCGCCAAAACAACAACTACTGGCAATCAGAAAATTGGCAGCTTATTTCAGTTTGCCAATTCGCATCTGAGGAAAGTGACTGAACTCTAGACATCTTTACTTTTCGCTGTGATATAAGAACTTTCAAACCAATTTAATTCAGACCTTTCTAAATAACACCATTTTCATCACAACATAACATATTACAAAAGTAGTAAACAAATGTTAAGTACATAAATGCATGTTTTATTCACAAACCTCTCACAAATAGATACATTTAACATAATAACCAAATATAATATTTACAAATAAGTACAAAACATTTAAGAATGTACAAATCATTTTGGGACGGATCAAAATGTGCACCCCTTTCAAATTTCAAGATTTAAAATTGTTCAAAAAATCTTGAAAACCCTTAATAATATAGGGCACTTTCTTATGATAATAATAATTGAAGTTAGACAAAGATTTTAAAATCTTATGAAGAATTTTCATCGTGAGTGCACTAGGTTCCTAATGAACTACAAGTACTTGTATCTAATAATGTGCATTACTTTTAACAAGTATATAAGTATATGCAATTCAAGAATAAATCTATTGCAGATTGTTTAAATAAAAGACTACAAGTAAAGATAGGAACAGTGCATACACTGTGACTCATATCCAACTAGATGTATTTAGTCTGTAAGTATTTAATAAACTCTACCAATGATAGATATTCCTTTAATCATGACAACTTTCATTGACATACAGGGTTATATAACCACATGGATTTAAACCAAGAAATTATTTTGATTCATATAATGTAAAGTTGTTGCTCAGTTCCATATAAAAGATGTGTCCGCATGATGGTAAAACATAATGTATCGTAGGATTGTTACTACCATACCACTTGCATTCGATTTTGCACAAAATGGCTGCGTTGATGGGTAGGCTTTATAGATCATAGAGAGCTAGGGGTCCTATGTTATTATAATAAAATAAAATAATTTTGAAGAACACTATGAATTTGAATATCATGCTGGTGCATGAAGTATGCCAAATTCATGGAGTATCTTTAGATCCACTTCATTCTCACATTTGAAGCTACTGAAATGAGAAAATGCAACCACTTATCGACAGAGTTTTTTTTCATTTTCTGAAAACAAAGTGTGATTGCTTGCTGTCCAGGAAGGTAGGTTGGAGCTGTAGCGGTGTTTGTCGTCTAGGCAACCGGTTGGTATTGCTCGACTCTGTCCAGCAGGGCATCTGAATAACCAGGGGAGTAGTACCTGTATGGAAGAGAGAAATAGAATTGGACGTCCAATTTAAAACATCAGGGAAAATATGGGAATTAAAGCCCCACTGCACTACTATACTTGGGCCCTCTTTACAGCAAATAATGCCTAAGCGGTGACCATTTGTCCCCCATGATCCCGTTTTCTTATGTTAATTAAGAGCTGATTTGATGAGATAACCGCCTGTCAGTGACCATGCGGGGAAGTCTAACCCCTCCTGGCCAAACTAGTGCAGATAGGCTTTAAGCTTGTTTATAATAACAATAATAATAATATTATTACATTTGTAAAGCACCATTCATGAGATGCAAAGTGCATTGACAAGAAGTATTTACAAACAAATAGAGAGAACATTATGTAATACAAAGTTTACATGAATTACAAACAGAGAGGACTATTACATAAAATTGGATGTCTTTTCAGACACCTCTTGAAAGATGTGAAAGTGTGGCAATTCTTGTTTAGTGTTAGAGTTTCTCCTATTCTTATTCATAAGTTCACACCGACGCCAAATTGATGGCGAATTAAATCGGCGGCAAAGCGTAACAAAGCTTAATTAAAGCGTAAAGACCGTAATAGAGCGTGAGAAAGCTTTGAGCAACTCGGGACATTCTGCAAGAGCGTCAAAATTTGTTAAACTGTTTAAAAATTTGAGGCGATCTGTCACGAATTGCGTAAAGCGGGGAGAGCGTATTAAAGCTTATCAAAGCGTCACAAAGCTTTAATATCAAAGTTTTGCTCAAAGCGTAGGAAAGCTTAACAGAGTTTAACAGAGCTTGGTTCAAAGCGGTGACCCCACTTTGTACGCTCTGTCACCAATTGACACACTTTGTTAAGATGTCAGAGCATAACATATCTGAGGAGATCGTGAGATTTTTTGAAAAGTAAACAAAAATGACGCCGAATTGATCGCCGATTTAAAGCGCGACATTCGGCGTCGGTGTGAACTGTGCATTAATGGTTGCCAATCTGGTTGGCTTTAGGAAACTCGTCAGTCTTTTCTTATCTCAAAGTTATAAATTGTCTGTTCAGAGCAAGAAGGGCGTCTACTCTGCGTTAAAAGTATGTGAGCTAACGCCCTTCTGGTTCCAAACATAAAATTACTAGTAGCAGAACTCAAGCTAGGTGGTGGTGCTAATTTTCACTTCTGATACAAAGCAACAAGAAAATGAGGTGACAGACATTTTAACCTCCTGTTGTTTCATTACCTCAAATATCTTTTACTTTCTTTATATGTTCTAAAAACTCTGCACTTAGTACCTGTTCAATTAAACGGATTTCATTTTTTGGGGTAAAATCCTTACAATAAACAAAATCATAGTATTTTGTTTTGATTATGATCATGATTTTTGCCTGTACTTATTAACAAAAAAACAAACTTCAATGCTCTATCTATCATGTATTTTAGCGCATTGATATTTTCTACGCGGTTTGAGACCCCCCGCGGCACTAATGTCCTTTGGCAAGACATTGATCTATATTTGCCACACTCAACCCAGGTGATGTTAATGGGTACCTGGTAGGAATTAATTCTTTGAAATGCTAGAGCGCCGCAATGCCAGCACAGCTAAAGTCGGGGTAATAATCTCCAAGTTTGTAAGCGCTTAGTGATTCTAATAAGCGCTATATAAAAACAGTATTATTATTCCCCGAAGTTGAAATGCGCATTGGAAAACTTATTTTTCATTATTTTTATTTTTATATGAAATGAGTGGAGAGCTGACATACCTGACAATCTCCTCAGGGAAGCAGTTGTTGATGGTATCGATGTACTCATGTAAGGCACTACCGGGCTCCGCCTTGATTTCTTGCACCTTCTTGAGACCGCCGCTGGTCACAAACAGACGACGGGCGTTGGCATCGTGGGGAAGTACCTTACTGAACTGACCAACCACGTGCTTGAGGATGTTGGGTGGGGCATCGTGAAGGAGAGGCTCGAGGGCTGGTAGGTGAATGCACTTCTGGAGGATGTTCTTCAGAGCTCTCTTGGCCTGAAAGAAAGAAGCAATTGTCATCGGTCGTAAAAATTATTTCGGTATTTAAAAAAAAAAGAACAAGCTATTAATGGTAAAATATAGAGAAAGAGAAAATAATGTACATTTCGTCGCATTATAATGAATCGGAGAAGCAATGATCATCAGTTGCAAACATTATTTCGGTATTTGTTTTTAAAAAGGCAAGCTATCACATGGTAAAATAAAGAGAAAGAGAAACTAACCTACATTTCATCGCATTATTATGAACCGAAGAAGCAATGATCATCAATCGCAAACATTATTTCGGAATTTGTTTTAAAAAGAGAAAGTTATCACACGGTAAAAGATAGAGAGAGAATAAATAATGTACATTTTGTCGGCATTATCATCAACCGACGAATCGACTGTTCAATAATATATATGATGGATTTGTCGGTTCATAATAACACAGACGATTCGGTGGCCTTTTGTGGGATAACAATATAACTACAGTGAAACCTGTCTATAATGACCACCTAAGGGAGACAGGACAAGGGTCTTTATGTACAGGTTCAATTTAATACATGTTTCAATGAGAAACCATTTTCAGGGGAAACAAAAATTGTGATCTTTGTAGACAGATGGTCTTTGTATACAAGCGGTCACTTAGGCAGGTTTGACTGTACCAAATAACCTACCTTTGTCTGGAGGTCCTCTGAGGCATCCGCTCTGATGTAGCACTGCAGCAGACGAGGCAAGACATTAGCCACTGCTACAGCCTTGGCATGCTCTGGGGTGTGACGACCTATCTGACCTAGAGCCCATGCTGCTGCAGCCTGGATGTGATCCTCTGGTTCCTCTGCAAGCGTGATAGCTAGTTGTGTGACACCCTGGATCATAATAATAAATATTAATAATAATAAGATCAAATATAGCGCAACCACTATACAAATATAACGATAGATAGATACACACAGCCTCAACTCTAGTGCGGATAGATCGTAGTGATGGAAACAAAACCCCTAACAGTGCTACTTTACAGACACACAATAAAAGAACTATTGAAAAGTTCTTGAAAACAAGTGCATCTTCAACAAAACTTTGAAGACAGCAAACAGATGAAGCTTTTCTTATGTCTAGTGGTAGGTTATTCCAAAGCTTTGGAGCGGCGCAACTAAAAACACAATCTCCAAGAGTCACTTTTTTGTGTGTGTGAGGTAGCTTCAGAAGCAGCTTGTCCTGTGTGCTTTGCAAGTTACGTGCTTATGGTGGTTATTTAAAATAAAGTAAAAAGAACTATAGCTAATTGTGTTTTCTCTTGGATCACATCTCCATCAGTCATACATTAAAAAACATCATGGGTAGAATACCAATGATTATTATTACATTGGTTGGGAACTATGAGAAATGAATGGTACAACACATACCTGCTGATATCACCAGTGGGTTCAAACAAGGTGGGTTCTACTTTTTCCACTTAATCTGGAATGCAAGTTTTCTTTACGAACGAGGTAAGCATAAGTTTCTATATTAACCCTACTTTACAAACTGAGATAAAGGAGATGCCGTTGCTTACCTTGGAGACGATGACAGCCATTGCCAGATTCTCTGAGTGAGCCGCTACGTATCCCAGCATCATGACACCAGGCAGTCTCACGTTACCCTGCGAGTCACCGACGTAATCTACCACGGCAGCCACGCCCCCAGCATTGACGATCAGCTGAGACAGCTCCGGTGTGTGCTTGGCGATCTCACGGATCAGAGTGGCGACGTTCTTACGCACGTACTCGTCCTGGTCCTTGAGACAGGTTAGGACAGCAGGGAAGATCTCTGCTTCAACGACCATCTCGGCCAGGTCCACGGAGTGCTTGGAGATCTGACTCAAAGCTGAGAATACTTGACGCTGTATACAAAAATAATATACAAGGCATTAAAAAAAAATAACAATGCATAAGTAATGACCAGTTATATTGGAGGGACAATTTTTCAACCAGACAGTTTAGAACAACTGACTGTTAAACTTAATTTTGACTTTTTAGTTATATAACAAATATGCATACTTACATGTACATGTATAGAAACAATAGGGCACATTCATTTTGAGAATATTTGTGATATGAACTTTACTTTTCTGCTCATGTGAATGTTTTTTCTCTGATTATGATTGTGATTATTCCAAACAAAGTTTCTTTAAAATCTAATAATTTGATTTCTTTCATGTTTCAGATGGTACATTCGTATAATTTTGAGAAATGTGCAAATTTGAAGCAAGGTATTAGATGATGGTGACGATTTTCATGTTAAATCAGTGTAATGTCTACGGCACTGGGGGACTTGATGTTGCTTTTAATAGAAGTTACTCAAAATCCTACAAATGTATAATTTGCAACATATCAAAACACTGGATCATTGGACTTCACAAAGTGCACACTAATGAAAGGAGGTGCGTATAAGTTATAATGTATCTGATAATGACATCTTTCCTGGCAATTTTGTTAGCAATAATGTAATTGTGGATATACTATGCCTTCTTATGATCTACATTTTAAAATACATTCAAGTAAACTTTCCATCAAGATGATAATCAAAGTATTAGAGGAGAAATAGAACAGCTTTCACAGTAAATCGTTAGAGAGCATGGAGAAACTGACCTTAAGTTTGGCATCAGGATTGAGAATCATCTGAGCTAGGTGAGCGATTGCTCCGGCATCAACAACAGTCTGAGCCAGTTCAGGTGAGTGCTTACAGATGTCACTCAGAGCAGAGGCGGCAATACGCTTCAAGGACAGCTCAGGTTCCTGGATACATAGAACGAGCAGAGGTACAGCTCCGGCATCAACCACGGACTGGGCAAGCTCTGTAAGAAAAATCAAAACATTTAAACCATTAATACTCGTAAATAAAAGCTTTCTAGAAATCCATTTTTAAAAATGAATTTCATATCATTTCTCAAGTCTTACCCCACAAAATATCAGCTTTAATGTTTTCTGATATCATTTACTCAAGTTCAATTCTAATTTTTCACTTACATATATTGGATTGACTTTGATAAAGATTGACTTTGATAATGAGAAAGGCTTCTAAAGAAATAATTTTATCTCATGTACATCATGGAAAACTTGTAACTGGCCATATGCCTTTCCCCCCATTTTACAACATATCCAAATGCATTAATTTTTTGCTTTTTTACTCTGAATCACAGATACCAGTCTTTTAATTTTATTTTATGGAGTAATTGGTGTTATCAATTAATTTTTTATTTGTATTAGTATTCAATTTCATTGACAATATTTATAAATAATTTTTTTTCTCCAGATTTCTAACAATGTATTTTATCAGTAGCTAGACAGCATTTTTATCAATGACATACCGGTATATTGCCATGTACTTTTAATACATTTTAATTAACATTTTAAATCTTGTTTATACATCTGCAATTCAGCTTATCATTGCAAACCATATTGTTTAATAAACCACTTTTGAATTGAATTGGATTGACTCGAGTTGGATCCTGACCTGCATTATGTCTGGCAATGTATCCCAGGGCCCAAGCTGCTGACTCCTTGACACCAGGATCAAACTCCTCCAAGCAGATAACAAGGGCATCCAGCGCTCCACAGTCTACCACAGACTGAGCAAGCTGAGGAGAATGTTTGGCTACGGCTCGAAGAACAAATGCAGCCGCCTTCTTGTAGAATCTCTGTCATTATTAACAAAAGAAACAAAAAATAAACATTAAATTAGTCAATAAATTGTAAAAAGTTCAGGAAAAAAATGCTTCTGCAAAAATGAGAGCGGAAAATTGTGGTTTTCAACCAACATTTTTGAAGTTCACAGAGTCAACAACTTTTGTAGTGATCTTACATGCTTTAACAAAAAAACAAAAAATTTCTTAAGCTTCATTCATTTACTGCTTTTATTCAGAACAATTTGATGTCAGAAGGCTAGCTACTCCACTTTATGATTAACTTGTTTTAGTAGTAGATGAGTTTTGCAAATCTCATGCAGAAACATCATTTTTCCTCCCTCCTATTCCTAAAAAACCCCACACAATTAAAAAAATTGTCTTGATTTGCACTACTTGGACACAGTTTTGGTTATAATTATCAGTAGACTTACATTTTGTTCAGCAAGAGAGTAGACAAGTTGAGGAAGAATATCTCCCTTTACCACTGCTTCTGCAAGGTCATCATTATAGTTGGCCAAGCGACCCAAAGCTAAGGCTGCCGTCTGTTGAATTGTGGGTACAATGTCCAGCAGCAGAGGACGAAGCAGGGACATAACACCTTCAACAAAAAAGTAGTAATGCATCAATAAAATGTGTACATTGGTACACGCACTTAGGCTTAGGGCCTAAACTATGATTTCACATACATGTGTATGCACTATTTCAACACTAGGGAAAACTTGGCTTCGCTCTGTGATAAGTTTTGAAGATTTAAATCGCAAGCTATACAAGCTCTAAACAGCTATTTAGTCCATAATTTGCATAATCTCACCTTATAAAATGTTCAATTATTAACTATTTTACACATTCCTATTTGCAACTGATTCAGCTGTCTTGGATAACTCATTCATGAGCTTCGTGCGAGTGTGAATTTTCGCTAGTGCCAAGTTGACCCAGATCGTATGGAATTACAAACAAATTGTACTTTGTATTCCACATTTCTGACTGAACCTTCACAAAAATGTAACAATGTAGTGAGAAGAAAAAACAAACAAAGTACAACCATATGTTAAGCATGTGCGTCTCTGATCTGTTGTTTCATTTTCTCTTGTACCAATTTATCTGTCTGCATAGATGTAACCATACTGACTTTTATATCATGAATTATACATGTTGAATTATAATGTACATTTGAACATCTTTTTTTTTTGTGTGTGTGCAAACTTACCTGCATTTTGCAAAGTTTCAATATTCTGTGGTCTTGACGCTAGCTCCGCAACTGTCTGGACAAACGTGGTGCGGGCTTTCTGATACTGCTCAAACACTGCATAGTTTTTTTTTTTAAAGAAGAAGAAAACAATGAACCATATCGTTTAAATAAATAGTAAATCAGTTATTTATTTGGGGAGGCTGTCACAGCATTCTTCCAGTATTTGCGGTAAAGGTAAAGGTAAAGGAAGCTGCTGTGGATATCCCAGATTATGTTCATGAAGCACCAAGATCTGTGAGAGAGAATACCAATCTTCTAGTCCCACTACAATGCCGAACAAACGCGTACCTGAACAGCTTCATACCAAATACAATAAGACACTGGAACAGCCTCCCGCCAGGCGTCAAAAACCTGAACTCTACTGCACAAACCTTTAAACTAGAGTAGGCTAGATCTATAGTATAGAGTATAGCCTAGGCCCTACTCTATGCCTCCAGAAGAACTGTGCATGATCAATTTAAAATGCACACGACACCCCCTCTAGACGTTAGTCGTGCTTCTATTTTCTAAGCGATGTCTGGACACCAATTCTGAGATTCTGAGACCCTATTGAAATAAATATGACTGACAATGACATTTGATGATGGCTGATGCAGCCATAGACAGCAATAACCATCTGATTTGGGTCATTTCTTTAATAAAACTGACATTTGTTGTCATTCCCCAATACAGATGGCAACCCAGAGATCTCGTACCGTGGGGGTAGCTATAGCCAACAATGGCAGCTTTTTGTGTCAAAACATTTTCTCCCCGATTTTCTTTATTTAGATCTAATTTTCTGATTTCTAAATCAGATGTAAATTAGGTCGGTATGTCATTTGTCCTAATTACAGTTATCAAAATTTGATAACTTAATATTAAATGTATAATTTACGGACTTACTTATATGAATTATCCAGTTTGTATTTCCGAACTGTGAAACGGTACGTTCATGCATTCGAAATATTACCCGGCGGCCGATATATTTCCGGGTCCACCTACCAAAACATAGCCAAATGGCCAATCAGAGCACTCGTTTCGTGGGAGTTCGTTGGTCAAGCTGGGCCGACTCGTACGTAGCTACGGTAGCTATTGGACGTTCGAAAAGAAAAAATGAATATTCATCAACTAAAACCAAGACGGATAATGTTGACGACGAGACTTTCTCGGATTAATCATTAATTTAGGATCTAAATGAGCAAGCTATCGTAAGTCAAATAAGCTATATATATGTTATTTTTAATTAGACTCTAAATTATTGTCATACTGCAGCATGTATGAGGATGTAAAGAGTGAAAATCTCGTTGCATAGGGTCTATCTCATTCATCGCGGTCCGGTCGAACCGAACCATTTGTTCCGTACAGTGCCTCACAGAAAGAGGTCCCCAGACTTCAGTCTCTATAATCGGAGGTCTAGTGGAGCCAGACGTAGTCTCAGTGGAACAACCGACGATTAGAGAGACTGAAGCTTTCGGTCTAATGCAGCCATTGCCAATGATTGATTGATATGGTGCCTTTAAATTTAATTAATTTTTATTGTGATAATCATATCAAAATTTAAGAAGTAGACTAGACCCTACATGTACGATGTATCTAGAGTCTATGTTTTATGAATACAACCTGTCTCTAAATTAGATTTAAGTATCATATAATTTGTGATTTAATGCAGCGCTCGCGATCGCTCGTTAGGATCTAGGTACACGGGTCACAGGCATGCAGCTGCAGCTTCCCCGCCTCATCTCTGGCGGCAGAGCTCCGGTGCGGCGCCATGCGTGGCGACTGCTGCTGGATCAACTTTAACAAAATGAGACTTTTGACCCTTAACCAAGGCGTTAATAAATCAATATTACCTTGCAATACTTGTCTTGAACTCATGATTTTCTTGATTGATGTCACCACTGCAATTAAAATTGCCTATTCAGATAAATTAGCGTAGATCTAGACTTTATTTCGTAATTTGATGGGCTTTGGCCTTTCTCCTTGTTGTTTGTTAGCCTAGCCTGTAAACAAAGTGTGCACGGGCAAAGTGATCGTTGCTATGCGGTAGCTCTAGCGATAGCTAGCTAGCTATATCGGTGACATACGAACCGGAAGATCTTCTTCTTTTTCCATCGGCACTTGCTAGTGCTTAGCCTTAAGAACCTGTCGTGTTATATGTGTAAGTTATTTGCGACTATTGAAATAATTAGCGACTGGGGTTTAAGTTTACGTGTGTAAACAAGTTTTGTTTCACTTTCACTGCACTCGAATTTGCACGTACGTACGTGTGCAGCACAGGCATTTGAAGAAGAAAAAAAAAAACAGAGAAACAGTCGTTTTCACTTTCAGAACGTTAAATAGACCTACCACCACCGGTAAATATGTCAATCTTAAGAACTTCAATGAATTTGAGCTGCGGACTCAACCGACTAGGTGCTGGTGCCTGCAGGTTGAACACGGTCATGACAGTTCCAGTGAGTAAAAAGGGGCATGTTGAAAAGGGGGGATCGAGCGCGCGAGGTCGAGGGAGTGCGAGAGCTGAGAGGGTCATATTCATAAGATTATAAAAAACGAAAAGGGCACTTATCCGAAGGAAATTGGTACTTATTAGAAAGGAAAAGGGGCACTTATCTGAGGTGAAAAGTGGCATTTAAGAATAAGAGAAAGGAAAAGGGGTTCTTATTACGAAGGAAAAAGTAGTCTAGATCTACACTTATTAAAAAGGAAAAGGGGCATGATTCAAAGTAAAAAAAGGGCAAAAATATCAGAGGTAAAAAGGGGAATTTCTTGCACCAGAATAAACTTAGAGTCTACTCACCAGAGACTGAAAGAGAGGAAAAGGAAAGTTATAAGAAAAGAAAAGGGGCACTTTTCCTATGTTAATTAAGAGGCTTTTGGTCTGCCTCTGGCATAATGGGCAAAAGTGAGAAGAAAAAAAACCCTGAAAATTGTGTCATTTCAGCAACATTTGTAAATCACTGGTATCGAATTAGAAATAGATCTAAACCACGTTTTAATTTTATGTGGGGGGTCAACTGTCCCCCCCCCCCATCAGTACGCCAGTGCTTTTATTTAAATTTAAAATTTTGATAATATCTTCTCAAGTTCTCACGAAATGAATTATGATAATTCCTAGTCCTAGACCCTTGTCGGTAAATGCCCTTTTTCTCGAAACGGATGCAAAGGACAGCAAAATTTGCCAATCTTTTGTCAATATTTCCATAATTGACACCCAATTCCAAAGACAATTTTGTCTCTCGGTAATTTTAGGTTCTTCTTTCCATTGGTAGTATCAGATTTTTGAGATAGCGAACTAAGAAAGATCACGCACAAACTATGGTCATACCATATACAATTGAAGATACATCACAGAGTTGCCAATTTGTGTTTGATTGATAATTGCAACTTCAAAAATTCATTACTTTCTTATCTTTTGTTCAGAAGTTGCACAAACTTTCACTGATTTGTTCCTCTCATTTTTTGTGCTGATATTGAAACCACTTGATATCAGGGTGGACGTCCCCTTATTTTATTTGAAACTTGATCATAATGATAACTGTGAAAGTGACTGGTTATAAAGTTTCAGTTTCAGTTTAATTTCTTTTTCACATGTTGTTTAAAACGTTATTCCATTTGGCATGTTACATTTTTTAATTGATTTTTTTATACAAATGAAGAGAATAATACATATGACTAAATTAAATAAAGGGAGAAATATGATGGAGCCTAAATAGAAAGGTCATACAACTGTAGGCTCCAGAAGTTATAATATTGATATAGTCTTGTGTATAAAAATAATGTAATAGGATTAAATTGAACTTATTCTAAGGATTAAAGGAGGTATATAAACATTGGTCATATATAAAGTATATTTATACTGCTTTTTTGTCTTTCCCAGTTAGAATCATGAACAGACATTTTTGATATTTTTTCAGTCTCATCAGCACCTTTGATTAGGCAACTAGATATTGGCGCTTTATAAATACATGGATTGGATTATTTTGATATATATGACCAATGTTAACCCAGTCCTTAAAATACTGGTGTTACATATCACTACATTAAGCATGTACATTGTCCCATAATGGTTTCTTTTGATAGGTACGGAGTATCAAGGTCGGCCCTAAAGGAACGTATGTAGCCAAGCTGATTCCTACAATGGTCAAGTTGGAGGCAGGCAAGAAATATTCCTGGTGCAAATGTGGACTCAGCAAGAAACAGGTAAATGAGAAAAACAAGAATGATATCGATATTGAGGTGAAGTTTTTAGGGTCAATTACACCATGCAATTCTTTTCAAAGGAATAAGAACCCTGAAAATGGCTAAAGGTGAGCTCCACAAAGAGAATGATATTTATTTACAAAATAAAGACAGTCAAATTCTTGTAAGTCAATCTTGATGGGACTGAGTGAAGTGCGTTGACTTATGTGATCTTCGACTTGTGCATGAGTTGAAGAAAATTTGACTCGTGTATATAAATATTTTCATGTCCATAACCTATTTTTAATCCAATATTGCTCAAACTTTCCCTTATTTGTTTATCTCATTGTTCTGCTTTAATTAAAACCAACTAGTATGATGGTTGACTTCCCCTTTAAGGATGCTTCCCCTGTGAACTTTGATAACCTCCATTTTCCCCTCCAGATATTTTGGCTTCACCTTAATTTTTTTCTAAATTTTGTATCAGCATTTGTCAGGCCATCATTGTTTCTATTAAACCACACATCAGTTCAGTATTTCACCAATATAACTACCGTCTTTGAATCCTGTTTTGAAACACATGTCTGACTTTTTAACTCAGCTTTGTAATATTAGTATCGCGACTGTCAGAATGACAGATTTTATTATAGAATCCAATAATCCATTAACAATCTAGTAAGAGTACAATACTCATTTTGTTGCCACCCTTTTCAGTTTTCTCAACTATCTGTAGTATATGCAACTCTGTTGGTATTGAAGAAATATTATTTGCTTGGACAAACATTAGAGGATATCTCCGAATAGCATGTGTAATCGATTGATACAGAATGGGAGGCACGATACTAGAGCAGTGTTCTCGTAATCCGGTGACCCGGGTTTGAAACCATGTCGATGCGCTAGTGCCCTTTGGTAAGGCATTAATCCTCATTACCAGGTCCATCGGAGAGGACCTAAAGCCATCGGCCGTCTGGTTGCTTTAAATACTTACAAGCATTTATGCTTTCTTAGCAGTCGGGTAAATTAACCCCCACTACCCTCCTTAACTACGTAAAAGTGTTGCAATAGGAGGTTAAACTTTTTGGGAATGGATATATTCACTTACCGGTATCTTTTTATGAGATGTGATGTTTACTTTGTATCTTGCAGCCATTCTGTGATGGAGCCCACAAACCTACCGAGTTTAAGCCGGTTCGCTTTGAGGTGGAGAAGAGCAAATCTTACTTGATGTGTCGATGCAAGCAAACAGGCAATCAGCCCTTCTGCGACTTGACTCACGTCAAGGTTATGGTTCAAGCATTTACGGGTCAGTTGAAGGACAAACCATTATCATAGAAATGGGATTTCATAGACGTCTCAAAGACTCCAAGACTCCAAGGTGATGCGCTAGTGCCTTTTGGTAAGGCATTAATCCTCCTTACCAAGTCCCTCAGAGAGGACTTTAAGCAGTCTGTCTCCTGATTGCTTAGCAATCAGGTAAAATCAAATGAACAAAAACAAACTGTATCTTGATATCAAGAGGAATGATTCAGAACATCTCTATTGTAGTACATCATTTGAAATAATAAATCAAGTACTCGCAAAGAAGTCATTGGAAATGATATTGGAATACATGTGAACTAAATACGTTTAGAGAATGCGGTTTGTAGCCTTTTATGATGATTAATTACTACTTGTACTACGCAAGAGTTTTGAAATGATGTCCTTTTCACGTTTATTTTGTTTTGTTTTTATTTTATAAATATAAAATTATAATTTCAACTCGGCTCTGTTTCACATTAAATGTATAGAGCAGTTTTGTAAATGCCCCCCTCTCAAAAAATGAAATGGAAGCTCTTATTACCAATCATGTGAAAGAAATATGTTTTGACTAATACGTGATGATAAAAATTTTGCCAGAAAACTGCCTACTAATTTTTTTTATAATTAGTATAATTATAATAATTGACCAAATATATTTGGTCAATTATCGTAACAATCTGACCTGGATAGATATGTCGTAGTCCCATCTTTCTGTGTACAGTGCTTGTAACTTTACCAAGACTGGGCCATATTTCTTATCATTTTGATGATCCCAGAACCTTGCAGTACACACCAATACTTCCAACCTTTGATCAACCTTTTCTGATAGATTTCACGTTTCTTTCACAATGCAATCGCATGACCAGAACTGGTCTTTATCTTTAATATTTGTGTTCATAAAATTATGCAGGGAATACCAGCCATTGGTGTGTAGGTTAAATGAGGTATGCATGTCATGCTTATATAATGTGTTCATATTAATATTTGTGTTCATAATATTTGGAATTATGCAGGTAATATTGGCCATTGGTGTGTGGGTTATATCAGGTACGCATGTCATGCTTACATTGTAATATGTATTCTTCTATTAAATCACTGAAAGTAGAATAATCAATGAACGATTTGACAGTGACTTTTTCTTTTGTTTGATATTTTTTATATAGTAATTATAATAATAATAATAATCTTTTAAAGTCCACTCCAAATTTTATTAAGTTAAACCAAAAATGGAAATTCTTTTTGCCCAATTAATTGTGAGCCCGGCAGCCACTGAGCAGTGCCAGATCGACGTTGCTCTATCCCTTATGGTTGAACGCCGAACAAGGTAGCAACAACTCCCATCTTTTAACGTCTTTTGGTATGACGTGGCTGTGGTTCGAACCCACGACCTCCCGGTTGTGAGGCGGACGCTCTACTGACTGAGCCAACACACCGGTTCTTTTTTAGTTTTAGTTTTCTATATTTCAGTTTTAGAATACCTTGTTTGCTCTGCAAAGACCTGTTAAACAGAATATGAATTAAAACACATACATTAGTTTTAAAGCATTAAAACTGTGATCAGTAGATCAACAGAAGCATTAAAGGGAAAATATACCACTCTGAAATCAAGTTACACTGCTTAGAGAGGTACGGTTAAACAATTGCCCAAGGGATCTCAACACTGTACTGTGCACCAAGACGAAGTCTAGGGGCACAGTACAGTTTTGAGATCACGGAGGAGCTATAGTTTTAATAATGACCCCCCTCCTCCCTCCAAAAGAAAAAAAAGAAAAAATAATTATTTTAAAAAAATCAGCAATCAATGTTAGTCTCGTATGTACTGCATCCCAAATTTCAATTCTCAAAAAGGAATATTTTGACAGAATATGAATGTCAAAATGTACATATTTGTACTTTGATGTAATGATTTGTAACTTTTTCAATGCTATCTACAGAGCTCTACATGTATCATTCATAATGTTGTCTTGGGCATTCCCTGTGGTTTCTATTTTCTTTGTATTTTGTGCTATCCATGTCAAAATGTAATTTAAGACAATTGCTGTGGATAATAATGTATATTGTACGATGCAAGTTATTCTTTCATATAAAACATATCACAAAGCTCCCTCTTCATTCAGATCCGGGCCCTGTTTCACAAAACATTTCATCAGTAACAAGTGTATATCTGTAACAAATTCATTCACAGCCAGTCAATTTTCACAATAGCAGTTAACAGTAGTTCTAAACTTGCTGATTTTTTAAGTTTTATGAAACGGGGGCCCAGGTCAAATTCACTCATTATACCGTCGATAAAGTACTAAAGTACCATTGTAACCCTTGCAACAGACTACAGTACAATTGAATTTTCATTGTGTCACAATAATTTATTCTTGTGTCATTTAAATATTAAAGAATGAATTGTGTGGAAAAACTGAATAAAAAGTAATGAACACACAACATAGAGTAACATCCCGTGTAGGGCTCCAGTTTCCAGTGGGACATGTTCATAAGATGCATTTTATTAAAAAGAATAAAAACATGATCGTGTTGGCAAAATGATCAAATCATAATAATATGAATAGTCCTGTATTTAAAAGGCAACCTAATCTCTTTAACATATTGCTACATGTACATTGTCACTATACAGAGCAAACTTGATTATAACAACATCATCACAGGAACCTTGAAAATTACCTGGTCATATCAGTGTAAAGAAAGAAAGAAAAAGGAAAGAGTCAGGACCAGCAAAATTACCTCGTAAAATTTGGAACAAGTTTTCATTACACATTTGTATCATTTTATGTAGAACAATCTCTCCAAATACAGTACATGTACAAGAAGAGAAGAATGTCACTTATTTCAGGTATGTCCAGTAGATGAGAAGTCTTGTTCATGTTCATAATACAAATGCTAGCTGTAAAGGAAAAGGTCTTTCTTTAGAGACATTGGTAAATTCTCATAATTGAGTGTACAAATGGAACAAGAGTTGTCCTTCCTTGCATCAGTCACATGATAACTTTTACAAATTGTGATTCTAACGTTCACATTCTTTCGCTCACCATAACTTTAAGCTTTACAAAAGGTTACGCTTGAATGCATCAGTCTTAACATAGGCCTTCAATGTATAATGGCTATCAATATGAGAATCATAATAGTTATCAGCAAGCAGGGATAATTCATACGTGTACATATAAGATGCATCTCCATATTAGAATTCATTTCTTGTACTACCTGTAGTTGATAATAAGATGAATTTCCATTCTGTCCACAACCAGTTCGTCTACTACCCAATAATCAATTGATGATTACCATTATTTATAACTACTTGATTATCAAACCATAACGATAGTACCGGTAGACACAACAGGCATAAGACAAACTGCAAATTAGACTAGATGAGCTATAGACCAAATGGGTAATAGACTTATTGAAGATTGGACCAAATGGAAATTAGACCAAATGATTATTAGCCTGAATGATCATTAGACCAAATGGAAATTAGACCAAATGATTATTAGCCTGAATGATCATTAGACCAAATGGAAATTAGACCAAATGATTATTGGCCTGAATGATCATTAGACCAAATGGAAATTAGACCAAATGATTATTAGCCTGAATGATCATTAGACCAAATGGAAATTAGACCAACTGATTATTAGCCTGAATGATCATTAGACCAAATGATAAGTAGATGAAATGATTATTTGAACATGTGGATAGTAGACAAACTGGTTGTAGACCAAACAGTAATAAACCGATGATAATATTGCCTGGCTGGTACCATAGCACGTTTGCTACTACATAAACAATCAGGGGACCCATGGCTTCATGTCCTATCCTGTAGACTTTGTAATTGAGGGGATGAGATGGCTCAGCGGTAGAGCAGTGGTCTCGTAACTGGGAAGACCCAGATTTGAAATCAAGTGGGTTCACTAGTGCCCTTTGATCCCTATGAGAGAACTAAAAGCTGCTGGTCCCCTTGTTTGCTTACTTGATACAGGGGCTTCTCTTAGCAGTCAGGTCAAATAAAACCTCAACTACTGACTTAGTTTCATGGTGGAAACATCTGCTTTACCGGTATTCACTGAGCCACACCGACTGCTTCACATTGATCAACATGAAGATGGTCTCAAAATCTTTTTCAAACGAACAAAGCGCAAGTTTGTAATAGTACAGGTAAGTGCATGTGGTGATTTGACACCATTCAATCAACTAATACAGTCAAATTTGCTTTAGTGACCACCTGTATTAAAAAGACCACATGTCTATAAAGACCACATTTTCCATTTTCCCTTGAATATGGTTTCTCATTCGAACCTATACTGAAGAAACCTGTACATAAAGACAACCTGCCGATAAAGACCGATTTCTATGATTCCCGTGAGCAGTCTTTATATGCAGGCTCCACTGTACAACTTTGAGATCGGTAAGCCCTGGCATCGAGTCTGTCCTTCATATGCGTAAGCCACCTGTCTATAAAGACCACTTTTTATGTCTCCCTTGAGCAGTCTTTATATGTAGGTTCCAATGTACAACTTTTAGATGAGTTAAGCCAAGGCATCCAGTCAGTTCTTCATATGGCATCTCAGAATAGCATCACAAGTCTCTCGTAGAACTGGTATCACCTTCTGAATTTCTTGAAGAGTGGATGCACACTCTTGTTCTTTGACTGGTATTCCATGTAGACTTGATCATCAGCACCGGACATGGAGCTCATGTTACCGACACGACGAACCACCTACACGTAATCGGGGAGAAAAGAAGGGAAGAAAAATGAGGAGAAGTTACAAGTTACAGAAGAGACAAATCACATGTATAAAGAGAGTACTTGGCACCTGACTTTATAAGCAGAAATTTGAAAGGTTATGGAATACATGAAGAAATTTGGCTATTGATCTGGCTTATTTCATTTACAGGACCAATAACTAGCACATTCGATGTTCTCTGTATGTTTCCATGGTGAGTAAGTATTCAGGATTGTATGCTTGTGGTAATATAATGTTGTAGCCTTTCATACTGCAAAGGCTGTTGATATATTATTTCATCAAAAGAACCCACTAATTAGAGGTATTACTTGAATTGATTGATTTATCTGTCATAACAGAGGTTCTTTTTTCATTGGTTTAAGAATAACAAAGATCATGTCAAAGGGAAAGATATGACAATGGAATGAAGTTTTGTATTAAATACTTCCTCAGTATATATATCTATATTTTTTTGAGGGTGAGGGGGGGGGGGGGGAGGGTTTACGTCAGTGTTTAATGCAAAAGTTCATTCCATTACAAACTCTTTCCTTTACCTTTTCCTTAATTCCTGTAAATATCCTGTAAATGGGTTCTTTTGACTAGATAATATATCAACAGCCTTTTCTCAGAGAGAGAGAGAGTGAGAGAGTGAGAGAGAGAGAGAGAGAGAGAGAGAGAAAGAGAGTAAGAGAGAGAGAGAGAGAGAGTGGTAGTTTTACCCGAGAGCCAGTTTTGAGATCTCCAGGTACTATTTCTTCTTCCGCATCAGCATCAGTAGCAGCGAGTACCTGCTGTAAGAGCTGCTGCTGCTCCTGTTTGGTGGAGTACTTCAGGTTCTCCTGCAAACATACAATTCATACATTTATATGAACACACTATACACTAAAAGATGCTTCTGCCAACATACAATTAATACATTCATATGAACACACTTTATACTATTGAATGCTTCTATCGACATACAGTGGATACATTCATATGAACACACTATACACTATAAGATGCTTCTGCCGACATACAATTGATACATTCATATGAACACACTACACAATATCGAATGCTTTAGCAGACATACAATTCATACATTCATATGAACACACTACACAATATCGAATGCTTCTGCAGACATACAATTCATACATTCATATGAACATTCTATACACTATAAAATGCTTCTGCCAACATAGAATTTGTACAATCACATGAAGAAAAAAATGTACGTCGTCATAAAGAAAAGGTGCTGTTTGGCCACGTCATATCTCAATGAGCCTCAAGTTTAAATGTTTGTCCAACCTAGCCACATCTTATGTACCGGTATGCAATCATTCATAACAGGTGAATGAAATCATTTGTAACATGGAACTTTACAAAGATTTATGCACTAAATTTGATTTAAAAAATGGTCTATTGACTGGAATACCTGTTCCATGCCAGCTAGCTTGGTGATAGTCTTGAAGCTATATCCTTGATTGACAAGGAATCTTTGTCTCTTGAGTGAATAGAACATCTCTTGGGTGTCTTGTGAGACCAGTGTATAGAAGAACGCATTGTATTCCTCTGCAATGGAACCTGTATAAAAAAAACAACAACATTGTCTTCAACATACCAGCCAATTGTTTTTTTTGTAAAGAAAGATAATTGAATTTTAGAAAATAGATATCAAGATACTAATGTCTGTATTCTACTAATTCAGTTAAACCTGACACCCTGAGTCTAAGCTCACATTTAACAAAGGAAAAATGAAAAAAGGTTTGTTCATTTTGAAAAGATATATCGTTCTCAGTCTATGTTTGGGACAAATATGGCTTATTCATATAAAATCTTGCCAGGGGGGTTGTTTCACAAAGACTAAGATCGACTTTAAGATGGACTTAACTATGGCAGGCTGTTCATGCCACTGGTTGCTCTCACCATCGTTCTTTCAATTATGAACTATAGATAATAATATTTTTTCTTTCAATAATGAACTATCATGAAATGTAAATTCTGTAGATTTTTCACCACGAATGGTACGTCCCTTGAGAAACCAATACCAGTAAAATGATGAGAGAAAATAGTTGCATGAACGGCCTGCCATAGTTAAGTCCAACTTAAGGTCAATCTTAGTCTTTGTGAAACACTCCCCAGATATTACAATGAGATCACCTTTCTTTGCTCTGAGGATACGACCTAGACGTTGAGCCTCCTGCCTTCTAGAACCACCATGAGATGAGATCTGGATCAAGACGTTGGCCTCGGGTAGATCAAAGGAATTGTCACCAACCTGGGAAGACACGCAGACAAACAAAGAAATTTAGAGAACAAGACAGAGAATGAGAGATGGATATGGAGAGGAGTCAGCAAGAAGCATACATATAGATAGAAAAGATGGCAATATTAAAAGGCTCCAGCTTAAATATTGGGGTTCCTATATTTTGGAACAAGCAAACCTGGTAGAGAAAGATTTTGCACGCCACTTCAGTTACCATTTTGGGCCCTTACAATTAGAATTACTTGAAATACCCACTTTCTACAATTCATTTCCTTCGATACACTGATGTAAAAATGGACCTTTTAGTAGAATGGGCACCTAAACACCTTTCAAAATTTAGAGGCCTTAACAATTTGAAATATGAATTCAACCTTATTTCATTGCAGTATTTTATGTTCTAATATATCTAATTTTTTTTAGAGACTATATTGTAAAAGATTCCCTTTGGCAGCTATACTGAAAACTGGGCCCAGTGGGCCTCAGCGCCTTAAACTGAAGTGGCTCAATATCCAGTTATCTTAATTATATATATTCATCTACATTTATGTCAGATTCTGAGTTATTATCACAATGCAGACAATTTGGTTAAGATAATATGATATGATTGCTATATATCAGGGGTTCTAGAATCTAAGCAATCCGATTGGTCAATTGACATCACATGGGCGTGCATTAGTTTTTCCCACCGTGCAAAATAGTTCCTATCAAAAATTGATAACACACGCTAGATACCTGCCAATATCTCTTTCGCGTAATTCAGCTCAATTTAATTTGTGCATAATTGTCATCTAGATCTAGGTAGATCTAATATCTATCTATACTCTAGTTCTAGACTATATTGTAAGAATGTATTGCCGATCCGTCTTATAAAACAAAAAATGCACTGTTTCGCTTGTGTGTTAGGGCAGTTCCAGTGCATTCAGTTTAGTCAGTGCGATATCGATATTAAACGCACTTGCCCTGGTGGCGCATGTATTATCACTATTATCACTATTGGCACTGACTAAACTTCGTGCACTGGCTCTGCGCTAACACACTTGCAACAGTGCATTATTTGTATACTGTAAACATGCAGATAAATCTTACTTTGGAGATGAAGATTGTGCTGACAGCAGGGTTGTGTTGAAAGTTCTGCAGAATCTGCATTCGCTCTCCTTGACTTGTAGGCCCGTAGATATATGGTCTGTATTAAAAAAACAACAACATTGAAATCATATCACACTTTAGGTTTCTTTCAATCTCATTTGTGAGAAGGATTTGAGCAGTCCAGAACAGTGGGCGTATCTTGTGCTTCGTGCAAATACTCTAATTTCAAAAACATATTTTTTGTTTGTGCAGATACATAAATGAGGAACAAGTTTATGTTATCTAATATGAACAAGTTGCCAATGGCTTCTACTGTCAAGGGCAAAGCACTTGAAGACATATTTATTTAACTGAATTTCCTACCTTCATACCATGTAAAGCACTGTGAAACCAAATGTGTGATAGCGCGATCTAAATAATAATAATAATAATAAAACGGTGCTTATAAATTGCTTTTCACCAAAGTCTCTAAGCGCTATCAGTTTTTAAAAAAATGACAAACAATTATATATTAGACAAAAAATTACAAATAAACCTACAGATTACAATATATATGAAATATACATCAATGAAACAGAGTAAGTAAATCATAAAAAGCAATTTTGAATAAATGTGTCTCATGAGAAGTTGTGAGTTGGTTGAGAGTCTGACAGTTTCTAACAGGTAAAGGTAGTTTGTTCCAAAGTTCAGCAGAAGCTTTGCAAAAAGAGTGATGACTATAAGAAAGAGTTGACACCAAAGTAGACACAAGGTTTAATTGTGAAGATGACCGTTGATTGCGTGAACACATTATCATCATTATTATTTCAATGACTGGATTGCTTTACCTCCCCATGGCTATGGCGTAGTGCTTGAGAGCGAACACGTTGTCTGAGAAGACGATCACCTTATCGTTCCGCTGCTCGTGAAATCTCACCAGAAACTGGCATGCTCTGAACTTGTTTGGGTTCATCACATACAACAACTAAATAGAAAATAAAATATTTTTATCCAGTTAACAACTTATTCATTTCATTTTATTCATTTTTTGTTCATACCCTTACCATGTTTGGCATTTTTGTTTAGAAGTAGCTGAAAAATTGATTTTGTCCCAATTTACGTTTCTTCAGAATGTGACATATTAAAGCTTACATCTTTTGTACTCATGAGCTTTAATTAATTTATTTGATAATGTGTAATAGTTTGATTGCAGCACAATATTATTCATATACTTTAATAGGTATCAGGCTCTACAATCTCTTTGACTTTGTGTTAACTATTTCTACCATTGTTATGTATCTTATTGCATTTTATTTGTATTTGAAATCCAAACTTAACGAGGAACTGCACTACTTGTAGCTACTTGCGCCCTCTATATAGCAAACAATGCCTAAGCAGTGCCTGTTGGTCCCCTTTGATCCCCTTTTTCTTATGTTAATTGAGAACTGATTGATGAGATAACCACCTGTCAGTGACCTTGCAGGGAGGTCTAATCCCTCCTGGCCAAACTAGTGCATACAGGCTTAAGTTTTGGTTGCAGTAAAGAAATAATAATAAATCAAACTAGTTATCACTGACCAATCTTCTCCTAGTTCTGATGGCCAGGTACTCTCTGAAGAACTCCGGAGCCATAGGGCACCAGACCTCGGCACACTGGACTCGAGCAATGAAACCTTTGTTCTGTAGCTCCATCCAGTTAGCCTCGTAGAGCTTGGGCCCAATTAAGAAGTTCAGGTCTGCGATCTTGTCATCCTCTCGGACCAGGGTAGCCGTTAGTCCTAGTTTACAGTGGGCCTGGACTTGGGTCAGGACCCGGCGGAACTGCTTGGCTGGGATCGTATGCACCTCTGTTGTAATAAACGAATGAAACAGTTTCGAAACCTTCTGTGTTAGTTAAAATGTTTCGCATGATATGCAAATTTGGTATGAGATCTAAGAATGCAGGAGTTTGGTTATAGCGTGGAATTTTGACATCAAGTGAACTCAAACTGTTTTGTAATACTTTACTGGTAAAGTGGATATGTCATCGGACTGTGGATCACAAGGTCCGCGGTTGGAGTCCCGCTGCGGCACTAATGTCCTTTGGCAAGACAAGACATTAATCTACATTTGCCACACTGACCCAGGTGAGGTAAATGGGTACCTGGCAGGAGTTGATACCTTGAAATGGTTGATCGCTGTAATGGCATCCTTGCTAAAGCCGGAGTAATAGTTTCCAAAGCTCTTTGGAAGTGCATAGAGATGTTATAATGTGATATGTGCTATACAAGAACCAAATATTATTACTATTATTTTGTGTCCAACATTCACAATATCTCAAATCGCAAATGTTATTTCCAGATGATGATCATGAAATAAAGCTCCTGAAAATTTGATCATGCCACCATGGATTTTTTTATAGTCCTAATAAGTTTAAAGAACAAATTGATTGAATGCACTTTCAAAAAATCATAACTTTTTCATTTTTAATCAGAATTTTCTCAAACTTTCAATGACCTGTTCCTCTCATTTTCCTGCTTCTATTAAAACCAACTTAATACCAGGGTGGAATTCCCCTTTAAGAGAATGAGAATAATAACAATAAATGTAGACTTACCGTCCAAGATCATAAGCCCCCATTCCTGAGATTGAAGCCACTGCATAACTTGATCTGCTTCCCATGATCTCTTAGTTGAATGTGCAACCATGGAGTACGTACTGATACAGATACTGCAGCCTATACAAACAAGCGAACAAACAAACAAACAAACATACTCATCATGTCCCATCGTGTCTCATTGAATTTTTAATACAATATAAAACAGAAAGAATGCTGCGTTCCAATAAAAAAATATTTATTTTATGTCCCCAAACAATGATAAAATCTTACAGGGAAGGGTCATTTTCATATGCAGCCACTGTTTTAGGGAAAACTTGCTGGAATACCCTAAAAATATAGTAACATACGAAAAGTTCAGAAGTAAATTGAAAATATATATAGTATAATAAATCTCACAATTATGAACACAGTGCACTCTCCCTGTATTCTTTTCTATAAAGTACATAGAGAAATGTAACTATGCCTATGTGTTTAAGTCCTTATGCTAGGCTTTATGTTAGTCCGATATCTTTGACAGAGTTGTTAAAACATGGGAAACTTAGGCACTGCTACTCCTAAGTAGGTTCATACAACCACTTTTCATAAAGTTTAGTCTTGAGATTAAGGCTACCGTGTAAACATAACTATTGACAAGACAATATATGCAAACTATGGATGTGTGTAAGTTCATCATGCGATCTATTCGCTCTTGTTATACACATCATTTGTTTCATACAACTAATTCCTTGAGTTACATTATCTGAAATAAACAATGAAAGCTCACCCATGGGTTTATCCTTAGCATCTGAAGTAAACCTGCAGATCATGGAATCATCTACGGTAGACCACATCCTGAACTGAGATCTCCATTGCTCTACTGCTACTCCTGACGTACACAGCACCATACAACGCTTCCTCACCGTACAGGAGGCGGTCACTCCGACCAACGTCTTGCCGGCGCCTGTCAAAACACAACATTTTTCATTAGTACACAAAATTGAAAGCCTATCTGCAATAGTTTGGCCAGGAGGGATTCGACCTCCCTGCATGGTCACTGGCAGGTGGTTATCTCATCAAATCAACTCTCAATTAACATCAGAAAAAGGGGATCATGGAGGACCAACGGGTACCGCTTAGGCATTGTTTGCTGTATAGAGGGCGCAAGTAGCTACAAGTTGTGCAGTTCCGTTTTAATACACAAAATTAAAGCCTCGTTCAGATATGGAACACCAAAACTGCTGTGTTTAGAAAGAAATGATGATGTAAAGTGCAACACTCTTCCCATTTCTGTATCTAGATGTATAACACAGAGCTCAGAGAATACACACAAGTCCTAGGAGTGACAAGATAATAATCAATAACCATATAACGTGAAAGTACGATGAACCCTGACCTAGTATTACAAAGCTTACCACATGGAAGTACGATGACCCCTGACCTAGCTCTGCCATTGCCAAACATCTTTCTTAAGCTCTTCTCTTGGTACGGGCGTAGGACGGCAGTTGGCTTCAAATCAATGCTGTCACACAAGAAAAAAAAAGATACAAGAAAACTAGATCTTTCTTTTCTTCTCCTCTTCAGAAATGACATCAGTAGTGATAACAATGATTATATTCATGAAGCTTCTTTTCCCCAAGATTGCAAAATGCTGAACATTATCATCTCCCAAGCTTTAGCTTTTATGGTCTAGTCTTTCTGTACTCCTTATCTCACTTTTTGGAGCTTCTTCTTGCATCACTTTCCATTTCTTTTGTGAAACCTTCTTACTTTGCTCTCAGCACCATGTTTCAGTTTGCTGCCACAAAATATGTATGACAGGGACTAGTACATATGATCATGAGAAAGTGTTTGATTATCAACTGTACTTATTTTCACAAAAGAATCACTTATATGGTGACAAATGTGGCTGCAATTTTTTTCAAAATGCACAGTGTAAATCATTATTTTCTATGCTGTGCATTCACTAATCATTCTTATAATTTAATTTAAAAAAATATATATATTGTATCTAAACACTGGTCACGTGGAGAGCCCTTAAACAAAAATCTAAAAAGAATAATAATAATCAGGGATAGATTTAAGCAATCCTTTGGTTTTATCTGACACTTTCTTCATATATTCCATCTTTTCTTTTGTTCTATTCATAATCTGCATATTTCTAATTCTATTTATGTTTTCTTTGCCTGGTAACAGAGTTAAAGATAGATTATCTGTCATACCTAAGATCCGGATTCCTGGTGTCATTCCTGAAGTCGTACTCGGCCAACAGAGGGTACTCTAACTCAATACATCTAGTTAGAAAGAAAGTTTGAGAGGGAGAGACGGGGAAGTCACATTTCACATAATTTCAAAGACATATTTATGTATATATATATATTTACAATTATATAATTACTTCTACTTACTTCAATTATACAATTACTTCCTCTTCATTGAATTATGTATTATGTTTTATGACTTATGATGTTTGTTCTATTCTTAATTTTCTTGCATTATTTAAACAACAGTTGTCTATGTACCTTGATTATCATCTGGTGTTTGTATATTTTTACAATTTTCTAAGTATTTTTAAAATTTGCTTGTAAAATGTGAATAATTCAGCCATTGGCTGCTAATCATGTTTTGTATTATACCATGAATAAACAATAAAAAATCAAAAATCAAAGCATCACAGAATATTCAATCCTAATTATTGGTAGTATTTCTTGAAATTCAAGGTTAAAAAATGTATTTAAAATGATTCCCCCCCCCCCCCCCCCCACTGCTCTCATGCAAAATCAGACAAAGATGTAATATAATGTGAACTAAGAAAAAAACAAGAGACATGTTAAAGTTGATAAGGCCCCTCCCCCGCCCCCGGCCTCGTGAGTGATACTGACACATGTATACATACATGTAAGTATGCTCACAGAAAAAATGACAAGACATTCACATTTTCATGGAATTCCAAAAGGATAAGAGAGATGGTAAGGACAGAAATTGGGGTGACTTACTGGGAGCCTCCCAGCAAAATTGGGAAGGTTGGCATTTCTGTAGTATCATTGCACGCACTTTGGTTTCTACCGTAACATACTTTAATATAACTAACCTCTTTTGCAAGTTTTCAATTTCATCCTGAACGACTTCAAAAGAGACGGCAGTAAGATCATCTCCGTCTTCATCTTCCTTGTCTATTTTATCGTAGAAATCAAAGATATCCGTTGGAATCTTCTCTGTTTCTCCTCCACCATCTCCTCCTTCTGCATCCTTAGAATCAGATGCTTCGTTGGGTTTTCCTTTGGAGTTTGGTGCATTCAACTGACAATAGAAACAATACAAGAATTTGTTAAGGCCTAGCCTTCTTTTATTCTTTGATCAATGATCGTTCCCTTTGAAAATACTTCTTCTTCTACTTCTTCTATTGTTAATCTTCAAAGGGCTATGAAGCCTATCCCAAAGATATCTATAGAAAGATTATCAGTTTGTGTATGCAGGCACACTTAACACTGGGTTTACATCCTACTCTTTGCGAGAAGTGTAGCGTAGTTTTTAAGTCTTGTGCAATATTGTACCCATAAGCCGACATTTAGTACTGGCATGAAGTTTATTTGATACTGCGTAATAATTTGATTGCAGCCACTACACAGTTATTAATTTATTCATGTAATACTCACTTTGTTTGCTCTATATAAGTTAATTGTGTTTATTGTCTGATAAATAATAAAAATAATAGTGCAGCTACTATAGAAATATACTCTACTGTGCTTAATACAAGTATCATATTATTACCCTGGCAGTTGCTGAGCAGCCATAATAACAAGGGATGTGTATTTGATAAACAATAAGTCCAAATCCTTTCTTATATTTTCAGAACTATAATGAACCATACCTAGTAGCCATCTGCTTTGGACAACTGGTTTGGTCTGTTTGGTGTTATATGAAAGAAGAGAAAATAGGCTTTTGACTTATGTGTACATTAACAATAAAGTCATTTTGTACTATTAAGTAATTTATCCATAAATCAGGAATCCTTTTTCAGGGACGCCCTGTAATTGAAATGAGACAACATAATTTGCTAACATTCATATCTTACCTTGAGAACAGATGAGCCGCCTGCTGCCCTCTGTGATACAAGAAAGCCATCTTCATTTGCTTCTTCGTCAACATCTGACCTCAGACGACACTGCTGTACAACTGAATCTTTCAAAAGCTTCTGTAATACATCCTATTATAACAGACAAAAAACAAATCATCTCAAATAATGAGCCTCTTGTGTAAAACTGCAATATTGCACAAAGGCCAATTTGAACAGTTTAGGTATCCCATTACTCAACTAAGGCCAATCTAAATATGTTTAGTATTCATATACCGTATTCAACTGAGGCCTGTATAAAAACATAAGTATTCCAATATTCATTTGAGACTTATATAATCACATCAGTATTCCCATATTCAACTGAGGCCTATCTAAGTATGTTAGTATTCCAATATGTAATAAATGACAATATACATAGCTTTATTACTCCAATATTCAACGAAGATACAGATAACTATGCTTAGTATATATACCAAAATTTAATGCTGGTTCAAGCTGCTGTTTTTATTTTATCAGAGCGCACACACCCACAGCTAATGTAACTCCCCATTGACTTAGTACATGTGAAAAAGTAAAAAAAACGTACTTACATCATTGCAATAAAACATCAACATAATTCTAGAGCAAAGAGACCATAAATTCGATTTTGTTTTAAGTGGCCAAAAAATCCCTCCCTCACTCTGTATGTAGTTTTCCAAGGTTTCAATTTAGGCAATTTAACCTATTTTCCACATTTTTTAAAATCAACTAAGACCAATATAAATAGGTTTTGTAATCCAAGTATTTCAAACATTCAACTAAGGTAAAAAAAAATGTATCAATACTTCTACTTACAGGAAATGGACTCTCTACGAAGTATCTGTTGTGCTTCAAGACGAGCTTCACTTTACCATAGCTCAGAGTACACAGCTAGAAGTTAATATAAAATAATCAGATAATCAGATACAGTCACAATACAGAATCAATAACTGACCATTCAATATATGTCATGTTTTCTTGATTTAATAGCTAAATATAATTTAGATTTTGTATTAAAAAAAAGATGAAATTAAGAAACTGAGCCTTGAAACAAACCGAAGTACATCATACACACACAAATGAATTTCATGTGTACAACATCAATGGAAGTCAAAGTCATGTACCTGTACATGTACATGTGTATGTAAAGTGCAGGGCGCGACAAACCCGCTTGCCCGACGTCCCGGGGCAACCAAATTGAGCCGTCGGGCAAGTAAATCAAATTATCACTTGCCCGATTCGGGCAAGTGATACTTTTACAGTAATTTCCTAGTGTCCAAGAACTCTACCATTCACCCGTCAACTTCTTACCCGTCGTCAAAATCCAGAAGCAAAAAAGAGATCGTTCCGATTTCGAAAAAACTTCACAGACAGCTAGCCAGCTCAGCTAGCTCAGCGCGCATGCAACAGTGACACTTCAAGCCATGAATGCCGCTCCGCCTCCACGCACGGCCGGCCGTGAGCTAGCTAGAGACAGCTAGCGCGATCGTACCAGCTGCGAGCTTATTCGCGCTCTCTCTCTCTAGCTCTGCAGGCCGCACCGACAGGCCTTTGCTATTCTCTGATTGCCGATTGGTTGAATCACGCCAAATATGACGTCATTATTCTAGGGAAATGAACACGTGCGAATCGGAATGGAATAAACAACAGGGATTTTCTAGTAAGTACAAAAAGTCAAATGTTTGATATTTATTCATGTGGTTACCATTAATGACATGTTTGTATCATATTTTTTACAACAGGGTCATTATGCTTTTTTACATGACTGAATATTAAAAACTTAAACCTGCTTGAACCATTCTACCTTGCCGAGATTCATGTGAATCTGATTATTTATGGAGAATCAATAAAATGCGTTTTTTAAACCTTCAACCATCCTTTGTTGACCATTTTCTTTGACATATTAGGTTATTATTCAGTACAGTTACACTGTACATGTATGTGCATTAATTTGCTATCTAAAACACTAACTTATCATTACGAGATAATAAATGCTTTAACCTCGAGTCCTTTTTCGCTTTAAAGTTTTGGGCAAGTGGAAATATTGTTTGGGCAAGTAAATTGAAAACCCACTTGCCCGACAGGGCAAGTGGTGAAAAAAATTCTTGTAGCACCCTGAAAGTGCTAACAATTACTTTGATAAATTCTTGGGCAGGATTTCCCATACTAAATTCTGAGAAAACTTTAGTGATCTGACATTAGCTTAAGCAACATATTTGCTCATTTTTTTCAAAAAGCAAATATAAAGGTTGAGGTTGTAATTAGGTGGTATGCTTAACAGTTTGGGGCTGAGGATAAGTAAATCTTTGAATCAATGGTCACAATTAGGAATCAAATGAAGCAATTATCATATCACTGGCTTACTTCCAATTATCAGGTCATCACGTCCCGTCAGAAGATCATGTGAATTTGCACGTTCAGGACATTAGGGTTTGCCGTAGGGTTTTTGCAAAGTGTCAGGTATATTGGACCAGACCATTCATAGATAATAGGGGTTCATTTCACAAACATTACCCGCAACATTTCGTGAATAAAGAGGCATGTTTTCACAAAAGGTTGGGTAACGTGACCACCTGACCTAACACAATGACCTGATGATTTGAAGAACCGGTAAGCCTGATCAGCTGTGTGGAATGTTCCGTATGGAATGCATGCAAATCTAGAGGTTATCAATTACCTTGATGAATTCTACAATGCCGTTGGGGATAGTAGTCTTGCTTAGTCTTCTCAAGTATTCTATGATGTCACTGGTCTGTAGACCTACGGACACTGCAGCATACAAGGAATACGCAGTCAGTCTGTAAAAAAAAAAAACACAACAAAAAACAAGGCATCAAAAATAAATTGCTTTTATTTCATGAGAGTGATATGTTCAGATCCTTCCAAGGACTATTGAAAGTGAACTTGTACAATATTCAAATGTTTTCTAGTCTACATAATAATTCTAAGATAAAAATTAGACTTCCTTGTACTCATGGATGTTTTCTAGTCTACATACTAGTTCTGAGATAGAAACTAGACTTCATTGTACTCATAGATGTTTTCTGGTCTACAAACTGGTTCCGAGATAGAAATTAGACTTACTTGTACATGTACTCATGGATGTTTTCTAGTCTACATACTGGTTCCGAGATAGAAACTAGACTTCATTGTACTCATAGATGTTTTCTGGTCTACAAACTGGTTCTGAGATAGAAATTAGACTTACTTGTACTCATGGATGTTTTCTGGTCTGCATACTGGTTCCGAGATTGCTATAAGGAAGTCATGAGCATGTTTGTAGACTGGTGAGAAGGATTCTAGAAAGATATGTCCATCAGGTGCCTGTCAATGATCACAAAACATTCTCAAAATCAGAGATGGAAACAACAAAATACACAGTGCTGTTCACACTAGGACCAATTTGTTTGATTCAATGCTGATTTTTGAACTGCAGTCAGAATTTCATTTTGTTTATGAACCCCAAAAATTAAATAACATGATATCACAAAGAGTCGGCATTCCAAAATATCACAAAAATCAAATCAAGCACTTTTTACAAGATAACCACGGAATGTCATTTTGACATTGCAAAGCAATTATGTCCTTTGTCTGCAAACTTGTTTGCATCGAATATGTATTACAATAGTGAGGAATTGAAATTAGTTTGTTTGGATGTCTCCTTTACTCTCAATCGCATGGTTAGGTGTGAGGTGTGTTCACAGACTAGGGAGCTTCGCAGAAACGTGACATCTAAGCTTACTTACCAACCACAAAGGCCTTGAACCATGGTCCTTCTTGAGTTCCATCTGACCGCGATAATCTTTAGCACCGAACTCATCCTCATCTCCAGCCTCCTGGTCCTCTACCTGACGACTGGCATTCTTAGGAATGTATGTACCTAGAGGGATGTGATAAAAAATATGAAGGTTAGTTGGTTAGTTCATTTGTTTGTCTTACCCGACTGCTAAGAAAGCATGTGTATGCTTGTAAGTGAGCAACCAGGGGACCGACAGCTTTATCAATTTATTGACAGCTTTAAATTCTCTCTGAGGGACTTTAAAATGGGGAACAATGCCTTACCAAAGGGCACAAGTGCATGAACTTGGTTTCAAACCAGGGACCTCCCGGTTACGAGACCACTGCTCTAACACTGAGCCATCGTGCCTGAAGTACAGTGAGAGACAGATGGATGGATTGATAGAGAAGGATGGAAGGACAAAGAATAATATACATCATATACATTGAACGAGAGGTAGATAGATTAAAAAGAATGAAATGAGAGAGAAATATAGACAGATGGAGCGAGACAGGGATGGAATAGGATAAATACAGCGAAAGACAGATAAACGGATTGATAGAGAAAGATGGAAGGACAAGGAAAAATATACATCATATGCATTGAATGAGATAGGGTGCGTTTAAGCTCAATTTTGAAGGCAGAATGAGTGATATGAAACGCTCATCGTAAACGCTCATCGTAATCGCAGTTCCACGGTGTACTGTTTATGCTCACTTCTCTGGCTCCTCCAGGCAATTCTTGCTGGGTGGCCTCATTGGTCTTGCAGCTGGATTCGCAAACCCACACTGTGCGTGCTACGTAGACCCACTAGAGGTCAGTGCGTTGACCCCATTTAAACGTGTTTACAAATTGTAAATGCACGTTTTTGTGAGTTTACGATCGGCGATCGAGATCGCGGTTTTTCGGTGATTCTACAAAAGTGAGAAAGGACGCAACCGTGTTTTAAACTAAACGCGAAACAGATGCCTGATTCTGGCCAGAAAAAATCGAGCATAAACACGCCCATAGATATATCAAGAAGAAGGAAATGAGAGACAAATATGGACAGATTGAGCGAGACAGGGTTAAAAAAAGAGAAATATAAAAGGATTGAATAAGATAGGATACTGTATAAGTTGATATTTTGGAGTAAAGATGTTTTCAAACATAGCACAATATATGTGAATAAATAGGTTTGGCCAGCTATAATTAGCATGGCCAGCTATAATTAGCATGGCAGCCATCTTGGAAAAAAATAGCTTAATAGTAATGCCCTGCCTCCTCCTTTTTTTTAAAGTCCAGAAGAGAAACACATATTTTTGTTATTTGGCCTAATAGTTTGATATTTGGACTGATATAGTGATAGAGAAATACGTAATACTTACCATCAGGTCCTTGTGTGTCATCATTTTCTAATTCAGGAGACTCTGTTCTATACTTCTTGGATTTCTTGGATTCTGAAGGAAAAAAATGCACAAAACTAAAGAAATTAGAACAGAGTATGTTGACATGAGTTACCAAAGAATGCACCAGAGAATTTAGCAAGTTAATACAACATTCATTAAAACTATATTATTCAATTTCTGCATCCTCACACAGTTTGGCCTTTGCAAGTATAACAGCCTAGATCTATCACGGTTTTTTTTTAAATTGTAACGAGCATGAACCAAAGTTTTATGATACAAAATTATTAAAAAGTTTAATTTAAAATTAAAGGGATCCGGTAACTTTGTCTCAGATTCTGAAACGAAATCCTGGATTAAGCTCATGCTGCAATGATGATTATAAACCTTTAGACTATTCAGGAACCCCATGACTTTTACAAGCCGATCGCCTGTCTGATTATCAAGATATTTATGATTGGAATTACAAATTTTGAAAAACGTTTGCCAAAGGGTTTTCATAACACTACAGTCTATTGGGAAAAACGAGTACGGTAAAAGCCGGTCACTCAAAGATTATTACTTTTTTTGAGGCACTTCTTGATCATTTTGAAGTGCGTTTTTTTAGGGCTTCAATATTACACCATATAACAGACAGTGATAACCTGTAGGGTCGTGCATCTTAGATTTAACATTGTTATTGTTTAACAATCCTTTTAAGGCGGAAATTTAAATGAATGAATGCCCAATCACAAAAAAACAAGGGATCAATACAAAGAGAAGGAAAAGGTTCGTAAGAAAGAGGAGGAGGAGAAGAATAGTGAGAAGGAGAACGACAAAGACAAAGACAGAGGAAGGGGAAGGAGGAAGACATGGAAAAGGATCGATCGAGGACGAAGAAGAAAAAGACGAAAGGAACCCAACATGAAATAAATCATGTGGGACTGAGCTGAGATCAGTGAATGTTTATTTGTCCCATGCACAAAGTAATTTTTCAACAACCTATAGAATTTGGTAATTATTACACAACATAATATTACTCTTGCAAATGTAATTGAAAACATTTACCACCGTCTTTACGATCCCGCTTGCCCATTGCACTCAGAATTGCTGAAATGTGACAGCGAGTGTGCTCTCGATCTCGATCCTTCTTGATCTTGCGCTTGTTTTTTGCATTGCGAATTCTGCATGCATATTACGGTAATTATATTGCTGCAAGCAAACATCATTGCGCAATCATACGCAGGGAAAATCATTTTGGATCGCACGTGGAAAACACAAGTAAATGTAAGTCAAATTAACCATACAAATTACAAACAGTTCTTTCATTGTAAATATGGAATGCCAGTAATTGAAAAGTTACGGTCGGTAAAACCGGTCTTAATCTAAAAATTCCTGTAAAAATGAAAACATGCGTCGCAGTACTAGGTAGTCGATGCGAACGCTGCCGTCGCAGTCCCGGAGCGCAGCGGGCGGAGCCGTCCTCGTGGACGCGATAGAGCTAACAAGGCAATGCATGTGCAAGGCCAGGGTCGGCGCCAGTGCAGTGGCCAGTGCAGTGCAGTGTCGGTGTTACTGTTAGTTACATTTTGTTCCATTGACACTACTTACTTACTTACTTACTTACTTACTTACTTTAATCCATCGATGCTTGTAGGGCAATGCCTGTTCATCGATCATTGGGTTAAAAACATTTCCATCTCTCTTCGGGCGTAAGTCTTATCACTAGGACTAGACTAGACTAGTCCAGAATCTGCACGGTCCTTTATAGACCTAATTTCCCTACACTTGATTCAAGCCGTCGAAGATGGCATTTAACAAACTCATAATTATGCTCACCAGCCCAGCCTGGCGTCCTAATTTAATGATCACGCCATCATCGGCTGGGAGCAAGTAAGTAGGGAGAGGTTAGCGTTGGTGGTGGAGATCAAAATTAAATAGGCCAGATTCTGGACTAGGACTAGACTAGTACTAGCAGTAGGGTAGGCTGCATAATCAGTCCTTTATTTTTTAGAGGCCTCTACATAATCATTCAATTGTGTTTATTCCTTTCAGCAAGATGAATTCTGGGAGGAGCCAGAATGGTTCACGTCGGCGGCCGATGCAGCAGAACTTGAGGAGAGCCCGCAAAGCAATGAAGAAGATGGTCCAGTTTGCTGAGGATGATCATCAAGACAACGAAGGGGTCTTGCCGTCAGATGGGAGGAGCTTTAAAAAACAGAAAGGAGCGAAGCCAAGAAAACAGAGGAGGAAAGAAATGAGAATAATGAAGAAAGCCAAAAAACATGCCTTTTTGTCAGGAAAAGTAAGATTGATGGGTGTTTGTACAGTAAAATCATTGATTGTACAGGTCTACAGGTTTTAAATCACAGAAATGTAGAATATTCTTTTCGCTGGCTTGTCAATGAAGAAAAAAGGAGTATCTTTTTCTAATGAGAATGTATAGTGTGCTCCCGTTTTAATTTTTATACTCTGTATTGAATGTGAGAATAAACTGAGTCTTGGTGGAAATGTAGGCTTTGTGAATGGTTATGTTTCCTTGTAATTCACATCTATAATAAATGTGAATGTCACTGAATGTAATAAAAGACTGCAATATTCAGAGCTTACCAAATCTAGTAGAAGTAAAGAAAGTTTCAGTTGCAATTTTGAAAGAATGAAATAACCGAATTTACCAATTCTGAAAGAGAAATTGCCCTGTGGACATATTTTTGATTTGTACTCACTATTCTTCTGTCACTAGAACCTGAATGACATCAGTGGAGAGAAGAAGGAGTCGACCAAGAAAGCAAAGTCACCAAAGAAAGTTACTTCAAAGGATTCAAAGACAGCTGAGAAGAAAGCGAAAAGAGAAGAGAAAATAAGGATGGTACGTATATTATATAAGATCAGAAGATTGATACCATAGAATAATGTATGTGGGATGAAACTAAACACAATTTCTTTTCCAAATGTTATCAACATTCAAAGTCTGACACTATATGTACATGTTATTTTTCTCTGCAATGGTCTCCATTACAAGAAACAGAGTACATGTCAGGCTTGTTCTGATATGGTACAGTATGTGCACTGCAAAAAATAAACTGCCATGTTTTTTAAAACGTGTAAATGAATGGCAGCTGTGCTCAACAAACTTGGACTTTCAATCAATGACTGTCTGTGGACATCCTATGTGTTTTAATGTATTACAAACTAAGCAGATCATGAAAGTAGACTGGTCTTTCATTTTATCGTGATGCAGGAGAAAGAAGAGCAGAGAAAGCGTGAGCTCTTGGCAGCTAACGAGGAAGAGGAAAAAAACATCAGACGTTTGGAGAAAGGCCTTAACTTCAGGAAGAAGAGGAAGACAAAAGAGAAGATAACTCCAACAGCATTCAAAGAAGATGGCCTAGATTGTATCCTTTCATTTTGTTCTCTTCACATTGCATGGATACTGTAAGATTGCAAAGTTTTCACCTTTGCTGTTTAATCATAACATTGAGTTTCAAACTGTTACAATTGTTTTACAACAGGGCTATGTTATAGCTAATGAATATTTTATTCAGCTCAAATGATTAGCAATATTGAGGAGCAGGACTTTATCTCTCCTTCTGCCACTGAATTACACAAATAAAGGCCAAATAATTCAAGGTTAAAAGAGATACACTGTCATTCAGATATTTGCCAACCCCATATCAAACTCTGATTATATTAATGTCATGTTCATTTTTATGGTACTGAAAAATTGAAATACTTTCTGTTGCAATTAATGGGAGCCATTTTCATAATAATGACTGATCTATTTCTCTCTTGCATATGGAGTAGCAAATGTAAATTAATGCCCTTAACATGTTACCACTGCAGACTTACTGGATATTGTGAATCCTAAACTCTTAGAGGCAGCAATGGATGATGAGTTCATGGACTTTGGAAAAAATACAGAGGGTAGTGAGGAGGAGGAGGATAGCAAGAATGATGGATTAGAGGAGGATGGTGATGGTTTAGAAGACGATACGCTGGAGGATGGGCAACAAGAGGACAATAAAGAGAGGATTGCTAAGAGGAAATCTTCTGATCAGCAATTGAAATCTAGGAAAAAGTTGAGACTTTCAGATGAAGATGATGATGAGTTGGACTCAGATGAAGATGGATTTGGAATGGAGGAAGATGCTCATGATTTTGATAGTGGTGATGATGATGATGATGAGGATGAGGAGGAGGAGGATGAGGAGGAGGAGGATGAGGAAGAGGAGGAGGAACAAATTGATGATTCAGACGAAGATGATATGAGAAAGACAATGTCAATCAAGATGGATCCCTACGGTAATGTGATCGGCGAGAAGAAACCCGAGAAGACATTATCCTACATTCCTCCTCATAAAAGAGCCGAGATGATGGGACAATCAGTGGACGCTGAGAAGCAAGCTAAGATGGATCGATTGAGGAAACAACTCAAAGGAGCAATAAATAGGTATGATAAATCAGTTTATGATAGTAATAATAACAATATTCTATAAATCTGTAAAGCGCACATATCCACCACACAATTTGCTCATTTATGAAGGTATGACAGTCGGTTTATTATGGTAATAGTCAGTTTATAATAGAAATGATAACAAAAATTGAATATCTTTAAGGCGCAGAGTTAACCGGTCTATTGTAGTGTTATCGTTCCATTCTTACAGCTGGCTATATCGACCGGGAGCAGATTTTGCTTTTTCTATGACTGCTAGACAAATTATAGGCTGTAATTTCCACATACTGTTTTACACCTTGGTTTGATGCAATTTACAATTTTTAACATAAATTCATTTCATCCCATGTATTTTTAAAACCAATATTTGATAAATATTTCTGATCGTATAACCTAATCGTAAGGTGTATGATTGCCTTCACATATACATATGGAGGTTGCATCAATATGAGCTAGGAGAAAAACATGTCCCTTATAATAAACCAATTTATTTTGGGGTCAAGTGCATTTGATGACTATGGTTGATAAGAGAGGTTCTAGAATGAATCTCAACATTTCTTGTTTCTTACAGGTTGAGTGAGAGCAATGCCCTGTCCATCTCCAACCAAATAGAGGAGCTTTATCACACCAACAGCCGCAATGGTAAGTGTTTGTTTTCCCTTCTAGAGAGAAAATAATGATGAGTATTGGAGAGACAGGGTTAACACTATCATTTACAGTATTATGTCTTAATAATTTTATTCAGATATTGTACAACTTCAAACTGACTTACAAAACTGTTTGCAGGATGAAATGGGCCATTGTACCTTCCTTGATTATACTCACTCTCACACATGTTGTACAACTACGACACAAACCAAATTGTATACATTACGTGTTGTTAGGACAAGCCATGATGTTTTTCTTACCTAGCAATGATTTATTAATGAAATTCACGTTCTGACTATTGAGATACAATTTTTCATATGATAATAATAATAATAGTCCGTTTTTGTATAGCGCATAATACTTAGTCTCTATGCGCTTCCAAAGAGCTCCAAAGATAACAGGTGAATCAAATAATTTGTATCAGGCACTTCACAAAGACCTTTACATTCAACTGAATTGTTTTGCATTAGTAATATTTTATTTCATTTTGTTGCTTATAAGCTGTTGAACATGATGAATAATTATACCGAATTAGACAATACCACCTGTGCTCTTAGAAATGCCCATATTAAGCACCCTATAAATGTAATTATTATTATTATTAACATTAAAATTTGATACATTACGTGAATGGCCTATTGAAATAAGTACGCTAACAATCACTATTTATCTGAACAGATATGAATGAGAGTTTGAGTAGACTGATCCAAGATGCATGTATCAGCTACAGCATGGCACCCGACAGACTCGTCATGGAACATGTTTTTCTGATTGCTATCCTACACTCCGTCATTGGCAGTGAAGTGGGTAAGTATCAGTAATTCATGACCTTCGTATGCATCAAATAGTATGCTAGCCTCGCAAGTTGTCTTACTGTTAACTAATAGTGTAGTTAAAGCCCCTCTTAAAGTGTAAGAAGCCTCAAAAATTTGATGGCAAAATTCCACTTAAATTGTATCAAAAAGTGAAAGAGGATGTCATTTAAGACACATTTCAGGAAGGATTTTCAAAACAAAATTGAAGTCAAATATTGATGAAAGAATGCAAATATTAGGTTTTCTGCATACAACAGAAAACCCAAATTATGTAATCTTTTATCAATATTTGTCTTCAAACACATTTTTTTTGTGGAGAAATCTTTGCAGAAGCGTGTTTTAAATGACATCCTCTTTCACATTACGATACATTTTAATTGAAATTTTTGGCAAATTCGTGGCTCCCAACACTTTAAGGGGCTTCAAACTGCAATATCGATTAGAAAGGACAAAGTCTTTCTACTACAGTAAAACAAATTTGATCATTTTTTGAAGGCTTGCAAATCTCTGATGAGGGCTTTAAGTATCAAAAGTCTGATAAATGTCTCACAAATTGTGCTTTTAATTCAAAGAGCAGATCATGTTCAGGACAGTATGTTATGTTTTTTCATGAAGGGGAGCTTTTCTAATATTTCCTGATGTACACATAGATAGATAGATAGATAGATATTTGGTTTTATTCAAGAAAAATACTGATTAAAAAGTCCTAAGACTAAACAAGTCAGTTTACAATATAAAAAGCATAACAAAAAAAATAACAAGGTAAAAAAACACATGGATAAATGAAATCATTAATAAGTTTAAAAAAACAGAGATTTAATATATAGCCTCCTAAATCAAATTACAAAGTTAAAAACCTAAGAAGTTCAGTAAGAAATAGCGAATTATATCCTTGACATCTAAACATACTATAAATAACAATTACATATCAAAAGCAAAAGAGGTGAGTTAAGGAACATAATAATAGAGAAATTCATAAATACATGAGATTCAAAGCATTTTTCGTGATTTACCTTCTTTTTTTACCATCTCTTTGAATTAAAAATTATTTCTGTGTGATAGCTTCAGTGTCCCAAGTTCAGACACACCTTCATCATACGTGCACTGGCATTGAAAGCAAAAGTATTGAAAGCAATTGTGCTTAATTATGACAATTGTTCTCATGTTGTAGGTGCCCATGTACTGCAGTCCATAGCAACTCGTTTTGATAGGATTCACTCTGATGATGGTAACTATGGCGATAGCAAGGAAATAGACAACATCATTATGCTCTTTATCCATCTTTATAACTTTCAGGTGAGGAGGATATAACATTTTATTTGCTTTGTGTGATATTATTTTCAATCTTAAAGTGACAGATTTCCATATTTTTCTACTTTTGGATACAACACATGTCAGGGGAGAACACATCCCTAGCATTGAAATGCCTTTCTGAGAAATCCTACATATGTTGAATTGAATGTATTGTGTACCTGATAAATATCTTGTGTTATAGTTGACTGCCTTAGGGGAAGTCCACCCTGATATTATTATTTTTTTGATAGAAGCAGACAAATGAAAAGAAACAGATGAGTGAAAGTTTGAGCTAAAATCAAATAAAAAAAAAAGAAAGTTATGAATGTGTTATTTTATTTATCAGATTGTCCACTGTGTGCTGATATATGACCTGATCAAGAAACTTGCGGAAAGCTTTACGGAGAGACACATCGAAATGCTTCTACAAATCTTAAAAAGTAAGTTCTGATGAAATTAAAGGTAATACAAAGTTTTGGTATGGGGTCATGAATTTGGTTCAAATGAACTTTTTGGAAGCATATGTGATCCTACAATATTCAGTGATCGTTGTCGCGGTTGAAATCGAGTCTAAATTTATGAAATTGTAAATAATAAACTGTTTATGTTATATACATGTAGCTCCCTCTCAAGGTCAAGATATTAATTAAGCTATAAAACAATGTTTCTTGACTAAAATCGACCGATTAGCTATTCCCGTTTGGAAATTATATATCACCACTACATATTCTGAGATTTTCATAGTCGCAGCTACCATTGTACGCCCATTGGCGCTATTTGAAATTTATCAAAATTTACCTGTAATTTTTTATATTCAATTTTTCTCGAAAGAAGAAGTGTTTTAGGGGCTAATTTTTCTTGTGCTTATACACTGTAATACATCTACAGGGGCATCCAAATATATCAAAATTGTAAAGAATCACTTTCCACCCAATTTTCAAATTTCCCAAAACTTTGTATTACCTTTAATATTGGTAACATTGCAAACAGAATAGAAATGTCTGTCATAATTGCTTGCCCTACCGAAAAACACATAATATATGCAATTTTCATTCTGACTATTGAAATACAATTATTTGTAAAAGGTGAATAAAACAATTTGTATCGAGGCACTTTAGATTTTGTTACATTACAAAAAAAGCATATTCTTTCCCATTTTTTAGATGATAAGTTTTTTGAATGAGCAAATCTGAGACTGACTAAAGAAAGCTAGGTTAAATCATAATGCATAACCATAGAAACCAAATTTTATCCATGCTAAGTTGGGAGGACTATCTCAATATCCTTTTTAGTTTCTCCTTACTTAATGGCTGTTACTAATGAATTGCTTGTTTGACATAATATACGTGCAATATTGCTTGTAATTAATAGCCCAAGCTCTTTTTGTGTAGGAGTGTTAATGCATCGTATGTAAATGAGGCTCATAAGCCATCATTCAGACTTGTATCATTTGTTTGTTTGTTTGTTTGTTTATTAGGTGCAGGTGCCACACTCCGAAAAGATGACCCATCATCCCTCAAGGATATTATCCTTCTCATTCAGAACAACGCCAATCATTGTCCAGATGAACTCAAACAACAGTAGGTCATCTTAAAGCCCATCTGTACTAGTTTGGCTAGGCGGGATTAGACCACCCAAGAAGGTCACTGACAGTCGGCTATCTCATCAACTCAGCTCTGAAATAACAAAAGAAAAAGAGGATCATGGGGGACCAATGGTCACCGATTAGGCATTGTTTTCTATATAGAGGGAGCAAGTAGCAACAAGTAGTACAGTGGGCCTTTAAATATTGTTTTCTTCAGTTTTGTTGTTGTTGGAGAAACATAGCTCAAGAGAAACATAGAAACTTGTCTTTATAGGCAGGTGGTCTTTGGTTTTACTGAGAAACTAGATTCAAGGGAAACAAAAAAATGTGTTCTTTATAGGCAGGTGGCCTTTCTACACAGGTGGTCATTAAATAGGGTTTGACTGTACTCATAAAGAATAACCCTTGAACAACATTTCTCATTGAAACATATACTACGTGAACCTGTACATAAAGACCACCTGCCTATTAAGACAGTTTCTCGTCTCCCTTGAGCGGTCTTACTATACAGGTTTCAACTTATATGTCTTTATCAAGACTATTCAGAGTACGGGACACATGCGATAATATATTTGTGTTATAGATAACAAAGAATGCATGTGTAATTGATAATGTCATGCACAGTAGTGAAGACTCATTAAGAACATTTTATAATTTGGTTGGTTGTAATCTCAATTCTCTGTACGCAGGTCTCGAGTGAAGTTTATGCTGGAGACGATTGGCGCATTACGTAACAACAACCTACGCAGGATCCCTAACTATGACCCTACAAACCTTGATAGACTGAGGAAACTACATCGAAGCATCATCAAAGAAAGAGGTACGTTTAAAATGATTGGGTAGCTTTGTCTCAGAATCTAAACAAAATCTTGGAATTAGCTCATGCTGCAATCATAATTATAAAGCTTTAGGTCAGTCAGGAATCCCATGACTTTGACAAGCCAATCGCCTGTCTGATTATCAAGATAATTATGATTGGAATTCGATTTTTCAAAAACCGTTTTCCCAACGTTTTTTATAACACTACAGTCAATTGGGAAAAACAAGTATGGTAAAACCGTTACTCAAAGATTTTTTACTTTTTTGATGTACTTCATGATCATTTTGAAGTGTAATTTTTGTAGGGTTTCAATATTTCACCATTATATCACAGACACTGATAGGGCCATGCATCTCAGATTTGGCATTGTTAAACAATGCCTTTAAAGAGTTATACAAGCAGGAAATCCACAAATTTTTTTTTAGAAAACCAGAATAAAATTTGTTAAAGATAAAAAAGGAAGTTATCAATTAAAAGTCACAATTTTTTTAAAAATTGCTGTACACATGCAAATTTCTGATTTCGGAGTCGGCAGAGTCATCGTCATGTAGTGACGGACAACTCTCCCGTTTCTTCCAGTACACAAAAATTTGTCATGCAGAGGTGAATTAGTTCCTCGGATTATGCTTGTGTTGAACAACATATCAAGTGAGCTTCATGATAATATGAAATATGTTTTAAGATATATAGACTTGATCTATTTCCCTGAACGTATTTAATTGTTATTCAGTGTGTTAAAGCCTATCTGCACTAGTTTGGCCAGGGGGGGGGGGGGGGGGATTATACCTCCCTGTATGGTCACTGACAGGTGGTTATCTCATCAAATCAGCTCTCAATTAACATAAGAAAAAGGGGACCAACAGCACCAATTAGGCATTGTTTGCTATATAGAGGGCACAAGTAGCTATAAGTAGTGCAGTGGAGCTTTAAATGGTATAACTATGTTTATTGCAGGTGGTGATGATTCTACACTTCGTATCTCGCTCGCCGATCTCATCTTGGCTGACGAAAGAGGTCGCTGGTGGATTGTAGGATCGGCTTGGAGCGGTCATGGCCCTAAACAGAATGTCAGGTAGTTAGAGTATTCATATCAAATATCGTTCTTTTCTACCTTGAAGAGAATATTAATACCTGAAAGATATTTATGATATCACAGTGCAAATATAAGTGCCTCTGACATGTACAAAGGTAATACAAAAACTGTCCGTTGGAAAAAAAATTGAATACACACATTTAGATGTGCATTACATTGTAGCCACAGTGATTCAATATTGGCACTATCTGAAAATGGCAGCGTCCATAACTGCCCAGTGCGAAGCTTTAAGTTTGACAAATTCTAGGCCTTTGAAGTGATATTTCAAACCTGTTGCACACTTTTGATTTTATGTGATATGGGCCCATGGAGGAAAAGGGTTTTTGTTGCTTTTGCAACTTCTTTTTCTTTTTTATTAAATAACATTTTGCTTCCAAATTTAGTGAGATAGGAAAAGGTTGGACCTTGTGACAGTCAGAAGTAATGCATGATGTAAATGTGGATAGATATGTTTCTATATCAATACAGCAATATTTGCATACTTGCCTTGCATTTCAGTAAACTCGTGAAAAGTAAACTCATGAAAAGTACTTTAAAGCCAGCATGATGCTAATGCCAACAAATGTAAATAACTATATGCATGTGACAGTCATGTGAGTGTTAGAATTACACCGATGAGCTTACTGTACATCTATCTTTTCATATCATTACAGTGACCAATCTTCAGGAGGGCAGCTGGATGAGATTGTCGGCAAGAACCTAGAAAGCAGTAACAAGATTAGTGAGTTGTCACGGCAACAGAGAATGAATACAGACATCAGACGAACTATCTTCAGTATCATCATGACTGGGGAGGTATATATTAGTCAGGATTGGTTTAATCTCACACAGACTACCATAAGTTATTTTTGTTGTCTTAATTCTAAGCCAGGAAGGGGCAGATCTTGGCCAGGTCCCTGTTCCATAAAGCTTGTTTTCAATAACCAGTATCAATAACTGTTATAAGCTAATGAAATCGTGGCATTTGATTGGCTGAGAGCAAATTTATCATAGAAATTTAGGATTTGTTATTGTGGAGGAAATATGGGCATGATTTGTTTGTGTTTGATATGACTACACAGATGTTTTGAATACCAACATTTTTTACAACATGAAACTTTCACAAATGGCAGACATTTTGTCTTGTAGCAGTTGTGAATAAATCATTTTTTTGGCATGAATCTTCCGAATTGAATCTGAACCACTTTCGAAATTAACAAACACTTAGAGTAATATTTAAATGAATTTGTTTTTGTTTTGGTAGGATTACACAGATGCTTTTGAGAAGCTGGTGAGGCTGGGACAGAAAGGAGGTCGTGACCGGGAAGTAGTTCATGTGACCCTAGATTGTTGTCAGCAGGAGCGTTCTTACAACCCTTACTATGCCTACGTCAGTGATAAACTATGCCAGTTTGACAGGAAATTTAGGGTAAGATTTTCTCTGTCTTTGTCTCCTGCTTCGATACATGATTTGGGTTGTACGAATGCGTAAAATGTGTAAAATTGTGAAAACATGGTTAAATACACATTAGCTAAAACAATGGATGTATTCACACAGCCCTTGCAAGTGCTTGGTATGGACAAAAGTAAATTTTTACTCCCTGTGATTACTGTTGAATTTGATTAAAAAATAATGTGGAGTATATCCTTGTATTCCACTCAGGGCCATTTGATAATAAAGTCAAACCTGTTTTAGTGACCACGTTTCTATAAAGGTAACCTGTCAACAGTGGCTCTGTATTTTGTTTTCCTCAAGAAAGCAATGTGTGTTGTAGAACCTGTCTAGAAAGGCCACCTTTTAGCAATGGCGACTTTCTCTGTTTCCCTTGGATGGCCTTTGTTGGCAGATTGAATTGTTTATGATTATTATGAAGTTTTATAAGTGTGTGTTGTATTAATTCTTCTTTCTTGTAGATGGCATTCCAGTTTGCTTTATGGGACAAGATCCGTATGTTGGAAGAATTAAATCCTTCTGCCTCGAGAAACCTAGCCCTCCTTCTCTCTCACCTCATATCATGTAAAGCTCTTCCTCTCTCAGTAATAAAGGTTTGTACTCTATGTTTGTCATTTCCTTTTTATTTCCTGTGATAAAACTTCTCTTATAAGAGATGTATAAACCATGAGAAGTCAGTTAGAATGTTTAAAGTTATGACTCTCCAGTAATTTTGATAACGTTACTCTTTGCAAGTTTTAGGTAAATTAAAAAAAAAAAACTCCAGCAATATAGATTTACTCTGAGAAGGCCACCCTTTGGACAAACAATATCGTTCAGTATGTTTGATACAAAACCTCTTCGTACACTAATTAGAAGGTGAATATTCTACTCTGCTTTACTCTTCCAGCCTTCATTATCTGAAACTGGCATTGTTTTTGTAGATATATGTGAATGATGATTGGAAAGAGAATTTTCAATCAGAATCTTGCCAATGAATATATGCGTAGGGTATGATTTCATCCCCAATCATTGTTTTTGTCTTCTAGATTGTGGAGTTTGCAGACATGAACAAGCACACGGTGAGATTCCTGAGTAGTCTTCTAACAGACTTACTTCTAGAAAAGCCAGACACTCTCATCATGTCTATCTTTGGAGGAGTTGCGTCGGTGGCCAAGCTACGAGTCTTGAGAGAAGGACTGGGACTCTTTATGCATCACTTCTTGTTGAATACAAACAGGAAGGTGAAAGGAGGAGAGGACGTGATAGAGAAGTTAAAGAAGAAAATCTTGATTGCGGAAAGTGCTATGCAAGGAGAAGACGGGCCAGTTAAATTATAAGCTGGTTTCATGAATATTTATTTAAACGCATCAGACTCCCTGGTAGACTTCAGCAGTATGCATGACACAAGTGTATATTGATGTTTAGTCAAGATGGTGTGATGTTTCAATCCTTGCTCAATGTTTAAAGACGTCACGCATAGGAGTGGGCTATCATGGGGAATTGGACAAGGTTTTGGTTTACACAATAACAGGTGTTGTCAATCACCAGGATTAGCCTTCAGTTTTATGACTAACAGGCTTTATGTAATGCCTTGCATTCCTCCATATTATCTCACCTTTCCCTCACCTGAAGACTCTGCGAGATACTATGGGGTATTTTTTTTTTTTTTTTTTGCCTACTGGCTCGCTGTGTGCAGAGTTTACACAAATTAATGGTATTTCCACCAAGTCTGGTGTCATTGAAATACGGCTTTGTGCACATGAAAACTGACGATCCACTGGCTTCAAGTCCCAAGACATGATTTGTATCTACAGATGGTTCTCACAACATATGAGTAGTAAAAGGTCAGGAAGTAGGATGTATTCCCTTTAAAACACTGTGAGATGATAGGTCAGATAACGAGTGAAGGATTGTGTTGTCTCTTTTGCTGCATGTGAGGTGCATCCACACATCACTTTATGAGAATCATTACCAATATGGGATAAAATATTGCATTACCTGCATCAGGAATGGGATTTATACTTGATAATTAGTGATTTAATTTGTATTAGTGAACCGTTACTTTTTATAGAGCAAATATATCCTGCAGGATTGGAAAGAAACTATTTTCTTGGTGATGCCTTTCATAGGCTACTTTGGTTTCGTGCGATCATACATTGCAGCTCTCTCCCATGCTCATTTTGAAAATCTCATCAGAAAATATATGATAAATTTCTTTCTTAAACTACCACTTTTCTTCTACAGGTGATTGTTATAGAATGCATGGATATTTTTTTTCCAGAAAAAAAATGTAATCAGGTAGTTGTTCCTGCCATGCTGGCATTTTCATTTACGTAAACATACTTCCCATTTACATTATGTACAAGTTTGCCGCGGAAGGTTGACTGGACAGCGGTGTGAATACTAACGATGATGTAGCACATCAAAATTAGCATTTAGCAGAACTCTGGAGGACTACTTCGGTTTGGTGCAATCACACAAGAGCTCAGGCTCTCTCCCGTGTTCATTTTGAAAATCTCATCAGAAATTATATGATAAATTTCTTTCTTAGCCTACCACTTTTCTTGTAATGTATACCGCTGAAGGTTGATTGGCCAGCGGTGTGACTACTAACGATTACGTAGCACATCAAAATTTGCATTTAGCAGAACTCCTGGAGGACCTCTCAGAACGCCAAATTTTGGGTGTCAAAACCCAGATATTAAACTCAAATTTAATCAACTACCAAAGGAATTAAAAAATTATATTAGTATTAAGATCAGATACTTCATGTACATTTGTATATATGATAAGTGAAGATGTGTTATTCAAGAAATATATCAGCACTTTCAAATATATTAATTCTGTGTTTTATTAGTGCTTTCTTTGATGAACATGTGTGTGTATTGATACAATATCAATTGAGAATGTAATTGTCATAATGTAATGATAAAGGACAGAATTTACTAGGAATAAAAGATGAAATATAGATTTGAAAGTAATGTTTAATATTTCGACATGACCATGAATATTGATGTGTTGCTTATAATAATAAGCATTGAATTGAATTGATTTATTGTCCATAATATGGAAATTCATTGTTCACTGGTACAATTGTGTGTTACAAGGAAATGTACAAAATTAAACAGATTATAAAACATAATAACAACATAACATCAATGGCGTTTCATCTAAAAATAAGATCTGACTACTTGTATAGGAATGGAGGAAATCAATAAAATAAAAAGGGTACAGTGTCTACATTGATTGCCCTCGTTTTACCATACTGTTGAACATGTGAGTTGAATCTGGTACAAATGAGCGTCTAAAGCGTTCCCGCCTAGTGCGGGGAACGCAGAGGCGAATTCCTGAACGGTTGAAATTATAATTATGGAACAAAGGATGTGACGGGTCTTTCATAATACGAGTAATCTTCAGCAATGTACGATCAACATATATACTTTCTAAACTGGGCAATTCCAAACCGGTGATGCGCTGAGCAATTTTCCTTATTCTTTCTGTTTTCCTTTTGCTAGCACGTGTTCCATTACGAAAGTAACAAATGAGATTGAATGTCAAGATAGACTGAATGATTGATTTATAGAACAGAACAAGAAGTGTATTATCTATGTGGAGTTTCTTAAGTTGTCTAAGGAAATAAAGCCTTTGATTTGCTTTCTTCTGGATAATGTTGACATTTTTTGACCAATCCAATTTACATGATATAGTAGTGCCAAGATATTTGTACTCGCTAACCTGCTCGACTACGGAATCGTGAATACAAAGGGGTGCATGATCCACTACAGTTCTTTTACGAAAATCTATTACGATCTCCTTCGTTTTTGCTACATTTAGTTGTAAGTGGTGCCTGTCACACCATTCAACAAACTGTTGGATCAATGAAAAATAACGTTCAGTATTATCATCTGAAATATACCCTGTAATCACCGTATCATCGGCATATTTAATCATAGAACAATTGTCGTCAGTGCTCACGAAATCATTGGTGTAAATGGAAAAGAGCACCGGGGATAGTACGCATCCCTGAGGTACACCAGTACTGATAGAACGAACACATGAGATTAGCTTTCCTATTTTCACCTGCTGACATCTACACAACAGAAAGTCTTGTATTGTCATTATAAGTTGTGGGTGTACATTTAAATTACTCAACTTCCTAGTAAGCAGGTGTGGTATCAAGGTATTAAATGCGCTAGAGAAATCTATGAAAACTGATCTCGTGTACGTTTTCATTGTGTCTAAGTGGGAATACAGTTTGTGCAAGAGTATCAAAACTGCATCTTCTACGCCCCTATTTTTCCTGTAAGCAAATTGCATGGGATCTAAGAAGGGGGAGACTTGATTCAGCAAACGTTTCAGTACAATTTTCTCAAGACATTTCATAATACTACATGTTAGAGCTATAGGACGATAGTCATTCATTTCTGATGGGTTTTTCACTTTAGGAAGTGGTACAACAGTTGACATTTTCCACAATTTAGGAATTGTTCCTCGATCGATAGAAAGCTGGAAAAGCTTTTGAAAAACACTGGCCAATTGATCCTTGCACGTTTTTAATAGCTTATTGCAAATACGATCAGGGCCCGGGGTTTTATTCACATTAACATCACCTAGCACCATTCTAACTTCGTGTTCAGATACCGTAATTACTTCAAAATCCCGGGTGAGGCTCTCTCTAAGGTTTTGCATGGTTTCAACATTCTTCGTTGCAAAATCACTATGGTGAATGCAAGCATGTTTAATAATTTATTTATCTATGGATGGAATCCACTGGGCATTCATCAGTTGTTGCTATGTCTGGCAAGCTTTTAAGTTGTCAAAAGAAACTTTGTACAAGAAATATGCCTTCGATTAGTAATCAGGTCTCTATGGCTTTGAATGCAAGTAAAACATCCCTGCAAATTTCAACAAATATGATTAAAATTTAGTAAGGAATAAAATAATACTTATTCTAATCTTCAGTGGTTGAAAATGTAACTCTGAAATTACATCACCAAAACTAGAGGAGGACATGTAATTTCAGTGACATTCCATTCAATTGTCACCATCTATTTAATCTTGATTAAAATTGTTTTTATAGTAGGGAAATCCAACCCAAATAGACAACTACTCTAAAAGAAAGCAGAAGAATCAGAGAAGCAAACTGATGACAGTTTCAATTAAATCTGAATAAATATAAGAAAGCTATGAATTTTTGAAAGTTGTAATCACTATACATTTGGGCACTTCAAATTTGCTGAAGCGGTCATGTCGATGTCATGAAGTGCCGGACTACCGGTACTTTCCCATCTGTTCCAACATATAAAATGACTAAAATCTAAATTTGTCAAGAAATCATGGCTGAAAAGTCATAATATCTGTAATATATTTTGAGTAGTGCCCAAAGGAAGAAGGAACTTGCAAGAAAAACAGAAATTAGGGATATTTTTGTACACAGCAAATGGGAAAGTTATCCACATCCTACGTCACAATCCACTGACCAAACAACCGATTAGAGATTCACATAGACTTAGTGATTTCATATTTCAAACATTCATAACTTCTTTACTATTGGTTCGATTAATTTCAAACTTTTGCCATTCCGTTTATTTTTCTGCTTTCATACAAATCAACTTATTACAAGGGTTGCTGGATTTCTCTTTAAATAACAAAAGAAGAAATTAGATGAAATCACTAAAAGGATGAAAGACGAGGATTGAGAATGAGTAAAAGATAGAAGCATTTCAATACACCAATACTGATGGAGAGCGAGTGAGAACAAGAGAGGTAAGGAAATGCAGAGAGAAGGAAAGAGAGATAGATAATTGGGGGGGGGGGGGCATATATTAACCTTTATGAAACAAGCACTGGAACTTGTAATGTGCTTGCATTAAATAATAATCACAGCAGCCAAGCTCAAGTCGGCATAATTCAGCATCGCCCAGTTCTACAAATAAACTGTATGTAGATTCATAACCACCACCACCGCCACCATCATTACCACCACCATCTTCATCACCACCACCACAACCATCTTCATCATCTCTACCATCATTATCATCATCACCGCCATTATCTCATTACCGTCATCGTCTCATCACCATTGTCATCATCACCATCATTATTAGCAAGTAGTCACACATGAGTACCTTGCCATGTGTGATTGCATTAATTTCATTATTTGTTTTCAGAAATTAAATATATCACTTCCATCAGTGATGGAATTTTTTTCTAATATTACTACATGTACATGTAGTTTTGGTAAATCTTGTCTGATAATCTGATTATAAGGAAACTGAAGATAAACTTTAAAAGTTTGTATACTAGATTTGAAGTAAATGACCGTCTTGATAATTATGATCACAATGATAAATTGGCGAATCCTTTGATATGACTGTACACAAACACATTATCGCACGACACAAAATGCACATATGATAGGAAGGATGACACAAAACTCATATTCTTGTATGAATTCTCTTTTTTTATTTCATTAGCATATACATGTATATATATTATACAAGAATTGACAGTAATTAATACACTGTATGACATAAATAAAATACTTTTCTCTCTGTCCCTCTCACCTTATAGAAACATTCTAGGACTATGATAATAGGCATCAGCTTATATATATATCTGATCCAATAAATGCTATAGCCAACCAACCATCCAAACTGTTTCATAGATAATTCTCTTTAAAAATAATGAATATATCTGGAATACATCAATGGATCAGGATAAATAATCTCAATTGGAATTAATAAACATGGACATTTCCTGGAATACACTCTAACTGAATGAATGATTGAATACATGAAATATATGTTACCATATAGGGAAAAATCATATACATGTAATTGCTATAGACAAATGATACAATTAAAATGCTTGAATACAGTATATAGATAATGATCTTGATAATATTTTGCAAGATATGAAGAAAAGAAAAATATCTAGCTTCAATATGATCTTTGCTTCCCAGCTACACAACCTTGTTATATTTTTTCAAATGCAAATACATGGGGATTTAGCACAATTTGCATGATTTTTTAATAATGTTATGCATCTGTTTACTTTCTTTAGGGGGGGGGGGGGTAAATAAACAGTTTCAGCCTTTGGGCGGCAGTGTTTTTAATAAACCAATTTGAATCAATTTAATTTCCCTTTCTTTATTATGATACATACAAATCACAATATTTATGAAATGTAAAAGAAGGTAAAGTTTACACTATGATTTTGTCCTTTATTTAAGACAAATTGAAAATAAAATGCATCAGAAATATGCAAAAATAAAGACTAAAATTAACATTGCAAGTTAAAATGGCATACAAGCTGGATATCAATAAAAAAAAATATATTCAATTCTACTGGAATTTAAAAAAAACATCACCTTGATTTTTTGTCCTTACGGAATTCAAAACGAGGAAAATTAATCATCAGCATTTTATACATGTGAAACATGATGACTATTATCTACATGGATGTAGCTTGTCGCAGAGATGTCACATGATCTTTTTAATGACATCATAATAAACAAATAAGATAGCTTCATTTCCAATCAAAATCCAATCTGAAATGGTTGCTCAAGCATATTCATTCATAGTATATAAATATGATTGAAGGTGTATTTAAAAAATATAAAATATAAAAGAAAAAGATGTTTAAAAGGCTATTCAAGAATATGCATGTATGATATATTTGAATAATAAAAGCTTAATATAATCATTAATATGCATGCCAAAATAATGTCAAAAGCATCTATATAATAAGGATTAACAATAGTCTATATGTTCTTCAGATAAGTAATACCAAAAAGAAAAAGAAAAAAAGAGCAGTACTGTTCAGAATTTTGTAACGATATATAGATGAACACTAGAACTTTATCAAATATATCTCAGAAAAGATTTTCTATAAACATACATACTGATCTGATATTACAGTATCATGTGACAGCTTATATCTAATAACACTGAAACACCCATCTATTCCTTGCACATACACTATAACTTGCATTCCGTGGATAAATCTTGTGGATAAACTCCTTATAATTGCAAGATATTTAATCAAGCAGATTAAAAGATTAAGCACCAACATGTAAACAAAGACACAGAAATGAAATAAGAATGGAGATTTATAAAGTTTGATAAAATATATAAAACGAGAACATCGCTGTATACTTTACAGCAAAGAAGTTAAAAATATATATATATATATATATATATATATATATATATATAATTCTCCAGAAATCTTATGTGTATTTTCATGTAGAATAATTTATATCCACCCAAAGAAATATTTATGACATCTTGAACTACAAATTGTTATTTTCATTTTCATGAATGGCGATGACATAATATGGTACAAATGTTCTTGAATTTAAAAAAAGTTTGTTTTGTTTCTTTTCTTGAAACCTATTACATAATTAATGTATAATAAAAAATAAACTTTCAATACGGTTTGGGATTTATACAGTTTTGTTTCTTTTCATTACTTTAAAAATGTTCATCGGAAGAGACGTATAAATGTATAAATGAGCCAGGTAATTCAAATACAAATACTTTTATCGGCTGCGGCGCTTTAATTTTTGGATGACTTATTTTGGTAAATACATGCATCTAGCACCAAATCACAGAAAGAAAAAGAAAAAAATAATTTTGTAGAGTAATCACAGAAGACAATAAGGACTAGACTACAAGTAAATTATGTGTATATTATTTTGAACTAACAGGAATATCTGCTTTCCTTCAATGCGTGAAAGGCGTAACTCAAACTTAAAATATGCCATAAATAAATGCCCTAATGGCTCTCCTGTTAGGATCTCATCTGTTCTTTGCCAAAACATTTATCAGAACTTTTGTTTAATGCTGTTTAAAGATCTTGTGTTAAAATTAAAGCTAACCCAGGATTAGATTCACTTCCTTACTGATGGCTAGGAAGACACTTTTGTGTTAACAGTCCTGAGCCACAATTGTTTAATTTGTTATCCTTATTTGTTTCTGGTTTTATCTTGCCTTATTTAATTCAACAAGAAACCAAATCACTGCAACGTGCAATGCCGCCCTCATTTGAAAGTGACAGAATAATCAGCTTGCTATTTGCAATCGCTCATCAGGAAGAAGAAGAAGAAGAACCTATTGCGGTTCATAAGAAAGTGATCTAACTGCGATTCACATAATTTTCTTAAAGACAATATGTTCAGTTGGTGCATGGCCGTACAAAAGCAACCAAGGTATCATTAGAAATCATACCCATTGGTGATATGAATTCTTGTGGCTGTAAACACTTCATATATTTACATAACCTTTCCAAAGTTGAACTTTTTTTAATGCCAATTACTAATCAAACAAAAAATGGAAACATGACGCTTTTGACTAATATAAGCAGGGCTCACATCACATGACTAACATGCAGACAACTTACAAAGTGCAAACCTTCATACATTTTTATGACACATTTGCATTGCTGTTATTGCAAATAAGCAGAACACTTAAATATGTTTATACCTCATATTACAGTACATCATGTCCAGACGTGATGGATATGTTTGCTATAATAATATGTAAGGTGCTCCAATATTACCCCGTCTCTGCTAGGCTACCGTATCAGTGCTCACAGCATTCAAGGAATTCCTGTTTGCCAATACAAATTTAACTGGGTGAAGAGTGGCAAATGTAAATTGATGTCTTGCAAAAGGACATTAGTGCTGCAGTGGGACTCGAAATGCAAACCCTGTGATCGTCTGACGTCGGACATATATTCACTAGACGACACCTCTACATGCAGTAATACTCTCCTCGTATATTGACATGCTTCAACAAAAAAACTTTTACAAGTTTGCATGACATTTTGAATGACAATTGAAATAAACTTATAACAGATTGTACAGTGAGACATGATAATCAATGAGAAATAGAAATGATTTCAGTGTGTCTTATTACTTTCATTAAACCTTGCTCCAATAAGCCACTCTGGAATCATTATTTTAAAAAATTCTAAAAATAAAAAACTTGAGGCATTACATTTGTGAAAGATCTTTGTGGATTAAAACAAGAAAAACTACATAAGAAAATTACATAAAAATTGTTGCAAATATACAGGGGTAGGGTTCCCCAGACTTATTGGAAATAAAAAAGATTGCAAATGTAAAACCTTCCTAATAGCTAGCCCACCAACAAGTCATCATACGAGAAACAACTGTCATGAAGATCGAGACAAGAATCCACTCACTATCTTGCTATTATTCTCACTGGGCCCCCGTCAGTTGCAATTCAAACCAAACACAAATCCTTCCTATCTCTTATGTACATACAGTCAAACCTGCTTTAGTGACCACCTGCCTTCAAACACCATGTTTTTTTTCTTTCCCATGAAACCAGTTTCTCATTGAAACATGTACTAAAGGAACCTGTCTACAAAGACCATTTTTTGTGTTTCCCTGGGGCGGTCGCTATAGACAGGTTCGACTGTAGTTGTGATTGATATAAGGTACGATTGATATCAACTGCAAATAAGGAGCGATTAATATCAACTGTTCAAAAGACGAGGCCCAGTTGTTTATCATAGGCCTTCTCGATGGGGGCTAGCTATTGGTTTACTTTAGATGCAAAATCATGCAATACAAAAAAAAGGCCACATGATCACACTCACTTTGGTCTCACAGATCAAGGTGTTTAAAATATCCATGTCAAACTTGTACCTGTATCAAATACAGTATCAATGATTTACACTTGATTTCAATCTTTATTTCTATGAGCTCTCGAATCAGCCTCCCTACTAGTATATCTACAAAGCACCTTAGAGACATCACAGATGTATTAAGCGCTATATAAAGCGGAATATTATTATTATTATTACTAAAAATCTTTGTCAATGAGACCTCTTTTTCATATTATGACAAGTCTCAATTCTATTTTAGTTAAGATTTTTCATACTGACATAGCAACTTTCTTGATAAATACATATATAATGAATACATCTTATCTGAATAAATTCATTTCATTACTTCATTTCTATTCTTACATTTATCTTCACAAATACATTCAAGATTAACACAACAACAAAATATCTGCACATAATGTGCTCTATTTCAAGTTCCCAATTATATGATTACGGTAGTGGGAAAATGGATGATCTATCCCTCTTTTCAGAGTTTGAATACTTCATATTTACCTGGTCAAGTTATTTTTTAATACAATGTACTTAAAATGTATAGAGAATTATATGTGGGGGTTATCATTCTGCATCACTATCCTATTATAAGGGCATGGTGATAAATAGAATAGAAAAGTAAAACATAGTATGTCACAGACAGATGCTGGTTGGCACAAAGTAGTAGGCCTGCAGTATTTCATAGACAGTGTTCAGATACTATTATCTACAGCCCACCAAACACTATATGATCCACTGTCATCCGATTTTCAAAGAAACTGAAAGGACATCAGTCATCAGATATATAATCTTTCCATTATTTAGAATGCATTGTATTAAACTCTTCTAGCCAGAGCACTGGCCAAACGGCTTTAAATCTTATCACAAAATATGTCTTACGTTACTAAGATTCAGAGCCGGTTTGACTTTTATCCATCAAGGAGGTTTGCAATACTTAAACATTTTCAGTTTTATTCATTTCTTTTTTTATTTCAGAAGCTTGTTTGAATGTTCATATCAATGCTATTCCAAATTCTTCCAAAATCGGATCGCAGTCAGATCGTAAAGTGTGTGTAGAGCATAATACTAAAAAACATGACAGCTTCACCAACTTTGTCAACTTTAAGTGGACTTCATTTATCACATCTATCTTACATGAGATTCTCAATTCACTCGAGTCATTCTTAATCCAATGTGTTCACCATGGCAATGTTTAGAGTAGACCGAAAGCTTCAGTCTCTGATATCGACGGTTGTTCCGCTGAGATTACATCTGGCTCCTCTGACCGCCTCTATACATATGTGTATGGGGAATTAAAGAATGACCCATACCAGACGGTTATTTCTGTCTATGTTTAGAGTATCTTTTTTAAAGGCTGGTCTTAGAAGTGTTTTTCAGGCAAGCTCGATTGTGAAACAAGGTTGTGTTAAAATCTTGTGGATTCTGTTTGGTCGCATCTCAGAGGTAGCGTCTTCACTTCCCCAGCATGAACATCTGTATGGTGGCGAGGAAAGAAAAACAGAACATTAAATACTTTCTTATCTAATCTACTTCATCCTCAATTGCTTCATTCAAATTGTTTGCACGGGTAAGGAAAGAACAGTCACTTCAATGATTTATTGAAATAGCCACATTCTCAATCAATTTTTTTTGTTTACCCTTATATCTGTATTTACACGCAGAGACGAAGCAGTTAAACAGTCTTTAAAATTGAATTATAAAGGAGAAATAACACTCATCGATCTTATCAACAATGTTATTACAAGGAAATAAAAGCAAAGCACTGCAAACATAGTCACACACTTCTAATTTGTGAAGCAGTTTTTGTTCCTGTTTACTTACCATAGGCATGCATGTTTAAAAAATGTGAGGGGGTTAAACTTCAAGAATAAGCTCAAAAATGAACATAAGAATGTCATAATTACAGGATGGTAACCTAAATGAATGGTGCACATTCTCTTTAATATTAATCGGCTCGCAGAATGGCAAAGCATTGCACCGTTCTGCTCAATACAGATGCACACTACTGCATTAAGCATTCGTAAGCTCTAAAATTCCTCAAACTTTAAACATATGTACTTATTTGACAAAAACTAATCAAACCGGGTGCTTGCCATCCATTTTCAAATTTGTAATAGTTGATAAAGAGAGAAATGATAATCTCTATCATGTTGTTTCTTTTATGTGAAATAACATTAACAGAAGTCAGAAACTTATAAGCAACTTATTAGAAATTTGTTTAATGGCATGCACATGCATGCTGTTCTAACTACGTTCCGCAGGCAGCTAGCACAGCAATACGAAAGGTTGCATGGGTGATGGTGTGTTGTTAATCCAGAAGAAAATCATCTTAGATTGCGGTCTTGGAACCCAAAGAAAAGTTTGAATGCTATTTTGCAATTGATTGCCGCTTAAAATGAATTGATTTCACATTCAATTAATAGTAGGCCTACTACGATCAATTGCCAAGCTTTGTGTTTACAGGGCCCAGATGGTTTTTGGATTTACAATCCATGATGAGCAACATCATCAAATTCACACAAATTTTATTGCCAGGACCTCCAGAACCCCCACCCCCCCCCCCCACAAAAAAAAGAATATTCCAATGAACAAAAATGCAGAATTAAAAAAAAAGCGCAGTAGTACATTTATGATAGCATTAACAAAACAAAGGGTAAAGTAACTGTGACATATGTGCACACCGGTATCTAAAGGGGTGAATTGTAAGATTTTAATGGGTATGTGCCATGTGTTAAGCTAAGCAGGGCTGATCACTGATGCATGTATAGAAGACTCATTTAGGATTTTATGCAAGTAATCAATTATTGTTGTCTTGAAATACAATTGAAATATTAAATTGAAAAATTTCTGCTAAATTGCTAATTGCTCTCATCACAGTTGCCTTCCATTTGATGTTAGAAACCTGAAACTCCAATACGTTAAACATCTTATACTAAACTTAATTGGTAAACATAATATAGCTGGCCGTGACTGCCGTATACTTGCTTCATATTTATCTTGCTGTCAGTGAAAAAGTACTTTCTAACTCCCTTATTGAGAAGGAAAAAAAAAGACTTTTTGTCTATTTTACAGTGTGGTAAATGATCAAATTTTATGATTGGATGTTATGAAATTGAGATTCAATCTCAGCAAAAATCAAGCCCATGACCAATATGACCGGCTCCCATGCAAACAGACTTCCACATCTAATGCAAATATGAACAATCCCAGATAACATCAAGTTGATTTTGATACATCCATGCAGAAAAACTCATAAAAACAGGCCTGAGAAAATTTGAGATGAAGCTGATAAAAAAGGCAAACTATGACATTGCACATAAGTTTCTAAAAATTAAGTCATCTAGGGTATTCAAATATAAACATCAAGACCCACGGCCCAAAATAATAAAGATAATATTACCATTAAAATTTTATATTTTTCTAATAATAAAGGTACCGGTATTCAAAAGTGTGATTTTATAAAAAATAAGGCATTCCAAAAGAAATATTTGATGAACTTCATATTTCTAAAAAGCTGCACATAATTGTGTTATCTAATGACATAAATCAATTTTACGGTTTACTTTCCAAGTATCCTAGTCACAAGTAGCGGCATGAATGGATGCGTCTAGAGCACAAAATGCGTAATAGTTTGTGACATCTTAATTGTCATATCGGAATGAAACAGTAGGTTACTTTCATGAAGCCTAATTGAGGAAGTACATGTTTTTAAAAGCACTATTTTTTAACAATGTGGTTCTACATCTATGTGATGATACTTTGATTTTCTACAAATATGTATTTTGCATTATTTCTAGATGCATCTTTTCATACCACTACCGGTATATTTCGCTATAAAACTACCTCACAATAACCACTACATGCATCTATAGGCCTGTCTTCATCAGCTCGAGTTTGCCAAATAACCCACTATTCTAAATATCCTGATGGCAAATCAACCCATTAATTTGCGTCTTCATCAGCCCGCAGTTGCAATTAGCGGGATATTTGGTCGAGAAATCTTGGTCTTGTTTGCTAAATATCCTGCTATTCGGGAAATAGCGGGCTAAATTGTGCCTGTTCGAACTAGTTTGTGTTGAGCGTATCGGTCTGGTGAAGACGCAATTTGGAGCTTCGGGATATTATCCCACGTCTGAAAATAGCGGGTTATTCTGCAAACTTGAGCTGATGAAGGCAGGCCTTATACCATACAGAGGACCAATCACCCAAATATACACTATGATCAATAATTGTAAGGTGTTAAAATAAAAAAAATCCATGAATTGAGGGTTTAAATTAAGAAATTCTCCCAAGTTTAGTCCAGGACCGATCACCCAAATAAACACTATCATAAACTTTAAGGTGTTAAAAATTATCAAAAAACCTGAATAGACCAATACATCGTTAGCACATGTCCCAAATGACCCTGAATATCCATAGATCTTCAAAAACATGAAGAGGTCCCACTCTGTACATTTTGAAATAATCTCTCCTACAGCGATGGAGGTGCTACATATAAATAGCCTTTGTTTCCCCTTTTCAAAGAATACTTCCACCTGTGAATCATGGATTGCACCGCTTGTGCATTAATGAATAATGATTACATAACTGTCATGAGAACGTATCCAGTATTTTTTCTCTGTGCATTTTACAATTTGGTCTGCAATGACCTTCATCTCAGCTTTCCATTGTATTCAAAAGAATTATTTGTATCATTTTGATATTGAATGAAATCAATACAAAATGGGGTGGGTGGGTGGGTGTGGGTGATTGGTCCCCTTTCTAACTTCTCAAATGGTTTAACAAATAAAGCAGTGTCCCAAGACAGCAATCACTGGACAATATTTACATGAAATGACGGTCTAAACTCTGGCATCAGTTATCTCTACATACATGCAGCACATGTTATTTTACCCCCACACACTCTAGCCAACTTCTTTCAAATGGAAACAATCTGCCCTAAAAGATGAAATGTTCAGCGAGAAATCATGAAAACAAAACTTGCTTGTTGCAAAAAAAATGGCAGGCTGAGAATGAGTGCATTACAAAAAAATTCTTGTTTACCTACCCATTCCATAGACGTCTTCACCATTATTTAAATTCCTGTGTCAACAATTTTATAAACATTCTTCAACAATTTTCATGAAAGGCAATACATTTTTCAAATGAAGATTAAATGTGAATGAAACAATTTCTAAATACACTGCAAAGGAAGGAAATCATGTGATCCGAATGTTGAAACATGTTCATGCAATTAATTGCAATTATCAACTAATTTCTACTACTATTATAGTTTCTTTCCACATCAAATTATGCTTCATTTCATCTTGGTATGCATGTGACTAAAGTATCACTATGACTAAATGAAAAAGTAAACATCTTTGAGTATTATTAAAACAAGTTAATACTGAATATCAAGTTTCATTCTGCTCCTTGCATGATAAAATTATTTCTTGTCTTAAAATACCATAAATCTGTGATTATACCAAATTCAAATGAATCCCTATTGGTATCAATATTGGATACCGGTAATCGTCTTGGATAATAAAATGCTACAACAACAAAATTTATGGGTGATTATTTTTTCTTTTTGAGGGAGGATGATTTGATACATATCAAACAGATCATTTATGGCTGGCTTCTGTCTAAATATAATGGTCCTTTCACAATGTACTTTAGACATAAATAATACCATGCAAACACATGGGAGGGATCTCACAAAAGATTATATATTGGCAAGCTCTGCATTATACAAATATTTTGACAGCTATGCACTGTTGGTGTAAGCAGCTGTACTACAGAAACACTACAAAACATTAGGCATACATGTACTTATATGCATCAATAACAAATTAAAGGCTTTTCTACAATTTCTCCAGAACTTCAAGTGGGATAGACATCGTGCCATGCTGTTTTCTCCCTCTCTCTCTATTTTTGTCTATCTCTATAAATGAATAATAGAGACATCAAAGAGATATCATTAACAAAAGAGAAATTACACTGATGGCTTTATATGTTTATCAACTTTGCAAATCATATCGTTTGACTTGTTTTGTTTCCAAAGCAAAATACATTTCGAGCATCAATTCTATGTCTAGTCATTTGGAGATCTATCACTACGTCTTATCTGCATTTGTATTTTGTGGTACGTTAATTGTTAGGATGTTTAATACTTACACTTCTGAGGTCTGTAACTTTCCTCACGTGCGAAGAAGAGTAACCCTCTTCATTCTCTGGTGCTGATACCTTGCCGTACGTGGAAGCTGGTCTGAAGGGGCGTGGTCCTTTCTGCGGTTTAGGTCTGATGGCTGGAGGTACTTTCCTACTCCCCTGGCTACTGATTGGTGCTGCTGGTGGTGGTGAAGTTGGTGTATCCTTGGTTGCTTCAGGCTGCGAGGTCTCCGCATTCAATGTCATTGTCTTGGATGTATTATTATTGCTTATATTAAGGGAAAAGTTGTTAGACAAGGATGTTGCTATGGGTGGGGAGGTGGGGGGATCCTCTACAGAGGAAACAGAAGGTTCGGATGAGGTGGGTGAAAGACCATTGGTGACAGGGGAATCATGTCTGGTAGGACTCGTTTCAGTTCTTAACTCAAGCTTTGGGGTTTCAACAGAGAGAGCTGCAGCAGCTGTTCCTTCTTTGGAGGATGTAGAGGAGGTTAAGGAGGAATTGGAGTCGCTGCGTTGTCTCTGAGCCTCTCTCTGGGCAGACAGAACATAGGAGGATTTGGGAGCGTTCTTCTTCTTGAGGATATCCGCAAACACATTCCGTCTGCCACTTGCAGTAGCCTGTGGATCCGTAGGAGGCTTTAATGGAGTTTCTTGTTGCGTTACCTCATCTGGCTGATCTCTTGATGTCTCCTTAGGTTCTTCTTTAACGCCTGAATCGGTTTCATCCGCGACTGACTTCGCTGGAGAGTCTTGTTGATCAACGGCAGGAGTGGCGACAGCTTGAGGTGGAGCGACCTGCCCATAGGCAGGCAGAGGTTGCACACCCATGGGAGTGTACATCATCTGTGGTGGGGACATCATCATACCCCCACCGGGCTGGCCGGGAACCATTACATTACCCCCACCGGGCTGGGGAACCATGACATAACCCCCCATCGCCTGTTGCTGTTGCTGCATAAACATTTGTTGCTGTAAAATCATCTGTTGCTGCATTTGTTGCATCTGTTGTGTCTGGTATGCCATTGCAGGGTTCATCTGCATGGGAGCTGAGGCTGAGGTAGGGTTCAGGACCAACTGTTGCTGCAACATAGCCATTTGTTGCTGAAGTTGTTTATATTGTTCTGCTAACTGCTCCATATTGGGCTGTTCCGCTTTGGCAATTTCATCTTGTGGCTTGGTAACTTCATTCACTTCCACATCTTTCTTCTCTTCTACATTTGTCTTCTCTTCACCTTCTTTCTTTTCTTTTTCTTTCTCTTCCACTGTTTCCTCTTCTTTTTCTTTCTCCAAACTAAGAGATTCCTCTACCGTGTCTTTGGTCTTGTCTTTATTCACATGCAGTGTTTGAGCACCAACTGCTTCTCTGGTGACTCCGCCTGCCAAAGCCGTCAGAGACTTCTCTTCCAACATACTCTCAGAGTCTTCCCCTTGAGGGGTTGGAGAGTAACTAGTAGTCTCTTTGCTATCCTCATCCAGACTTAGTTTCATCATTTTAGTCAGAGCAGCTCTCTTCTCTTTTATGTCAGTAGTAGTGTCTGCAAAGCAAATTAAATAAAGCACACATTAATGGGTTAGACCTAGGGTATTCATTCCTTAAACTACAATATAGTAAAACTATGTTAAAAGCATTTTAATCATATCGTTGCAAGAAGAAAATTAATGCAAGCTAATACAAAAAATAAAAAAATAAATGGTAACAGGTACCATTTACCTTGTTGAGTGAATAATTAAAATTAATTATGTTCAATTAAGCAAGGTGTTTCTGTAAAAAAAAAATTCCCCAACTTTGAATCAAGCATTGAGTATGGATTGTTTACCAGTAATGCAATTCACTATCATATAATAAGCCATTTTCGTAATGGAATCAAATTTAATGCACAAATCTTTGTTATTAAAAAGTGCCTCGTTACTAATTACTCCATTCACCTGTTACAATTAATTGTATTTTAATAGTTAGAATGGGAATTGCATAAATTAATTGTGGCTAGGTAGGATAAACATTATGGCTTGTCCTACCTAACAACACATAATGTATGCAATTCACATTTTGACTATTGAAATACAATTATTTGTTGAATGAAATAATTTGTAACATGGCACTTAAAGGTCTATGCACTAAATTTGATTACATTATGAAAAAGGTCTACCGGTATTGGTATGTTTTCAAGGGTCACTAAACACCCCTGTCTTGTTGAAACGGTGCAAAATGACAGTTGATTCACTTTCTTGTAAAACACAAAAGGCAATCTCTTATCACATAACCTGATTGTCTATCCTTCAGAAAGCTAATTTCAAAACGGTTGCAATGATACCTCAATCTATATGTATATATTATAATGATATACCAAACAGGCAATAACAATCAATGCACCGTGGATCCAATCTTCAAAAAAAATTCTGACAAGTATGAAACATTCTGCCATGAAAGCTGTCAAGTGATTTTTGCACATCGAGGAGAAACCATGAGCCAAAAAGGGTCAGATCAAAAAGCACTGCAAATCAAAGACCAGTAGAAGAAAAGAAAACACATCCCAAATTACCAGATGTGTGCTTCAACACTAGACTTTTAACGGCATCCGCTTTTGTCTTCAATTATATTTTTTTTGTTTTAAAGAATGGCAGAAATTGCTCACAACATTCTAGGTATATCAACTTGGGTTAATCTTTGCTCACTTTATTGTTCTTGGTTATTAAAGATTCTCAACTCTTTTCTGGTTTCTAGTTTTGCAAACTTCACAATATTTTCTAATAAGGTTTAATCTCAACCATAATGAGATTTGCTTACTGACTGATTGCAATGAAGAGCAACCAAATTAATCACCAAAGCCATTTTACACTGCACCCTTTCTTCTGGGTAATATCACAAAATGATTTCAGGTCAGTGACATTCATTGACCTATGACCCTGGAAACCTCTTGATCCAAATTATTCTATCAGGGCCCCGTTGCATAAAACTTACTATTGATGGTCAGTTTGCCATCAATAATGGTTACTTCCATGGAAACCATTGTAGTTGATATTGATGGCAAAGTTCACCTCAGTGGTATCAGCATTACACAATATGGCTTTGATGATGTGAATTTAGTTACTCGTACATCTCTTCCTACATCCTAGTTTTTCAAGCAGAGTTATTTTTTAACAATAGATCCATCTTGCATCGCTTTGAAAGAATGCTAAAGGAGAAATTGGTATTTCTATACATTTTTGGATTATGTAAACACACATGAAGATGAATTCATCCCCCCCCCCCCCCCCAAAAAAAAAAAAAAAAAAAAAATCAACTATATAAGGAAAAACTTCTCAATGTTTTTTGTTTAAATTGTTTCCTTGAGGTTCCAACTTACATGTTTGATAGCACATCAAATGACGCTAAATAGTACATTTTATATTAAGCTTTGAATCATGTACTAATATAGAATTGTATGCATAAATAATATCAAACATAATTCAATACCGATATAGATCTATAAGAGAATATCTAAAATACAGTTTCAAAAATTGAATTTGGTCATCATTGTTCAAGTTCATATGCTGATTGTGAAGAATAGTTGATCATGAAATATCAATTTCACTTATAAATTTGAATAATTGCATATCTATAGGTGATTATTACATAACATCGATGCTTAAAATCAGAATCTATTCCCACCACCCAAGAGAGTGCAGAAATATATAATTGTGACATCATAATACACTCAAAGAGCATGCAGTAAGAATTGGAAGACTCAGCATTTTACAAAAATGGTTAATGGCTGGATTAGAGTAACCTAATATCCCATACAACATTTTTGAGCGTGATGATGAAATAAGATCATGCAGATGATGGCTAATATACAAGGATGGCTGATTGATGAACAGAGTTAGAAAGCAGATTATTACACCAATACTAAGCTGAATTTAGAAATAATATCATACACGTAGCGTATATGATAATGAAATATATATGAATATGATCAGAAAATGGCATATTTAATGATGCTTCTCAGGAAATCTTCAAGACTTTGATTGCCTTATTGATATTGAAAAAGAAATAATGTAATTTCGATGAGTAATTAGAACGATAAGAATATCCAACTATACTAAAAGACGACTATGAACAGAGTATTGTGCAAATGAATGAAGATCTTGGCCATGTGCTAGCTAGGATAAGAGCATGATGGATAATAATAATAATAATAAATCATAAAAAAGAAGATGATAAAAGGCTGACCTTTGTGTTTAGGAATGACAAGATTAGGACTACTCTCCACAACCACTGCCTCTGTAGAGACGCATTCACTCTCAAATCCAGATGACATCTCTCCTACCATCTCCTCCTCCTCTAGCTCTTTTTCTTTCAAATCATTCGTCCCGAAAGAGATGCCTTCACCCTTTTCTTCATGATTGAAGGAATCTGTTTGCTGAACGTCTGCAGAGTCTCGTGACGTGGTCAGTTGCTCTGAGCTGTGAGCATCCGGTTCAGACGGAGGGTCACCGAAGGTCTCATCAAGAAAGACATCATCGCTGCTGTTGATGGTGTCGAAGCTCTCTTCGAATTTCATCGATTTGTGGAGCTGCATCAGACGACTCTTCAGCGTGTCTTCGAGTTCACCACTAAGAGAGCGGGAGAGATCAGGATTCGATTCAGGCATGGCTTGGACAACGGGAGATGCCACTTCTAAAGGTTTTTCTTTGGATGATCTGGGTGTTGCACCTTTGTCCTCTGTTGTACAAGTATCTTGACTGGTTGTATTCCCCGTTGATCCTAATGCTACGGGACAGAGTTTATCCTCCTGCACTTGTCGGGGAGGAGCAACCATCTCCACTTCAACCTCAAATCTATTTGGGTTCTCTTGAGAGCCTATAGGTTTCACTGGAGGTTTGCCTTCTACCCGATTATCGGATGTAATATCTGCCTTTTTCGTAGACTTTCTTGCTCTAACGGCTGGAGTAGGCAACCTCTCTGTACTTTCTACTGCCACCTTATCAGGTGACGAGTGCTGATCACTCACCGAATCAGACGATGTCTTCTTTTTTCGTCTAACTGGAGCGACTGGTTTGGACATTCCTTGAGGGTCGTCCATGCTTTTGCTTTGCTGGATCCCACCAGGTTGTTTCAGATCAGGAGCAAACTGAACAGATTTGATCGACTTTACGTCATTGGTAGATGAACTTCTGTCTTTCCTGAATGTAGGGGGTAACGGAGGGGCTCTTGATGGTCTGAGTTTCATAACAGGGGCTGTAGCAGTCTTGCTGCCAGGCTGCTTGCTAAATGCCTCTAAGAATGCCGATTGAAGAGCACTCAAAGCAGATTCGTCTTCCTTGTCCAAGCTAAGAACCAACGGAGGAGGGCGTCTTGGAGCTTTCCTCTTCTTGTAACGCCCACTGATCTGATCCGCCGACTTCTGCTTGGTCATCGCTTTTTTAGAAGCATCAGTGCTCTCTTTGTTGGGAGTGTCTAGCTGTGGCTCGGAGGAAAACCGAGTGATTCTTGGCTTTGGTACCGGAGCACCTTGACCCCTGTTTGCATCACTCACACTGCGATCCCTTGATGTATCAGGGTGGCTCTCATCGGATGACTGAGAGATCTTGACAATCCTGGGTTTAGGGACGGGCTTGGTAGGTTCATCATTGGATATTGTGGTTAGTTGTATCTTTTGTGATGGTTTAGTTAGACCACACTCACTATCAAGCTGGTTGTTACTGTTAGAGGTTAGTAGGAGCGGTGAGAGAGCTGAGGAAAGGGTGCACGGTTAAAGCAGTCATAGGAGGGAAGAAGGAAGGAGGCATGCCAGAGAGAAGAAAAAGAGAGAACGTAATCACAATCGACTGAAAGCAAAGAACAACAGGTGTGATGATAGATATCAAATTACTTGCAAGAAAAGACCTGGGAGTGCAACTATAGCGCAGGAGACTATCACATTTACAGAGGAACGTGCACATACTAATACAGAAGGGTGTGCATATAGGAATTCTAACAATGCTTTACTAAGTTCACTCACAATATGTCATTCAATACAGACTATTTTTAAATTTGTTTGTGTTTCATTTTGTTTCCAAAATAGAAATGTTGATTGTTTGTGTTAGAGGAGTCTTTAAAAAGCCAACTTTGGTATGATATTATGGATCAAAATAATCTATACATGTTAGGAAAAACACAATGCTTTCCTGCATGGAAACGGTGTCTCTCTATTCTGATATGCAGTAGGCCTACTATTCTAGGGTAACACATTTATGTTGGTATCCTAGACATCTAACCTAAGTTAGTAGATTGTATGGAAACTTCAGTAGCCTCTATCATGGACTTCTGTCTCAGGGAAACTATATTGCATACCTAACCTATCTAAAGTATCATCTTATACATCTCACAGTGATTAGCTTTAAACCTTGGTGCATAAAGTGCATGCTGCATTATACATGCAATAATAATTCAAGTGACATCTAACCCTCTAAAATACACCTACTACCGGTATAGGCTACTACACCACAGGGTTTAAAGGAAATAAAAAAAAAAACAATAAAAGTATATCTTTAGCTGAATTGTGTATCATGACGAAAAGTCTTTAATACTGGTTTATATAATCAGTCTATACTTATGCTCTTTTAAAAATGTCATTTATTATTTATTGTACTATTTTACTGTTTATTAATTTGTTTATTGTCTTTAATTGTATTTTAATTGTATCATGGAATACAGGGCTTTCTTGCAAAGCAGTTTGTACTGAAGATACTACCTGGAATAAATAAATAATGAAATAATGAAATAAATAAATAAATATAATTTCTTCACAGCAATCACATTCATTTCATGCTAAAGTGCATCAACCATGAATTGGTGCAAACAAATCATTGACGGCTTTGAAATGACATTTTAATACATTTAGGATATGTTTTCATGTTTCAAAGTTGTTTATCAACTAATTTTGCTCCACAGCACACTGGGAGAAGGTTTGACACCTGTCTTCAGAAATTATTATCTCTGATAATCAATGTTTTGGTAACAGCTTTTTGTTTTGGGTGCATTGGACTATCTTTTCTCTTGCATTATAAACATGTCAAATCTTTATTATGAATACAAGTTTAATATTCACTATCATGTTTGAAAAACAAAAATTCTAAATAGGAAAACAGGATTTGGAAAGTCTAATGTGAATAGGGTTGGAGGGGTTTCGAAATTGATTACTGAAATTCCAAAGAGTATTTACATAAAGGATAAGATTGAAATAAAGAGAAATGACATGATCTTCGTTTAAAGATTTTAATTCTGTAAATATTTGCAAGGTTTGAATTAGAAATGTTATTCATGGCAAAGTCAGATGAACTATGAACAGATTAGCATGACAGCAATAACAAACAGTAATAGCACACAAAGGAAACCATTATACCAAATCAAGATAGTTAGTTAAATATCACAAGTTTACAAACACCAAATTATAATCACTAGGCAAAAACAAATACAACAAAATAAACTTTAGCTGGTTAGGTATTAATAAAATTTCAACGTTTTAATCTGCAACTTACCTGCTTTGTTGTCATCTGCTGTTTGCTCTGATTGGTTGGCTTGTGTTTCATCTGTACTAGCCTCTGTCGTATCTTCATCCTGATTGGTCGAATCAATCCGAACTTTCTCTCCCGACTCTGGATCCTCTGGCACTGATTGATCGATACTGGCAATGTTGACTTGAGACATGCTGACCTCTTGCTCTGCTGTTGCATCGTTAGTCAAAGCTAGGGAACGACAAGAAAGACAATGCTCGGATCCATCTCTAGTCAACACTACGTAGATTAGGGGCTTTTAGATTTGCATGTCGACAAAGTGGACTGCTACGTGTGACGTCCTTTTAAGGCACTATCACTGCCTTTAAAGGACGTCACACGTAGCAGTCTCCTATGTCGACGTTCAAATCTAAAAGTCCCTATTGTAGAGAACAGGGCTTAGAGCACAGCTCAATAGGAACGGAGGGGGTCCAACAGCAATGGAATTTCTATCATTAAAAATTTCATCAATTATCCCTTGTGGTCACATATTGTCTTGCCACTTTAACTATGACAATTTCTTTAAATGAATTAACTCCTCAAAAATGTTTTCTCAGAGCTATTTCATCATTATACTGTACTTTCAAAGAGCTCACTTTCCACAGATAAATTGCTCATCGCTCCCAGGTAGTTTTTTCAATGCTGTACTCTCCGTATTGTGAGATACAGAAACGGATGTTCACTATGATCAAGTCATTTATTTGAAATTTGTTATCCAATGTACACAAATTGAGAATGATCCTATCTGTTTGGATTGAAATCAATAAAGTTTGAATTTAAATTTGAATTTGAGTTTTATTTTACTGCAGGAATTTTTTTTTGGGGGGGGGCAGTTTACTATGTCATGTGATCAAGGGTACTGCATGTATACATCTAGCCCCCTGCCCACCCCCACTCTATTCCATCCTCAATAGTCATAAAAGATGGTCAGCACAATCATTTTATAAAATAATGTAAACGGCTAAGAAACTGAGCTAATGACTACTTGTGAGAATGACTATAATTGTGAGAATTCCTACATGATATTTAAAAAAAAGAATGATTAAACTCCTCGATGAAGCCACATACTATACTAGTTTTGAACTAAAAACACTGTCTAAAAGCTGTAACCTGTCCATTTTTATTTCTAATCTCTAATTCTATGTTTTATTACCTAAAAAAAGTGCAGTTGTAATCACTCACAGAAATGAAAGTGTTATAAAGCAAGCAAAGGATGGTTAGTAAATAGCAATTAAAGCAAACAATGTACTTGTTTTTTTATATGATGCTACACTGATCATAAACATACTAACACACACATGCCAGCAAAACAAATCATTAGTGAACACGAGACAGATCTTGTTTCAACCTCATTGTCTTTGTAAAAAAAGCCATACAATGGCAAGAAATATATTTATGGATGTATTCTCTGCTTCTTCTTGCAGGCTATCCCCTGACCTGTATATGCATGTTATTTCTGTTTGGCCCATATCAAAGAATCTATCATCATTATGACAATACAAGTTTACTATTTGATTGGAGTTTTCTATGCAGGTCTAAATGTAGACACATACATAATAACATACAGGGTAGTGTACTAAGATCAGAAAAAGAGCTAGGGCCATAAATTTTTATATCCACCATAAATAAAGAAGATAATGTGTAAGCTTATCGTCTGAACAAGTTTCAGTTCAGACGACAGGCCATTTTCTTAGTAGAATCAAATGGAATGCACAAATATTGTGCCTCAATCGTCACAAGTTATTTCATTCACCTATTACGATTAATTAAATTTCAATAGTCAGAATGCATAATTGCACACATTAAATGTTGCTAGGTAGGACAAGTCATAACGTTTGTCCTACTTCGCAACAATTAATGTATGCAATTCACAAATGGTCTTTTAAAAAAGCAACAGAATCCATTTATATTCATATGTTGAAGACACACTTGTTTTCAGGAGCTTTTGAATACTTTTTAAAAAATATTGTAATTGTGTGTCTGTAAAGAAGCACTGCTGGGAGTCTTTTTCTTCATAACAGCGCATGGCAGTACAGTATATTAACATAGCAGCTGCGCTTTATAAATTGATCTAATTACTATTATTTATTATATTCATATATGAATTACATCCATATTTTCCATGATAGTATGTATTCATTCTACTCTAGTGGACATATAAATGTATGTTCTTTTATGTAGAAAATATTCTAGGAGTAGAGCGTAAGAGCAATGTCAACAAATGGGTCCAAAGAACTACACTACTAGCAGCCAGTGGACTTTATCCTTGGCTATATGTCTTTGCTATTAAATGCTACTGTTCAAATAATACCACACATAATAAACCTTGCTGTATCTCTTAACAGGTTCATAAAATATTGGCAGACTGACATGACAACGTACATGTAGTTAGAATGTACTTCTAAATTTCATATTGGTTCTACATTCAAATAAATCGCATTTCACTGAATTGCTTGAAATTAATGTACAAGTATTCAAAGGAAGGGGGCATTTTGCTACTTTCCAAACCAAATCAAACTGCCCAAGAATCACTAGGATTCCAATACCATATGTTTCTCATATCTATGCCTGTATGGCATATTTTTCTTCAGTTGTCGCTATAAAAATGACAAGATTTTATCCAAAGCTTTCAAACTTATATTTTTGATAGTTTTATTTCTTAATCCTTCAACCCGATTATACCTGACTTTGTATATCAAGAATTATGTGTTTATTATTGAATATTTACAAGTTAGTTGGAGTTTATCTTCAATCATTCATCTTATCATACAAAAACAAAGCATACCTTTAACAAGTCATGATGATTGCATGATGTGCACGAGAGCACAGCAAACATGCTTTCCACCTGTTAAATATTAACATTATCTTTAGTACCGGAACAAACACCTATCATCGTCAATTTAAATACCATTGTCAAATGAACAATAAAAAGGTATGAGAAAGATTGAAAGATTGCATAACCAGCATTATATTCCGATATTTAAGGAATAATGAGAAAGTCGGAAGATTGGATATTAACCAGCATTGTATTCTGATATTGAGAAAGTTGGAAGATTGCATATTAACCAGCATCGTATTCTGATATTTAACGAGTACTGTAAATGAGAAAGATCAGAAGATTCAAGATTGCATATTTATTTATGGAGTATCATCAGAGTGCTTTGCAATGGAAAAGAATTCATAGTAAAATGCTACAGGATGAGGGCATATCCCATTAGGATTTTAACATATGTAAGTCATGACTTTTCCTACACAAGAGAACTCCACTTAACATCCTATCCAAGGGACTAAGTGTTGACTACTGTTACCTAGCCTGCATCTATGAAACAGTAGAGGGGGCATAATAACACACAACGCAGGCTTTGATCAGTCATCCGCCTGGGTTGAATTCAAACCCACGTTTGAGGGGCAAACACAGTACTGACTGAACCATCTCAGCTCTACCTCTCATTGCCATTTTATCGTTTCAAAATATTAGTCACCACTACTTAGGGATTTCATCATAAAGTAAACGTTGTTCAAATGTTAGGATTCTGAAAAAGTCCCTTCATTCCCAATTATCACAACTCCTTTTTCTGCTTACATGATGTCATTGTAACCACACAATCGAACGAGTAAGGGTGCCGTGTTCTGAATTGGCAATCCTCTCAAAAAATAAATTGGCTTTTTGATGGTTGGAATCACAACAAACTGATAAGTCACACAATCTAAAGCACTCAAAGACAAGAAAGAGATGGTTTGACGAAGAGCTACATGAAAGCTGGATCGAGACACACGTACAGCAAGCATTCTTACACACACAACTTACATTCCCTGCCCACTGCTAGCGCTTCTTCAAAAGCATCCTCCATGCTTTTGATAAGACTGGACGTAGCAGAGGCACAAAGGCTACTGGCTAGATCATGGTCTGCAGGATGCAAGATGGTCAGAGTCAAGATGGGGTTGTTAGGCAGGATAAGGTCCTTACGATGGGTGTGGTTATGGGTGTGGTCATGGGTGTGGTTATGGGTATGGTTATGGTTCTGGGTGTAGTTAAGATGGGAGTGGTCATGGGTGGGGTTATGGGTACGGTTATGGTTATGGGTGTGGTTATGATGGGAGCGGTCATGGGAGTGGTTGTGGGTATGGTTATGGGTGTGGTTATGATGGGAGTGGTCATGGGTAGGGTTATGGGTATGATTATGGGTGTGGTTATGATGGGAGTGGTTATGATGGGAGCGGTCAAGGGTGTGGTTATGGGTGTGGTTGTGGTCATGGGTGTGGATATGATAGGTACAGTAATGGGTGCAAGGTTATGATGGGGTGTGGTTATGATGGGTGTGGTTATGATGGGTGTGGTTATGATGGGTGTGGTTATGATGGGTGTGGTTATGATGGGGGTGTGGTTAAGATGTGCGTAGTTATGAAGATGGTGTGGTTATGATGATAGTGGTAAAGATGGGTATTTTTATTATGATATATAGAGATAATAATTACTTGGGGGAGTGGTATAAGAGTGGAGCAATAACATTATAACTGTATTCTACGCTAGTGCAATGGCTCATGGCATATTAGAATAAGTGATTTAGATTAAATTTACATTAGGGATAACATGGGTACACAACCAAATTCAGCAGCTGAAGCTAAGCAATAATAATATGATTATATTACATTGCATTGCCTTATATTTAGGATAATCAATATGCGGCAATATAACCAATAAAATAAAAAGTGGGTGAAATACTAAAATGGCTACATTATTGCACACACATCCACTCCAGGAGGGGGTAGGACAGGGGGTTTTCCTTCTACCTAGCCAAATCACCACATATGTGTATGGTGAATGCATTTAAATCATTAACTATTCATGTATCTATTCACAGTTTTTTTCTAAGTTTCATTTCCTTTTAATAATAATAACATATTTCAACATGAAGTAGTGAATATTAAGCCTAAGCTTTCAAATAAAAATGAATTGGATCAAAAATGGATTTCCCCCTAAAACGTTAGGATTCCATGAAAACATCAACCATTAGAATGACATCCCAATAAGAACCACTACACAAGGGAAGAGATGGAAAATTGAAAGTCTCCATTTTAAAGGGGAAAGGATGCCAATATACTTCTAATGTCATGGTTAAATACATGTACCGGTAGGTATTCCCATTGATGACAAAAAGTAAGAATATGTTCCTATAAATGGAAATAAATCTGGGTTTCATATGTGTCCTCCTATGTAAAAATTTAGTTGGACCAAATGACCCATGGCATATGAGCTAACAGGGCATTAACTCTGTGGTTGGAGTTAAAGGGGAAGTCCACCCTGATATTAAATTTGTTTGGAAAGAAGCAGAAAAATAAACAGGTCAGTGAAAGTTTGAGTAAAAACTGATAAAAAAATAAGAAAGTTATGAAATATTTGAAGGTGTGATCAATCAATCACAAATTTGCAATTCTGAGATGTATCTTGCGAGGTACCCTCCCACTTGCCCTGTACTAAAAAACTTCAAAAAAAATAAAGTAAGAACATTTTCAATCATACACTCACCCTAGATTTAAATATCGCAAATATGTTTTTAAATACAACCCCTGTATGAAACAAGTCTATTTTGTCATCAATAAGTAAGAAATTAAAGTTTATGAAATTTTCTGTAGATTTTTTCATTAACCCTGTAAAAGTATATGAGTTAACACTCTCCTGGCTTTTAACAAACTACTTACAAACAATATTCATTTAATGGATATTAAAATTTAAAGCATATATGTTAGAATATTGCAAGCAAAGTTAATGCAACGTACTATGCAAAGTTATGTTAACATGGAATCACTGTCTCAAGAAAAGGAGAAATTCACTGAACAATTTGATCGGGTGACTCGATAAGCGAAGTAACTCATCTTACCTGATGAACATTCACTGGTTGTATCATTGTCTTCAAGCCCAACCCCGGGGACAGCACCAAACGCCCCTCCTGGATCAACCTGTCCACATCTTCCTGGGGCTCCCCGGGGGAGGGGGGCTCGTCAGGGGGCGGAGGGGGGTCAAATACCGGTGGTGGAGGAGGGGCATAGTCAGGGGGCGGTGGGATATCTTCATCAAGCACTAGGAAATGAAAACATGCAACATGCAAATTGGCCCTAAAGGGATCGCTTCTTTCAAACTTCACGAAATTAATTCTGATCAGGTTGCCATCTTTGATAATTTCCCATTCAACAAATCAGTCAATTTTTCATTTTAAAATGACTTATTGCCATCATCAACATAATTACATTTTTAGAGTAAAAACAGAAATATTGAGAGCTCATGACAGTGATTGGTAACATGCCAAAATAAGGAATATATGCAAATGTGATTGTGTTTGAGTGATATGTCAAAGAAATCAACGTGAGACACCTAACAATTCCAGTAAATCAAGAACCAACACCAAAAGCCCCTACTACATAAAGCAAACTATACATGCATCAACTAAATCTAAAGTATATACATAATTAAAGCTGTACAAATCAAAGCTCTAATAAAGCAACATACAATTGTGATCAAGCAGCACAAATAAAGATAACTTCTGTTACTGTTTAGTCATTATTTTCAAGGTCGATGCTGTTTTGGCTACTATTACTAACTGCTTCATTTCATTTTCATTACAATTAATATTGTACGCATCATCTAAATTTCAAATTTCAGAAGCTCTCGGAGCCTAGGGTTAATAGAGAAAATCATGCTCTAATATAATTGCTGAAATCAAATTTTATTTTTAAATAGCTATTTGAGCATCTCAGCTATGACACTATTTCTATGTAATTACCTTCATCCAACTCAGCCAGACTAACTTCTACTTGGATATCATCACCGGTAGCAGTAGCATCCCCACCATCCTTCTTCCTCCTTTCAAGGGTGGATTCGGGTGTGTCTGCGGGTGTGTCTGCGGGTGTGGATGTCGGCGTGCTCAGGGGTGATTCAATCACTTCCGTGGCTCCAAATGAGATGTGTCTACCCTGATCGGACAGAGACGGCGACTCACTTCCATGATTAACAGTGACCTCGGGAATAGGATCCGCTACTAAGGGTACAGGTGGTGCACTCCCTGCCGGTGGGGGTGCAGGTGCTCGCCTCTTTTTCGACACGCCTTGAGCCGAGCGTGACACGCCCTCCATAGTGGGTTTGAGTAATTGTTCATCATGCGTGGGTTCCTTCTTACCACCAGGAGGAGGGGGTGCAGGTCGTCTCTTCTTAAGGGTATTGTTGTCGGTACCCTCCGTACTGTCTAGTGATGGTTGCCTGGCTGCTGGTGGTGCTTGAGACGGTTCTGGAGGTGCTGCTTCCTTAGTGGGTGTTAAAGATAACGGTTCCCCTTCACCCTGGTATAAAATAGGTTGAATAATTATAAACAAAATGGTATCTCATATCTCAAAGTGTGTACTTCCTTCTTGTTCTACTTTTTAAAATATGAGCTCAATGTTTTTAAATATGAGCTTAATGGTTTAATTACGTACATTTTCCTTCACTATTTCACATAAAAAGTATACATTTTCACTGTCTTGTTCCGTCTACAATGGTACTTTAAAAATAACTTGTAAATGGGTAATTCCACAAAAAATATTCACTTGCCCAAAGGGTATCTGCATTAACTAATGTATGCAAAGACATAAAAAACAAACATCAATTTAGTGGTTTATTTACCTTTTTCTTGCTCTTCCTTCCAAACATACTCTTTTTCTTTTTCTCAATAGGGACAAGTTCTGGCTCTTGTGGGGGTGGCGCTGTCACATGAAAAAGAGAATATGATACTGACATAGAATTTATTGGTGTTGTTTAAAGTTTTGGAAACTCCCCCTCTCAAAAAATGTAATGGAAGCTCTTATTACCAATCATGTGAAAGAGTTTGTTTTGACTAATACGTGATGACCAAAAATTTGCTGGTAAGCCGCCTACTTATTGATATATGTGGTAAATTATTACATCTACCCAGCCTGCATGGATAGATATAGGGTAGTCCCATATACATCTTTCTGTATATAGTGCTTGTAACTTTACCAAGACTGGGCCAAATTTCTTAGCATTTTGATGATTCCAGAACCTTGCAGTACACACCGATACTTATATGCTAGATGATCAACCTTTTCTGATCGATTCCACAACGTTTCTTTCAAAATGCAATCGCATGATCAGAACTGGTCTATACCTTTAAGGTTTAAAACAAAGAAAAATCTCTCTATACTGAAGGTATACATGTTAATCCCACTGTACTATGCATCAGGTCAACATCGGTTATAATGGTACACCAGATACACATAATTAGTGGTGTAGTATAGATGAATATGTACATGTATTTGCCTCCATAAGACGAAATTAGTCAAATCAGTGATTGAAAATGCAAAGATAAAGATTCAGATAGTGATTGAAAAGGCGTGGATAGAGATTCAGCTACAAAACCTTGAGAGGAACAGCATACACTTCTACAAAAATTATTAAAGAGATATTCTGATGAGTTGACAATAAACAAAGAAAGATGGAAAGACTCGGGATGAGATCCTGTTTTAAGAGATGTTGGACGGAAAGGTATGGAACTAGACAAACAAAGAAGAAGATAACGATTCACAATTTATGTATAGGATAATAGGACATTGTATCTCAAGGGAAGAGAGGATTAAGTGAAAGAGAGAAGGAGAAAGTGAAAGGAACATGGAGAGAGAGAGAGAGAGAGAGAGAGAGAGAGAGAAAGAAAGAGAGAGAAGAAGAAGAAAAGAGCAAGATAGAGAGATATGGGAACAGATAGAGAAAGAGCAGGAGAGAGAGAGGGTAAGAGAGACAGAGAGAAGAAGAAGAGAGAGCAAGAGAGAGACAGAGAGAGAGAGAGAGAGACAGAGAGAGAGTGAGAGAGACAGAGAAAAGGAGAGAGAGAAGAATGAGAGAGATAGAAAGAATGAGAGAGAGAGAGAGAGAGAGAGATGAATGAGAGAGAGAGAGAGAAAAGATAAAAGAAAGGAAAAAAAGAGAGAGAGGAGGTGGAGAATCTATTGGATCTCCCTGACACAGCACGGTTTCTATCAATTTATCATAGAACAAATAGAAAGCAGACATAGAAAGAGACACGCTCGGCAGGTGCTCCGAGCTGCTAAGATGAATACACTCTTGTGTTGCCATGGTGACTTCAATGTGGTTTGCAGCACGATATTCGATCATCTGCCCTGAGTCAAGAGGCTGATGTGAGGTAAACCCTTCACATCTAATCTTTCTCAAGTGGTATAGGTCTCATATCATACAAGAAATCTATATGCTCATTTAAAGGCATACTTCAATACTGATGTCATATTTATGATAATGCAATATTAAGCAGTTTCAAATCAGCACATCATTTTATGTACTAGAGTGAACATCAACATAACATGATCTCTAAAACAGAAGGAACATTTCTTTTATAACTGTAATTCAGACAATACACATTATTCATACAACTAAATCACAGACATGTGCCATGGAGATAAAAGAAAGACAAAACTCATCTTTTTTTCCTCACGAAAAATGCAGATGACAGGGTTCTATTCAAATACAAACATTAAAATGAAAATAATTCAGGAGAAAGAAAGCTAGTACTCACGTCTTAAATCGATAAGGACAAGTTCGTTGACCCCACCATAGTGATTGAGGCTTTTGGAGTAATCGATGTCTTCCTCTGGGGTTTTAACAAGACGTAGTCTGCATTCGTTGGCTTCGATGCCCCTCTCCTCGTATACCTGCGGCAAGAAGTCTTGGATAGGTTTCTCTGGATTCACTCGGAACAAGGCTTTGTGGTTCTTACCAGAAAGCACTGTCAGACGGACAGTTTGCTGCAGAAAGACATAAACGTAGAATAAGTTAATAATAATAATAATATTCCGTTCTTGCGTAGCGCATACACTTCCAAAAAGCTTAGGAAATCATTATCCTAACATTAGCTCTGCCAACCGTTAACAGCATGAAGTTGCATTTCGAGGAGTAATCCTACCAGGTACCCATTTACTTCACCTTGGTGGAGTGCGGCAAATGTAGATTAACATTTTGCCAAAGAAAGTTAGTGTTGTTGCAGTCAGACTGTCTCAATTACATAAATCAATTTTTAGGATAGAGTAACATGCCCTTTTTGATGAAACAATTGATCTGGCGTCAACAATAAACTCTCACATCCGTAAGCCTTTGCCCCCAAAAGGCCATTATTTTGAAGTAAAAAAATTGCTTAGACAAAAATATACAGTGTATAACAGATTCTGGTGACAACTTGTCACCAGAGAAGAAACATTCATAAATTTTAATATGTTAGGAAACTGGGCTAATGTACATGTACTTAACAATTGGTACATGATAAAATTAATTGAATTAACAACTATACTGGCATGAAATGATGCATGTATAAATGATATTACCCTGAATGAAGGATTGGCTAATATTCCTCCAATAAAATCACCACATGGACACAGAGTAATCTTCTTCATGATTGATCAATTACTATACACTTCCAATATATCTACCGGGTCCAATATATCCGCAGATATAAAGTCTAAAAAAGGCACTCAAATATATCCACAGATCTTCTACAAGTCTATGACACCAATGATAATGTGAGCTAGACGTAGAGTATATGGCATCAAGCTCCAGCTCTCATTAACAATCTCAGAAAAACAGATTCATCAATTACTATACACGTCCAATATATCTAACAGTCCAAAATATCCGTAGATTTCAAGTCTACCGGTATTTCAATACAAGTCCAATATATCCACAGAAATCAGTCTAAAAACGGCACTCTAATACATAATCCACAGATCTCCTACAAGTCAACAATACCGATGATATTGAGCTAGACGTAGAGTATAACTATAACTTCTAAGTCATAAAAGCTCCAGCTCTCATCACCTCAAATTGAATCCTCTCAATGAGGTCTACATGTATGATCCACTGTACTCAGCGACAATCTCAGAGTGAAAGAGAGCCCATGAAGACTGTTCAAAGCAAAAAGGATCCATTAATCACTCAAGATTAAGATCAAGTGTTAGATTAGTAATAACTTCCCCTGTTTGATATCCCTGGCAACCCTCTGCAAACAAGAAGAGATCAGACTTGCCCTTTGAGTGCCCTTAATCCCTTGGGTGATTATTAAACGCAGCTAAAGTGATGTTGACACGACAGGCTATTAATTTTAAGTTCAGGGCGTATTTATAGATTTCAAAGTTATCTCGTAGTGAAGGAATGTGCGGACACACTCGTGGTTATGAGGCTTTAAGTTTACTTGAAGTTATAAATAAGTGATCTTAAAGTTTGTAATAACTACAAGCAACATGGGAGTATTCACTCAAAGTTATGTGCCATGCGGATGTAATTAACTCTGAAGTTACGACACCTTGTGGTTAAAATGACTACTTGCAGGGATTTAAAACTTTAAATACTTGTCGTTTTGATCCCAAGTTGTTAGTTGATCATCGTTTATAACTTCAAGGTTGCGTTAACTTAAAGTTTAAAGGGGGTGCAACATGGCAAATACTGGTTAACGCCATCTACGACTTCTTTTGGACAACTGCACTTAAAAGAATGGACTTGATTAATGGTCAGCGCTCGGTAGCATTTGCGAAACAGAAGTTCTCCTCACGCTTCGGTTTTGCGTATGTTGCACCATGGACCTACATGCACGATGCTTGCACGTACGTGAATACTACGGTTGCGTCGTCCATATTCGCATTATACCCGACTGGCCCCGAGTCAGCCTACGGGAAAGACACGTAGTCTCGTCATGCTACACTCCCTTTAAAACTATGATGGTCCCAAGTGAACATACATGTAGCTTAAGTCAAGTGCCTCATCGCTAAAGGACATTAATACAACCTCCTAGTCTAATGTTTCCTTGACGAATTGTATGTATTCAATTGACTGCCTGGCCGTGATAGAAGGATTCAATCACAGTCAATGTAACCCTTTTTAATTATTGCTGGATTTTTCTTGTAAAATGATAACGTCATTTCATTCCCATTAGCAGAAAAATTTAGAATATATTTGATATTATGTATTAATAATAACATGCAATAAGTTTGTAAGTATCTAATATATCACAAATTCCTATTGCAAATAAGAAAGTTATGAATTTTTGAAATTGCGATATAGTAACACAATTTGGCAACTCTGTGACATATCTCACGGCTCCCCTCCCGTTTGCCTTGGACTAAAAACTGTAAAAATTCCAATTTTCATACATTCACCCTAAATATAATTATTGCAATTTTTTTCTACAACCCCTGTATGAAACAAATCTATAACATAGAAAATGAATGTTTATGCAATTTTCATGTACAGAGCAAATTGGAGAGGATTTCGCAAGATATCGTCATAATATTGCCAAATTCATATTAAACTTTCCTATTTTTTATTGAATATTGCTCAAAATTTCAGTAATTTCTTTCTCTCATTTTTCTGCTTTTATTCAAACCGACTTCATATCAGGGTGGACTTCCCCTTAAAATGTATGTATGCACAGCCCAACGATCATAATGGCTTGAATACAATACATTGAAATATGAATCAATTAAGCCACTCACACACAGTAGTATGGACAAAATTCCATTATCATATGCACACATCAGCATGGGCAGAGCAATCTCATATATGATCTATGAGCTTGTGTCCTCCGTGTTGCAATGATAAGAGATCATCGTTGATATTATTCTTAATCTAGATTGTCCTCAATCCATATAAATGATGGATTGGATTAGCCTTGAAAGCAACAGGCCTTAGAGTCGAGCAAGCACGTCCACAAGTAGGTTAAGAAACACACACATACTTTATTTTGTCTTTTTTTGTCTCTCTGTGTCTGTCTCCCTCTCTCTCTGTTTACGTCTCTCTATCTCGCTCTCTATATATCTCTCTTTCTCTCTGTAAATACATATATCCCTCTCTCATTATCTTTCTCTCTTTCTTTCTTTCTTTCTTTCTTTCTTTCTTTCTTTCTCTCTCTCTCTCTCTCTCTCTCTCTCTCATGATTAAAGAATTTTATACCCCAGAATAATTCTTTTGCTAAATAAATATCACTTTCCTTTCATTTCCCACCACACAATTTTCAGTATTCAATCAAATTCTTCACGTTTGAAGGTGTGTTGGAATGCCATTACGGTATGGTACAGCCTTCAAAATCAAAATGGCTTTTAAAAGGGCCATTAAACTTGGGTCTCATGAGGAAAATGAATTTGTGCAAATTCAGTGACAGGCTTATTTATTTAAACACACATGAGTGTCAGTGCGCATGAAACAATAACAAATAACAAGCCAGCACAACGTTGCCTGAATCCAAGGAAATATTTTGTTTGTTGTTACACCTAGGCCATGTTCATGCTTTTCACATGCCCTCCTCATCATGACCTTACTCTAATATTCAGTATACATCTCATCAATATGTACACAATAATGATCTATTACTGATAGCGTGATTTAGTCGTTTTCCTCATTATCTATGTAATTATACAAATAAATATCACCATGCTCTCTCTCTCTAGCAAGTTGTTTTAATTGCTCCTGCATATGCTGAAAAGACCAGTTTAATACTAACATATTCAAATTTATGGATTTTTTTTTCCCCGATGACCTTGTGACGAGGTATTCCATTAACCCGTTATTAATGAATGAATTACAATGCTTGGAATCCAGTCTGCATACATTACTTGTTGCTATGTTGGGCAAGCCTCAGTCAAGCTTTTTGGTTGTCTAGAACAACCTTTTTATAAACAGTTTGCATAAAGTTTGAACACGTTAGTAAACCAGTCTATTGCCTTCTTCAGAAGGAATTTTTTTAATGAGACAGCAGATCCTCAAAAAAGATGACATATGAGCAAATTGTTGATGTGTGACTCTTACCTCAAATTGTGCAGCTTTCTTTTTATCTGATGTTCTTATTGATATGATCTCTCCTCGGCTCAGCTTGGGAACTATTTGAAGTATGGTTGTATCCAGTTCACCAATCCGTTGGCTTGCTTTAAACTGCATTTTTATGAGCAAATAAAAAACAAAATTAATGTTACAGTCATCTTTCATTATATAACAAATTATTTTAGATCAGTCCTGCAAACATTTCCCTACCTCTTTTTAATTACTAGGAAAAATTATCAGTCAAAGAAAAGAAATATCTTAATAGATATAGTTTTACCAGTATTGAAGTTAAAGTGATAAGAATACAATACACATTTTCCACTAGTTTCCAAAGTTTAGTGTTCAACAGCATATACAGGACCAGTCACATAACAAATTAATCTGTGCATATAGGTGTAGAATGCCGATTGTAATAATTTGCTACATAGTGGCAATATACCTTTTTTAAAGCTATTATAGCCCCTTTAACAATATCAAAACACGGCGTGATACCACATCTCTTCATGAAATAAAAGTTTTCAGCAATAAACTAAGAAAAGGGGGAGAAGGGGAGGGGGAGAAGGGAAGAGGGGGTGATGGGGAGGGGGGGGGGGGGGGGGGGAGGGGGAGATGGGGAGAGGATGGTCATTTGACCTACATGTATGACATTTTAGCGACAAGCTTTGTACATGTAGTATAAATGCCACTGAATCAAATTTATTACTACACACTGAACGAGTAGCAACCACATGTTGTATAAATACCATTGGATCAAACATATTACAACACACTGAACAAGTATGGAACCACCTGTAAATGCATGTTTGTTTTGAGCCTCTGATTTGCTTTGAGTATTTCATCACTACCAGCTGTGCCTGCAATATGGGCACCAGGGATCACTATTTGAACGAGGTGAAAGGTCAAATAGTTCTAGTTACCTGTGCGATATCTGTTCTGTCTGCTGTGGCTGGTAAGATCACATGACCTGTCGGGTTCAGCTTGTTCTTGGCCGCTATCATCACTAAGAGATCCATCATTTGTAATCTAAACAATGGTCAAAATTATGCAGATGTCATGTAAACAGTGATTATGAAAACGCACACATGAAAGACAGCTAGAACATGTTTCTGAAGGGCCATTGCTGGTTTGGTTACTTAACGGTATCTCTGACTTTGTGTACATTATTTCTACCATTGCATCTGCTTGTATTTTTATTGCATTTGAAACCCAACTTCAAGTTTTGGTTTCAATAAAGAAATAATAGTACACTGTAATAATAATAATAATAATGAAATTATATTGCAGGTGAATTAAGAACAAAAAAAAGTTTCATCTCAAACATAAATAATAACTAGATGGAATTTTGACTGCGCGCAGTCGAAAATGATGCCTCCGCCATAGAGCAATTTAAACAAGTTTGGAGTTTAAATCTCCAGTGGTTCTTGAGATATCATGATAACAATCTCAATGTATGGAATTTCATAAGTTGACCTCTGTGACCCTTGACCTTTGACCTACGTGCTCCAAAATCTAATCAGATTGTCTTCCTATGGTGATACACACTATCATTAAGTTTGAAGTTTAAATCTCCAGTGGTTCTTGAGATATTATGATAACAATCTCAATGTATGGAATTTCATAAGTTGACCTCTGTGACCCTTGACCTTTGACCTACGTGCTCCAAAATCTAATCAGATCATCTTCCTATGGTGATACATACTATCCTTAAGTTTGAAGTTTTTACATCTCCAGTGGTTCTTGAGATATCATGATAACAATCTCAATATATGGAATTTCATAAGTTGACCTCTATGACCCTTGACCTTTGACCTACGTGCTCCAAAATGTAATCAGATTGTTTTCCTATAGTGATACACACTATCACTAAGTTTGAAGTTTAAATCTCCAGTGGTTCTTGAGATATCATGATATCAATCTCAATGTATGGAATTTCATAAGTTGACCTCTGTGACCCTTGACCTTTGACATACGTGCTCCAAAATCTAATCAGATCGTCTTCCTATGGTGATACATACTATCCTTAAGTTTGAAGTTTAAATCTCAAATGGTTCTTGAGATATCGCGCTAACAAACTCAATACAAGGAATTTCATAAGTTGACCTCTGTGACCTGTGACCTTTGACCTACGTACTCCAAAATCTAATCAGATCGTCTTCCTATGGTGATAAATACTATTCCCGAGTCTTAAGTTTAAATCTTAAATGGTTCTTGAGATATTGTGATAACGGTCAAACGGGACGGACGTACGGACGGACGGACGGACGGACGTACGGACGGACGGACGGACGTACGGACGGACAACCCGAAAACATGATGCCTCCGGCACCACCTTCGGTGGCGGAGGCATAACAATGAAACTATATTAATCTCAAACAAAAATATGTACAAGTACATGTAAAACAACCATACATGTATTATGGCTCAAGATTTTCACTGTATGATTTTCCTGCTAATAAATATATATATATATATATATACATTCTATTATATATTTCTATGCATGCTTTCTTGCATAACAAATCACCTCATGTTTTCTTAAATAGTGGTCTAATGTTTTGTTCAACAATAACAGCATTAACTGCCTCAAAAGTACTGCCATGGCAAAATAAATGACATATTTCAAATTTAAATGAATGGAAGATGGGATACGAAATGAAGAAAGGTATCTGTGCATTCATAACAAAAGACCCTATGCACAGTCACCTGTCTGTGTGCTATACGAAACAGAAATATAAAGCATACTTTGCTTTATAAACGTTTATAAAATGTGTTCAAGAATGTAGCCAATGAGAAGCCTCGAAATGGATCACGTGTGCATACATGTATATACATTAATGTTTACCATACATGTATGCACAGGGAGTGAATTTTGGTGATAACAACCCAAACGTTCTCGACTTTATACTCATATTGTAGAACCATCTTATAATACATGGTTAAGTCACAATGAGACGGACAATGAACTCAACAAGTCATGTTCATTATCCTACTGTGACTTATCCTGCGTGGTGTGCATAATGCGCACACAAACATGTATTATTTGTATAAGGTATGTTATCATTTTGCCACTGGATGTGTTCTGTTCGGGGTGGTTTTGTGACATCATTTTGGAAACAAAGCTTTTATTATTGACTCACTTTGCATCCACCGTGGATGTGATTGTGGTACCAGCTGGTAATGTAATTTCCAATGTTCTCTGCCCCGTAGCCCTGGGTGCTTCCCCTCCGCTATGGGTAGATGAAAAGCTGGTAGATGAAAAGCTGTTAGAAGGGGAGGGTGGGGCTCCATTAGAATGAGTGGTAGTAGATCCGTTGCTAGGTGGGGTTCGGTGCACAGATGGTGCTTTGGTATGACTGGGAGGCTCAGCAGGGATACCACTAGTCTTAAAAGACTTCTTGGACCTGGAAAGACAAAATAATTACAGGTTATATATTTTTTTTTCATGATATAATTCCATAACCTACATGGACCAATGTAAAAACTTATTCATATATAACCTAATAGTACTGTACAGTATATACGTACATGTACATGTACTTACCGGTACATGTCCTGCAGAAAAAAATAATACAAGATTTCATCAAGTCTATAATTCTTTTTTCAACATGGACTGATTTTCTTACATAAACAAACATTTATAATACATGTACGTGCAGAAAACCTGAATATCATATTTCTTATATTTCTATAATGAGTAATGCAAAGATGTATATTCCCAAATTCACATGCCAAATAGTACTGACTTCTGAGTTGCTCATTCATTATTCACAAAAAGACCATTATTCAGTGAAAATGTACAAGTAAATGAAAAAAATGTCCATTATAAATGTAAGAAATATTTTAGGATAGCGACAATGTTAGTCCCCACACTTACTGGTACATCAAACAATTATTTGCTGACAGTTAAAGGCATGTAAAATAATAGCGCAAATACATAATTATGTAGACTTAAGTAACTCAATAAACAATTTCTTGCATGGTTAAATTGTTTTATTATATCCACAAAATAAAAAGTTGGGAATTTCAAAAGGAGAGCTCATTGTATTAAAATGAATACAGTGACAAGTTTGTCTGCCTCACAGATAGCTCCATCTATGTTATCTTCTTATTGATTTAAAAGCTAAAAAGCTAAAAGCTAAATAAAGTACTACCAGTATGGTCATTTTGGTCGGAGCCAAATACATTTAATACACATAAATATCATTTAACTTGACAGACTAAGTCCAGTACCATATGTTAAACATTTAAGTCCTTCAGATACAATGTGAGTTTGGTACAACAAGCATTTTTTTTAGATTGGAGCCCAAGATATATCTGACAATAGTATTCATGTCCAAACTGCTCTCGAGTCGTGTATACACTGTTAAAGTTTCAAAACCACATGTTTGGAGCCAGAAGGGCTTTCTTTCTGTATTGAAGTATATGAGTTAATGCCCTTTTGGCTCTATAAAGCAGACAACATTATCAATAACAAATCAGTTCTCAATTGCAACTCAAAAATATCATGGTACTGTTCACCTATGAAATAGCTTTTTCAATTTACGACGTTAAAATTATATTGGTTGTATTTTAAAGTACAGACAAGTCTGCTTATATTGCTTCTTGGTCACAAGGTCACAAGGTCAAAAGTAATGAGTGTTTGTATTTCATCTCTAATTTTCTGCAAAATGACCAAACTAGCCCCACCCTCCTCTACATAAGCACACGTAATTAAAGTAGTTTTGGCAACACCCATACTAATTATGTACAGTACAATGACGACTCAATTCTCTCACATTTCCAGCTGATTCATTTAGGCAATTGGTTAACGGATTTTCGCAAGAAAGCCAAAACTAAATTACAAGCGCAAAGAAAGTATACATCTGAATTAGAGTTGTAGTTCGGTAGGCCATTTTCGTAATGTAATCAAACTTAATGCATAAATCTTTGTTCAGTGCAATGTTACAAAATATTTCATTCACCTGTTATAAATAAGTGTATCTAAAGAGTCAGAATGCAAATTGCTTAGATTAATTGTTGCTAGGCTGGACAAACATTATGGCTTGTCCTACCTAATAACCAACATGGAGTATATATGCAATCACATTCTGACTATTGAAATACAATTATTCATAACAGGTAAATGAAATAATTTGTAATGAGGCAATTAACACAGATTTGTGCATTAAATGTGATTACATTACAATAATGGCCTATTGGTTAACAAATTTTCACAAGAAAGACAATACTTAATTAGGCTTATAAGCTAAAAGAAAATATACATCCAAATTAGAGACAGGCGTTCATCCAATGCTCTCGAACTAATTGGATTTGCTGTCAGTAATTAAGGTAATAAATTATAATACAAATATTTTGACACATCCAAATAAATGTTTAACTTATTTGGGTGGGAGGAATATAGGTCTGTTATCTTATATTCATTAAAAAAAATTTTTACACGGTGCATCAAAAGTGTTTGTTACACTGTGCGTCAATAAAACAAGTAAAAACAAACACAAAGTGAATTGCATGCAGGCCATTCTCTAGAAAATGATTATGGCTTTCTCTCTCTCTCAAATGCAATCACAAAAATGGCTTTCTCTTTCTCTCTCTCAAATGCAATCACAAAACAGCTTTCTTCTTCCCTCAAATGCAATCACATAATGGCTTTCTCAATCTCTCTCTTAAATGCAATCACAAAACAGCTTTCTTCCTCCCACAAGTGCAATCACATAAATGGCTTTCTCAATCTCTCTCTTAAATGCAATCACAAAACAGCTTTAGCTCCCATTGCACTTTCACTAGCCCATACAGTGTTATTGTTTATATTTTCACTGATCCAAACACTGAATAGTTATTTTAGGCCAGCTACATGTAGTTCTCTTGTTTCTTGACATGCAGTTCCACCGCCAGAATTCAAGATTATCTTCAATATACATGGTATAAATACCTTATCAACATGCTGTTTGACTATTTCACTGTTTTAAAGTGAACTACATGTAAGAGCGGCCCTCAAAACACAGAAAGCCAAACCCCCTCTCAACTACCAACCTTGGAAAACAGCTTCCACAGCACTCCATGGTAATTTCTATGCGTTTCTCAGAGTCGGACACTCCTTACATGATGCACTATGACTCAAAGTATATACTCTGCAGGAGGTAAGTATCAAGCACAGCTAGCAATCAACAAGCCAAATCTGAACTTTCCCCTGCTGTAATGGACACTGCACTCAAGAATGTCACACATGTATATTTCACAAGAAACAAACCAACTCGAAATGTACAGCAGGGTAGCGATATATACACTCTATCAAAGCATTTTACAGAAGGTGAAAAACAACACTCAAGAATGTTCCTACACTCCCGTGCACTGCAAGAAGAGAAGTTCACAAATTATATATCCGTAGTAAACATCTCAGGAGAGAGTCTGCTGTATTAAAGTGAAACAGGACCCGTCATACAGTGCCCTGCCCACTATTATATGATGAAGGGAAGGTACCCCCTGCATGAATACACCCCCATACAACAATGGAAGACCAGTATAATGTATACAGCAGCTCAGAAGAGTACAGAGTTCTGTTGACTTGAATAGGAAGAGATCTAGGGGAGGGAACAATAGAGAATGCAAAGAAATCGGAACAATAAGGACCGGTCTTCAACATACAATAGACCAAATAAAGAAGGGATTCAGTTCATGTTTTCTCTCCTACTTACTATACTTACTCACTAGTATTTGAGCTTCAAATCTACATACCACATAAAGCTTGGTAAGAATTATAAACCAGCCAAAATACTTTACATACTACAGTAAGCTAAATCAGTTCAAAATGATGTTGACTGTAAGTATTATTTACATGACTTACATGTACATGTGTAGGCCTACATATATGAATAATTTCAATATTTTTAATGTAGAAAAAAATAATCACAATTACCAGTAAGTTTTTAGATTTTTTTCCTTAAAAACCTAAATAAACCATGTCAATTGGTGTCAAATCATCTCACATACATGTAGAATCCATCTTCAACACACGTAGAACTAGAAAAGTAACAGTAGGAAAGGAGATAACTAATAGGTAAGATTAAATGTTTTCAATTACATCAACATTAATTAAAATATTTATTAAATGAAGACAAACAAAAATATGTGATGTCATTATTTCAGTTTCACTTTTTCTTATGTGCTTCATTATTTTACTTGAATAAAAATTCCCACATCATCCTAGGAATGTTTGCAACTGGATTTTCTGTATTTTACGCAGATATTTTTTCAATTATATATATAAGATGTGTTTCATTGGTTGCCTTTACAATACATGGGTAATCCGTTAAACGATTTGGATCCAGATATATGCATATTTGAACACGGTAATACTTGTTCATGTTATACACCCAGTGAATTTAACTCTTCTTTTGTAAAAAATGAATATAATTTCAGTTTAATTCATATGAATGCCCGTAGTCTTAATAGAAATTTTGATAGCATTACAAATCTTCTTGATACATTGTCAAATAAATTCTCAATAATTGCCCTTTCCGAAACATGGATTTGTGGCAAACCAGTTACTCCATTTCATTTACACGGTTATACTTTCATACATTCGGATAGGGCTGGTTGTGTTAGTAGAGGAGGAGGTGTTGCACTGTTTGTAAAAGATGATATAACATGCACCGTTCGGGATGATATCTTTAACACCTATGATAATTCAACTTGTGAATATTTATTTGTTGACATTACACTAGGACCTACTTTAAAATACACAGTTGGAGTCATTTATAGAAAGCCAAATTCAGATCTTGATGTTTTTTTCAAATTTTATAATGAACTACTACTTCGTGTATCCCGTCGCAGTTTAATAATTACAGGCGATTTTAACATAGATCTTTCAAATTTAACGAACAATAAAAGTGCAAATACATTTGTAAATTTAAACTGCTCATTTGGTTTATTAAAGTTGATTACAACTCCCACTCGTATTACAGTTAACTCTGCAACATTAATCGACAATATAATTACCAACCTTACTGAATCCAAATGTACGAGCGGAACAATTTGTACTGATGTAACAGATCATTTACCTGTATTCTCCCTTTTCAATATAGATAATTATGAAAGACATAGGAAAACGATTCAAACTTATACTCGGAAAATCTCAAACGAAAATATTGCAGCATTATTAGGTGAATTGTATAGAATAGATTGGACTTTTTTAAACAACCTTCAGGATATAGAACAGATGTACGATATATTTATATCGGTGATAACCACTGCATACAACAAATGTTTACCTTTGGTACCAAATAAGTCTAAACGATTGAAAATCAGAAAGCCTTGGATAAATAAAAGTTTGATGCGGTGTATTCAAAAGAAAAATAAACTTTACAAAAAATTTATACATAATAGGTCTTTTGTAAATGAAAATAAATTCAAATCTTACAGGAATAAAGTGAATAATCTGTTAAGAAAGGCAAAAAAACATTACTTTTGTTTAAAATTTGAAAATTCGAAAAATGATATTAAAGATACATGGAAAACTATCAATACCCTTTTAAATAAATCAAAACCCAAATTACCCACATATATTATGAAGGATGGTAAAATGGTTGAAAATGACCAATCTATTGCAGATGAATTTAATTCCTATTTTATTTCCTCAAGTTCTGGGTTTGATGCAAATAATCGCCTTGCTCAAGTTAATACCATTTCTCACACAGATTACCTACATGTCCCAACTTCTTCTTCGATATTTTTTAAACCTATATCACAAAATGAATTGATTGAAGTGTGTAAATCATTAAGAAATACAAAATCTTGTGGATATGATAACATAGGTTGCAATGTACTCAAACAAATCATTCATGCTATTGTAAAACCATTGGTCTACATTTTTAATATATCACTGTCAACTGGTACGTTTCCAAGCAAACTTAAAATTGCTAAGATTATTCCCGTTTTTAAAAAAGACGACTGTCATTCATTAAAAAATTATCGACCAATATCTTTGTTACCTTGTATATCTAAATTACTAGAAAAATGTGTTTATAATCGATTGTATAGTTTTCTTTCTAAACATAATATACTTACTGATTGTCAATTTGGATTTCGACGTAATCATTCTACAACCCATGCTTTAATTGATTTGCAGGATAAAGTGACTTTAGCAATGGAAAAAAATAATTTTTGTATTGGAATATTTATGGATTTATCAAAAGCATTTGATATAGTTGATCATTCAATTCTCTTGTCCAAATTGAACTTTTATGGTGTACGTGGAAACCCTCTTAATTTTTTTAAAAGTTATTTATGCAATCGACGTCAATTTACTATGTATAATAATAATGCTTCTGATTTTGCAGACATAACACACGGAGTTCCTCAGGGATCTATACTTGGCCCTTTGCTTTTTTTGATATATATTAATGACTTAATTCAATCTTCTCATATCATGCAGTATATTATGTATGCAGATGACACAACTCTTATTTTTTCACAACCTGATTTAAATAATGTAGAGCACGAGGTCAACAAAGAATTAGACAAGGTTTCAACTTGGTTCAAAGCTAATAAATTGATAGTAAATCTTTCTAAAACAAACTTTTGTATATTTCACAATAAGAGTAAAAATGTTTCCAATTTACTAGATAAGGTAACTTTAAGTATTGATACTACATCTATATCAAAATTAAATGTTGTAAATTTCCTTGGAGTATCCGTAGATAACAACCTTCGTTGGGATTCCCACATCGATAATGTTATAAGCAAGGTATCAAAATCTATTGGTGTTTTATATAAATTAAAATTTCATGTACCATTTCCCATTTTATTCACTTTGTACAACTCACTTATATTACCTTATCTTACATATTGTATAAGTATTTGGGGAAATTCGTGTCATGGAAAAATTAATACCCTCTTCAAATTACAAAAGAAGGCTCTACGTATTTGTACAGGTAGTGATTATTATGCCCACTCTGCTCCGTTATTTCTTCGTTTAAAAACCCTAAATGTTTTTGATTTGTTCAAATACCATACTGCACTAATTGGTTTTTATTTTTTTCAAAATATACTTCCAAAAAGAATATCCTCCATATTTTCGATCAATAACCAAATTCATACTCACAATACTCGGCTTTGTAACACGTTTCATTTATGGAAAGTAAAAAGTTCATTTTCTAAACAATCAGTAAGAAATACTTTGCCAAACATATGGAACACTCTTCCTCAAGTCCTCCGCTTTTATAAAAACAGTTCAATATTTAAAACAAAAATGAAACAGACCTTTTATTCTGAGTACCGTTAAATTTACCTTCCAAACCTTTTTGCCCCCCCCCCCCGCCTCCAATTTTAGATTATTTCATACATATGTTTGTAGTTTTTTGTCTTTATATTGTATTTATTGCTGTATTTTGTGTTTATTGCTGTATTTTGTGTTTATCGATGTATTTTGTGATATCTCGAACTCATATATGCTCAATAATATAAATAATATAAATTATAATATTCGGGGAACTTTTTATACAAAGCCACCATGGGCCTTTCCTATGTTCTCCAATTTCATTTTAAACTATTGTAATAATTGACCATTCCTTGTATGTATATATACTTGTATGTTTATTTGCATTTGCTGTGTTTTTTATGGAAATGAAATAAATAAACGAACTTGAACTTGAACTTGATTTTCTAAGTTTGTATTCTAATAAATAGTACCAGTAAGTCTTTAATATATATTTTATACAAAGTTCAAACTGTTTCATACAGTTGAATTATTCCATATTATTAGAGTTCACAGAGTAGTGTTTCAAAATATGTTATCACCAATAAAATATGGTAAAGGCAAGATGAAATCAGTTTCTTGGGGAAAAAATATTTAAAAACATGCATGACACCAAATTATGTAAAACACCTGACGCAGACTAAGTGAATGACGTCAGAAACACATGTGTTGCTATGAGATAGTGATCTCCATATATTTAAACACATGATAACAAATGATAAAAAATGTAGTCTGGTTTTCTTAAAACTTTCTTGCCTATTTCTTCTTCTCTGCTTCCACTGAATGTAAGTTATATTTGGACCTGAGAACTGGCCTACAAAGTGTTGCCATTTTTTAATCTGATTTTTCAATTTTATTCCAACCTGTTTTTTAAAAATTTTATAGCTTTTCCACACATCAGTTTGATGTTAGTGACCTAGTGTATCCTTGATTTTCTTTTGTTGATAACTTCATTACTTTCAATTTATTTTAATGCTAACACTTCATAATTTAGACATTTGATTTGATTTAGATTTATTTATTTCTGTTTGATTTTCTTTTTCTTTTGCATTTTTACAAATATATAAAACTGTTTTCAATAAACAGGAAAGTTTCAAAAATGATATACATTCTTTACAATTTACATACAGGTACATGTGTAATGGGCGACACGGGAACAGTCCGGGCAGTACATGTAGTCTCTGTTAGTCTGTAAAACACTGTTACCCATAGGACAAATTTAGTGATTTGCATTCAATCTTTCAATTCATAGTTTT